ATGTAGAACCGCACACAGACAGTGAGAAGCATCGTGAGGGCGTCGTGGTTGGCTCGATGTGGCGCGTGTTTCAACCGTGTTTCAACGGCTTTCTTGTTTCGGCCATTCACTTGCGTGTACTCGCCTCGTCCTTGCAGATGCGACCGTGCCTCTTTGGCCACGTGTGTACATCTGTCAACTCTATCTGAATCCAATGCGGCGACGACCTGGCACGAACACTGGCATCAGGAACTTGACCAAGGTAAAACCGGCAGTTTGAAACAAGCGATCGTGTCTTTTTTTTTTCTTTTTTTTTTTCCATTCCCCAACTTGTGCCCTGCCCTGTGATTGCACGCTGCACGAGCCGCCCCACTCACACTGCAATGATGCCCCGTAGTCGACCTGCACCCGCGCCGCGCCGCGCCGCGCCGCACACGACCCTGCTGGCCTAGACTGTACGCTGTGCTGAACGAAACAATGACTTTTTTTCTCACTTTCTTCCCCCACATGTTGGTGATGGTTCCACAGGCGTCCGCGACCCTCCACCGATGCTATCATCAAGAAACAGAGCCACCTTCAGGTAAGTCACCAGTTCCCACCCCAAGGTAAGTCAATGGGAAGCCGGCTCTGCCAAGACTCCAAGGAACTCCAGTGCCCCAGCGGCCTTTCGTGGTCCCCTCGAGCCCTGCCGCGGACTGCCTGCTTGGTACGTGTGGCAACATGCTATAATGATGTTGTGCAAGTGTCACTGGGGCGGGAAGACATGTCATGGTCGACTGGTTGGTGTGACTTTGGGTTGGTGGCACCGACGCTGGGTGCCTCCACCCCAAAGGTCCGCCGATCGGCCGCCTGGCACTGTTTTCATGCACAACACACTTGTACAACATCACTGTAGTGTGGAGCCGCGGGTACCGGGCCGGCAGCGGCGAGGCGGCGGGCCCAAAAGCCCAAATGCGTCAATCTTCAGAGCCCGATAGCGGGCCTCCCGAGCGAGCTGCACCGTTCTTACTGTAGCAATAGATAGTTCATACTTAGCACTAGTAGCATACAACGTAGAAAGGGCGGGGCACCAATAGTACGGCCAGGCCAGGCCCCCGACCACCCAATGCCGCCATTGGGGTCCATTGCGTCCGCGCGCCTTCGCACCACCAGAAACGTGTAGTCAGTACCAAATCGAGTCGAATGTACTAACTGGCGGGACGGTAGGACTGAGTAGAGAGACGTAGAATTTTTTCCCCAGAACCGAACCGAAGCAAAAAGCGAACTTTGCGCCTTTACTGCACTTCGGGGTTTGGACCTTGCGAGCCGATTTTTCAAGATTCGGATCAGCCAAAGTTTGTTCTATCTAACAATGTAAAAATATCGATGGAAAGTAGGTTGGGCATGGTGGTCATTTTTGGGGATTTTTGCCCCAGTCATTTGCATTACGTTCGACCTCGACCTCAAGTCCCCCCTCCACCCCACTTTTCGGCGCTTTTTCGATGTGACTATGTTTATAGACACTAATGAACATGTTTAGACCAATAAAACCATGGAAGTGCCGGATTCCCCCAATTATGCTGATTTTGCTGAATTCACATTGGCCGAAAGTCGACCCGGCTCTCGACATGGGGTCTACTTGGATTCACCACAACTGCAGAAAACAATCACACATATACAATAGAAGTAATTTTAAGCAAAATTTTCGGGATTCAAGGACGTGATGTTCGCGACACCGCGTCTTTGGGAGGCCTGGCTTGAGCAGCAGGAGTGAGATTTTGGGCTCAAACTTTGGATTTGAGCAAAACATTGAGATGACTAACAATTGGAAAAGTAAGAGCGGTATAGATACTGTCCAACACAGAGCCAACCACCCCCTGAAAATCAGCCAGCCGGTGGCGATTTCGTAATACACGGCCTACTTTACCTACCAGCGTCATAAATCAAAGAGAAAACCCGGTCAGCTGCTAGAAAGCGCAAAGGAAGGGCAGGTGGTAGGTCAAGGGACTCGGTGGGAGGCCGTCGTCCGGAACCGGCGCAAAGTGCTCCCAACCCACCGATCTCACGATACAAGACTGTCAATCCTTTGAAACTTTGGCAAACAGAGTACAACACATATTAAACCAGGAATCCCGAGCGAGAGTGAACAATCTACGATGGTGGCCCGAAAGTGGGCAGTGTATGGAATCCAGCTCAAATCGGTGCTCCAGCGGCGTCTCACGCGCGCTTCTCCATCTAGACCAACGGGATCGTGGCGCCGCGTTAGCCACAGGTGTTACAAACATAGAACTACTTGCTCCAGCAGAGGAATCGCCATGGAAGGTCCCCAGAGGCCATGCGCTCCGATATTCGGTGGATTATCCGCCCAAACGGGCTCGGAGGCCCGAATCACCCAACTGGTCAAAGATCATGTCATAGCATGCTATATTTTGGCGTAAGACAACATTAAAACTTGGAATCTGGTGATAAAGCGGATGTAAGGGCCTTCAGGGCTCCGAAACGCTGTGTTCTGTTACCTGCTGGCAAAGTGCCACGATTTGACTGTGAACCAATTTCCGTACTCAGGGTCCACTAGAGGTTGCGCTGTTCAAGCCACAGCTATATGGAACCAGCGCACACTTGAATCGCCTGCGGGCGGCGATGGAACCAGGTGAGGAGCCGCAGAAAGGGCGTATTCATGGGTTGGACGAGAATTCAACAAAACGACCATGATGTGCTTCTGGGGCCGTAGCCCCGATGCCATCCGCTTTCAACCATGTTCTCGACGTTTGGTATGCATGAATATACTGCTGAAGCTCTAGGACGGCCGGGAGACCTCGCTTTCGGTCAGAAACCCAGGAACGCCTTTTGTTCACCTGAAATCGCGGCAAACCCGCCCAGCGATATTGAGCTCGTTTTTACTACCATCCAAAGCCTCCAGACATGGAATTACGTGTGGAAAACCGTATTCCAGAAGAGGGAGATGTAACAACAAGATGAGTTGGAGATACGAGGTCAAATGCAACCCGGCCGAAACGACACCGAAAACCTGACAGCTCGCCGTTCACGCCATGTACACCATAAAATCCTCCTCCCACCACACGAGCACAGTTGCATAGTGAGGAAATAGCAAATTCCAGGTGTTCGGACAGCTTTGCAGCAGTCTTGGTCAAAATATGCCAACCTGGCCCAAAAAGCCGACTGTGCCGATCTCGGCTCCAATCATAATTATTTTTTCACCGACACGCTTTCCAGCATATTGGAGATGAGTTAGATGATTTGCCATCATCAGACCGTCGATTATATCCTCCTGTATGGGTGAAGTGCAAACCACCCCTCAAAAACACCGATTTAGAGGGGTCGCAAATGACCATCTTCCCGTCGACTTTATCCCGCTTCACCACTATCAGTATATTGCCGACATTGTAAAAACACAAAGTACAGCCGAAAGTGGAGGTTTGTACATGCTTTGTCGAAATGGGGTGGGTTGGAAGGAAAATTTTTCCAAGTTCGAAAAAATTCGAGTTTCAGCCTGGTGACTTCCACTTGAGACTTTTATGACCGACGAACGATTGTAACCCACATTAAATTTGCATGGGGAATCCGAAAATACCATCCGCGAGGTGGTGGCTCGTGTCGACTCGTCAGGGCAAATCGCTTGTTTGAGCTTCAGGCCACGCCAAGTGCTCGGAGCGCCGTTTTTTCAAGCGCAATCGAGTTTACACGATATTATAAGGATACCCTTTTGGAATTTCCGCCAGAAACAGCTCAGGTCGGGCAGGGCACCCGAGCGAAGCCCGCCAGCGATTCCAGTCTCTGACCTTCCCTCCGCCCCATCTCCACTCCCCGGCGTCCGTTCGCCTCCGTTTCAATTTTAGAATACTCCACATACATTCTAGTTTCTATTTCCAACGCGGCGAGGCTGGGGAAAAATCCTATCCAAATCTGTTAGTATAGGTCATTTTTCCTAGTGAGTTCCTTTTTGTGTTGTTCAGTCTTTTGTTGGAATTGTGTGAATTGGGATTTCCATGAGGTTCGTTTGAGAGTTGCTGTGCGTTGAGCTCCCCCCCCCCCGTTGTTGATGGCCTCGTCAGACCCGTGTGCTTGGACGCTGTGCTTGACGGTCGAGGAGCGTTGCTTGGAAGGAAAGGCATCGGGAATGCTGGACACTTCTGCCTTCGTTCATCCCGCCGCCATCAGTCTCAGTCCGACGCTGTTCACTCCTGTTTGAAAAGGGATGATGCGAAAGAGAGTGGGAATTGGGTTGAGGAAGTGATCAGGGTCCGGTCCGGGGGTGGATACCAAAAACAAGGGCTTGCATTCACTCCATCTTTTGTTTCGCTTGCTCGGAATGATAGGTCAAACATGGAGCTGAGTAGTATGACGGAGAGACAGCGCGAGTTGTATGACCAAGTCAAGAACGCGGATGGAGAGCTCAAGTAAGGGAAAAGCCCGAGTTGATTGGAACATCACATTGTGATACTGACGAACTGACTGGATGGACAGATTGGATGGGAATCGGATTGGCGAGGCTGGAGCACAGGCGATTGCTGAGGCACTCAAAATGAACACGACGCTGACCCAGCTCGAGTAAGGCATCTCACTGTTACTGAAGCATCCACGAGCCTGTCATCCAGTTGAGGACGTTCAAAATGCTCACTGATGGAGGAGACGGACAGTCTGCAACTGAATCAGATTGGCGATGAGGGTGCGCAGGCAATTGCAGAGGCACTCAGAGCGAACACGACATTGACTTGGCTCAAGTGAGTTATCTTACGAGTACTTGTACTGATACCGTGAGTGGGTGATTCATCAGACCGCATTCAGAATTCTCATGGATGGAGGACAGGCTGAGTTACAACCAGATCGGCGATGCTGGAGCGCAGGCGATTGCTGAGGCACTCAAAGTAAACAAAAGGATGACTTTGCTCTTGTACGTTACGGTGCGCGTTGCTCGTCTCGCGCATTGAGCCTGGGTCATTGCTACGTCGTTATCCTGCTCACCCAATGTTCTGACAGCCTTCACTATAATTGCATTGACATTTTTGGTTCTCAAGCGATCGATAAGGCATGTCAAGACAAACGCAAATTTCGGCTAGAGTAAGTTTGATCTTGCCAATCACAGCCGTTGATGCTCAGACAATGTTCCTCCCACCGATGGAGTGGTCACTGATTGATCATGCCTCGCTTGTTCGTTTCACAGCCTCCGCGATCAGATCAACCCTCTTGCATTCTCCTTACTTCCACGATTGGCGAGTGCTGGAGACAGTCACACCGTGTTTGGCATGCTGACCAGCGGGTTGGAGCTGGAGAATCAGCCCGCATGTTTACCTTTACTACCAACCGAGATTGCCGAGCTCATTATGGACAAGGCGCATTACTGGCAAGGCGTGCAGAATACCAATCGATTGTGGACTGACGAGAGACCCAGTTCTCTCAAAGTCAGACTGCCTCAAGGAGATTTAATCCGTGTGAAAGCAATTCAAGTTCTTCGTGACTGGAAGCGTCCCAATAACATCGGTGACTGTGCTTTCGATTTGACTGTCCGAGATGAAAAAGGTGCTGTTCAGTACGAATGTGCTGTGCACCCGACTTTCGTCAATTGGAACCTTGCACTTGCGACAATCTGGCCAGCGAGTCATCCCATCGTCCGACAAATGCGCGAGGGCTGGGAAGTTCAAATTCGACCCAGCAAGTTTGCTCGAGATGTGATATTTGAATCGCTTTATGTCGGATATGTCGACCGACAGTGATCACAAAGCGCTCATTTGACGAAAACATTTAACGTTCGCTCAGCAGTTTCGAAAGGCAATACCTTGCTGGTCGGCCACCAGTCCACCTCGGCCTTTCATTCCAAAAAGATGAAAAGTACACTACTGTGGCTCATCAACCACTTGTTCTTCACTTTGTTCGAATTCGTGGACACGTTCGAACGAGCATTCTCTACAGTACTGTACTTGCTCCTAAAAATCCAATGTTTGGTCGAGTCTCCCGCTCCGTTTTGTTCACCGACTGAGCATGACTGCAGAGCCGATTTACAAAGTGCCGAGACAATAATAGGTTGATCTGAGAGTGATGTCGCTTTTGGGCGAGGGACAGTCTATTTCCTTGTGATTCATTTCCTGCTGCAATGCTGTCTTATGAGAGCATGACGGAGAGACAGCGCGAGTTGTATGACCAAGTCAAGAATGCAACTAGAAGGCTCGAGTGAGAAGAAAGCCAGATTGATTGGAGCACCACAGTGTGATGGCGCGTGTGTACTAAGGAACTGGATGGGCAGTCTGGACCGGATACGGATTGGCGGCGCCGAAGCTCAAGCGATTGCCGAAGCACTCAAAGTGAACACAAAATTGACTTCGCTCAAGTAAGGCATCTCACTGTGACTGAAGCATCCACGAGCGAGTCATCCAGCGGAGGGCGTTCAGAATGCTCACTGATGCAAGGAATGTACAGTTTGTGGAGCAATCAGCTTGGCGAGGCTGGAGCACAGGCGATTGCTGTGGCACTCAAAGTGAACAAGACGTTGACTGCGCTCGAGTAAGGCATCTCACAGCGGAGGGCGTTCAGAATGCTCACTGAGGGAGGAGAAGGATAGTCTGCAACTGAATCAGTTAGGCGATGCTGGAGCGCAGGCGATTGCTGAGGCACTCAAGGTGAACACGACGCTGACTTGGCTCAGGTAAAGCATCTCCCTTGACTGTTGTATGTGAGTGGGCAATCCCACAGACAGCATTCAGATTGCTCACCGATGAAGGGGATGTTCAGTCTGAATGATAATCTCATTGGCGATGCTGGAGCGCAGGCGATTGCTGAGGCACTCAAGGTGAACAAGACGGTGACGCTACTCGAGTAAGTTACTGTGCGCGTTGCTCGTCTCGGGTATTGAGCCTTGGGTCATTGCTCAACGTTGTTATCCTGCTCACCCAATGTTTTGACAGCCTTGACTATAATTGCATTGGCATTGTTGGTTCTCAAGCGATCCATGAGGCATGCAAAGACAAAAGCGGATTTCGCCGACTGTAAGTTTGTTCTTAGCGCTAAGACAATGTTCCTCCCACCGATGGAGTGGTCACTGATTGATCATGCCTCGCTTGTTCGTTTCACAGCCTCCACGATCAGATCAACCCTCTTGCGTTTTCCTTACTTCCACGATTGGCGAGTGCTGAAGACATCCAAGAAGTGCTCGGCATGCTGACCAGCGGGTTGGAGCTGCAGAACCAGCCCCCATCTCTTCCAGCGCTACCAACCGAGATTGCCGAGCTCATTATGGACAAGGCGCATTACTGGCAAGGCGTGCAGAAGACCTATCGATTGTGGACTGACGAGAGACCCAGTTCTCTCAAAGTCAGACTGCCTCAAGGAGATTCAATCCGTGTGAAAGCAATTCAAGTTCTTCGTGACTGGAAGCGTCCCAATAACATCGGTGACTGTGCCTTCGATTTGACTGTCCGAGATGAAAAAGGTGCTGTTCAGTACGAATGTGCTGTGCACCCGACTTTCGTCAATCGGAACCTTGCACTTGCGACAATCGGGTCAGCGAGTCATCCCATCGTCCGACAAATGCGCGAGGGTTGGCAAGTTCGAGTTCAACCCCCGTTTGCCCAAGATGTGCTATTGGGAAGGCTTTATGTCGGATATGTCGATTGACAGTGATCACAAAGACGAATACATTTAAAGTTCTCGCAGCAGTTTCGAAAGGCAATAGCTCGCTGGTCGGCGACCAGTCCACCTCGGTCTTTCATTCCAAAAAGATGAAAAGTACTTTGTATCCTCGATAGTGGTGAACGCTGGCCTGCAGTCGCAGCTTGCCTGACCGGAACTGAGTCCGGATGTCTATTGCGAATATGCTTGCTGTGTTTCAGCACTCCGACGACAGCCAAGCTGATGCCTGACTATCACGCCTGTGTTTGTGTTGGATGTGTTGATGAGATGATTGCGCGTCAAGACAAGTGCTTGATCTGCCGCAACATCCCGGCCTCGCATTTCCAGGGTACTTTCAACCAGCTCCGTGGGCGGGTTTGTTGCTTAAGGATTTCCTGTGACGCGGCTGTTTGTGCTAACTCTTGTTTTTGTGTTCTACAGCCTTCGGTTGTGCGAACAGTCTGAGGACTGTCATCCCCATTCCCCAAACGCAAATTACCAAACACAAATCATGTATTGTAACAATCAAACACTCATGACTTGAAAAAAAAAGCACAATCCCCCACCAGCTTACTCCATAAACCATCGCGATCCAGCAAGCTTTGTCGGCAGCGGCGGCTGAGCAGGCGCAGCAGCCTTGGTGTTGGCTCCTTTAGCGCCCTTGGCACCCTTTGCGGCTCCTTTAGCAGCGGGCGCCGGAGTTCCAGTAAACGAAGAGCGGTACTTGGCAATCAATCCCTCGAGCTTGGCCTCGTCCTGCTCCTCTCGTGTCGGCTTCTTGTTTGGCTTGCCAGCATTCTTACCGCCCTTCTGGGGACGCTGTGTCTTGGTCCGCGCCTGAGGCTGTGCATGGCAGTTAGTGCACTGGAATACAACGTTCACGTCCGAAACACTCACCAAGGATTGGCGTCTTACCTTTGCATCGTTTCGGCGGCCTCCCTGTTGTTGCTGTCCGCGTGGTGGGCGAGAAGAAGCATCGCCCGATTCTTCACTAGCCGCGTCTTGACGAGCGCGTTTGAAAGTGGCACCAGCTTCCGCTGCTGTGCCAGCATCCGATCCGCGGCGCTTTTGACCGCGAGGGGTGGCTGTCGCGGCTGCGGGATCCTCCTCAGTGGCAGGCTTGCCTTTGCCCTTGCCTTCAAACTTGGGCTTGCCTTCGAACTTGCCCTTGCCCTTTTCAAACTTGGGCCTGTCGTCGTCTGATTTGGTCTTGTCGAATTTGCCCTTGCCCTTGCCCTTGTTGTCAAACTTGGCCGAGCTGTTGGCTGGCTGGTCGGCAGGCTTGTCTTTGCGCGCAAACTTGCCCTTGGTCTCCGGCTTGTCCCCGTGCGCATCTTTGCCTTTTGCGCGGTCCCTGCCGGCAAACTTGCCCTTGCCCTCTTCCTTGCTGGCACTGCCGCCTTCCTCCTTTCGGCGGGATTTGAGCTTGGTAAGCATCTGCTCTCGCTTTTGCAAAGCCTGGATTTAAAGTAGAGCACAAGCGCACATCAGCGCAGCGGGTGAGCAACTCGGGTTTTGCCCCAATTGTCAGCTGAGAGACAAGCTATGGACTTACAAGTTGGTTTTCGACGGCAAACTCGACGATAGGACGTTTCTCGCGACCAAAGATGTCAGGATTGTTATTGAGATATCGGAGAGCGGCCAATGCGTGAGCATGGTCACGAAGCTCAGTGAAGCCGAATCCAGTCGATCGACCAACGCCATCGGCGTCAACGCGATCCTTGCTGCGAACAATCTTGGCCTGTACAACCTTCACCTGGCGCGGTTTCTTGCCATCTGAAGGGGCTGTCTGCAACGCTCCGCTCTTTTTGACAGCATCATGGATGAGCTGCTTGAGCGCCTTCTCATCCACAGTGGTGGGAAGATTGCGAATCGAGAGACGAGTGGTCGAGACGAAATAGTTGGGGTTTTTGAGCTTGGCTCGCTTTTCTTGCTCGGCCTTGGCACGCTGTCGAGGAAAAAAAAAAGAGAGGGCATGTGAGTGTTCTGGAATCAACGACAACCGAGAATACTGCCAGAAATCAACAACAGCAATCCCAACCACACCTTTGCAAGATCAGTCTTGGACAGAGTCAAGGCAATCTCCGAGTTGGGATCGATGGTACCCTCGCGAGCCAAATACAGATTGCGCTTGTCGGTCAGCTTGGAGGCCGCCTCACGCTTCTTTGTATTTGAGTCCATCAGCTGCTTGGCCTCGTTGCGCTCAACAGCAAGAGCAACCGAGAGCGTGCGCCCATCCAACACAATACCAGAGTCATTCATAATGCTCGGACGCGCGCCGCCAAGCTGCAATCCCGACGAGCTGCTGGCAAGGCACTTGTCGGCGCCATCCTTTGACTTGAATTGAACAAAACCAACACCCTTCGACAGTCCATTGTCGGCATTGTAGCAAATTCTGGTGTATGAGATGGGTCCAAACTCCTGCGAGATGGCGAGCAAAAAAAGAAAAAAAAAGAAAAAAAAAAGAAAAAAAAAGAAAAAAAAAGAAAAAAAAAAGAAAAAAAAAGAAAAAAAAAGAAAAAAAAAAGAAAAAAAAAAAACAGCGAGCGTCAATCTCGAAGTTGAATTCAGGCCCTGCACAACGTTGCCAAATGTGCGCCTGTTTATGTTGTTACCTTGAATCGCTCTTGAAGCGCTTCTTCGTCAGTGTCATACGCAAGATTACGAATGAAAACAGTCTGACCCTGGCCAACGTCATGCTTTTCAAACTTTGGCCGAGACTCGGTCGCCTTGTTGTCGTCCTCACCGTCATCTTCGTCCTCGTCGTCGTCATCATCGCTGTCGTCGTCGTCGAACTCGTCCAACTCGCCATCGTCGTCTTCGTCGTCCTGCGGTGCCTCCAGGTCCTCGTCATCGCTGAGGTCTTCTTCCTCGTTTTCTTCTTCGTCCTCGTCCTCGTCCTCTTCCTCTTCTTCTTCGTTGTCCTCATTGCTGTCAGAATCGCTGGCGTCGTCAACATCCATCTTGGCGGATGCTTCTGCGGGCTGGTCGGCTGCCTGCTGTTGTTTGAGCTCTTCGAACTTGTCTTTGGCGACAGCGAAATCGACTGCAACTGGGCGTCCGTTGATGGGTTGATTGTTCATGCCAGCAACCGCCTGTCACGCAAAAGAGAGACAAAAACACAAACAGGCACACATACAACCCCCCAACAAAAAAACCACAAGTGAGCCACAATCGCTTTCCCCCCTCTCCCTTGTCTCAAACTTTGAGCAACGCCCCCAACGGAACATACGTTTGCTGCGTCAATGTAATTGGTGAATTGAACGAATGCAAAACCTTTGAGCTGGACACCATCGGGCTTGAGGGGCAAAGCAATTTCCTTGATGGGGCCGTACTTGCGGAAGGCCTTCTCAATGTCAAGCCGCGTGACGTTGAAGGGCAGGTTGCGCACAATCAAGCGGCACTTTCGCAGGGCTTTTGCCGAAAGCTGGCCATCGAGGAAGCGTTCGCGTGTTTTGAGCACGGCAATAACGTGGTTGCCCTTGAACTCGTGGGCGTTCAGCGCGGCCACGGCAGCTTCTGCGTTCTTGTGCATCGTGTAGACTACATGGCCGACAGTAATATCACCTTGGAACGGATAGATGGTTTCCTCAACATCGCCAACTTTGCGCATCCGCTTGTACAATATCTTTTGGGTGATGTTTGCGCTTAGGCCTTTAATGACGACCGTGCGGCTTTCTCTGAGAGCGAGCGAGAGAGATAGATAGATAGATAGATAGATAGATAGAGAGAGAGAGAGAGAGAGAGAGAGAGATAGATAGATAGATAGATAGATAGAGAGAGAGAGAGAGAGAGAGAGAGAGAGAGAGAGAGAGAGAGAGAGAGAGAGAGCACGAAGAGGGTAGAGTCAGAGATGAGAAAAAAAAATCTCAAAGAGCACTGCGGTTCAAAATCGCTAAAAATGCAGGGGACTTACTTGGACTGTGGCCGTGCGACGGAAGAAGCTTGGTCAGACTTGGAGGGCTTGGAAGTGGCCGCTGGAGGCTTTGTCTCTCTCTTCTTGGTGGAGGGCGCGTCAGGTTTGGAGGCTGGTGAGTCTGCGCTCTTTGATTCTGCCGTCTTCTTGGAAGCAGCATCTTGTGATGGCTTTTCTGACTTTGATGATTCTGCGGACTTGGGCGCCTCTTTGGCCTGTGGCATAGCGGGAGTGGTCTTTTCAGACTTTTTGGATGCAGCAGCGTCCTTGGCGGCCGCCTTGTCTGCCTTGTCTGCCTTTGCCGGCTTCTTAGCCTCGGGCTTTGGAGCGGGCTTCTCATCCTCCTCATCGTCTTCATCCTCGTCGTCCTCATCGTCGTCGCTTTGGTGTTGCTTGTTGCCATCGTCGTCAAACACAACGCGTTGACCAACAGGTTTGGCCGCAACAATGGCATCAAGAGACTTTGCCGGGCGGGCAACGGAGGACGCGTCTTCTCCAGCAGCAGCAGCAGCGGCTTCCCTGGCTTCCTTGCGTGGATCGCCACGATGGCGCTTGTTTGCGAGATCCACTGAAATGATTTTGCCGCCCAAGCTCTTGCCATTCATGGTTTCGATTGCCTTGAGGGCATCGTCTTTGAGCGCACTATTCGAAATCCAGCCGTTCAAAGTGAGCAAGAGATGGGTGTCTTTCATCTTGTTTTTTTGCCATGCATGCATGCATGCATGCATGCCTGTAGTGGTTTGCTGTGCTTGTTGTTTTCAAAGTGGTTGCGCGTTGGCTCGAGGTGAATGTAACTTACAATTGCACAAATCCGAATCCACGGCATTTGTCTTTGGTTCCTGCCAAACAAAAAAACAAATCCAACAACGACACGTGAGTTGCATTGATCCACACTTTGAGCATCTGTAATGATCGCCTCTGTGAATGCATTGGAGCAAGTGGTGGTACCGCCGTTTGATTGATACATCCATGTGGATATTGTCAGTATTCTTGAGGCTCCAACCCTCTTCCCTCCTTCCCTGCATTCGAAGCCCCCCGCCTCCACCCTCTTAGAATCATGCACGAGAGCATCATCACAGATTCGAAACGCTTGATCTCCGACAAGGCCGATGCAATCCATGTGGACATTGTCAGTAGACTGCAGCTCCTTCTCCCCAGTCTTCCTCGAAACCCCCCCGCCTTCCTCCCCTTTTTGAATCATGAAACAACGAGCATCATCCCAGATTCAAGACGCTCGAGCCTTCCATCGGGACGGGTTTGGCGCTGGAGGGATTTTTGGCTGGGAGTTGCATTGGAGCTAACAAGTCCACATGGCGCAATGGCAATGCACTTGTAGTACAAGTGTGCAGTGTTTGCCGACATGGGGCGCACCTTTCTCAGTGACGACGAAGGCAGTCTTGACGGGCGCAACGTCGCTGAATGCGGCTTCGAGCTGTGCGTTGTTCATTGCGAAGGGGAGGCCGCGGATGAAGAGCGTGGCGGCGCTCTTGCGGACGTCGTCGCTCTCAACGAACGGCTTCCGACCACCACCACCACCACCACCACCAGCAGCAGCAGCAGCAGCATTGGAGCCAGATGCGCGCGAGTGAGAGTGGTCCGGGGTCGAGTCCGTGTCGACGTCCATCGGTCGCGGTTTGCCCATGTTTGCTAGATTTAAAATGGACGAGTGAGCTTGAGCTCGGAGACAAAGCCAAAGACGCTCAGAAACAAAAAAACGAAAAGAAAACAAAAGAAAAGAGAAGGAAATAGAAAAAAAAAATTCAGACTGCGGGTTTTTTTGAACGAAACTGAGACGCGCAATCTCACAACCTCGAAATTGTTCCTCCGTTGTCCTTCGTACTGAGCCTGGACAGAGCTGCAGGATGCATTTTAAGACCAACAATATCTTGAATACTCTCAGACGCCGATGGAGTGCGTGGTTTTATTGAGTAGGTGTCTCCAGCAAGCCAACACATCCGGCACTGAAAGGCTGAGCTCGCGTACATCTGAAGCACACACCAAATCCACAGAATAAAACAAAAAAGCCATCACATTCGGACCTGTGTCATCTCTTGTTGGCGCAGTTCTCGTTCAAGCTGCAGCTCTCGTCCTCGTTGCCGTGCGTGCTGAAATCGCTTCAAATAATCTGCGATAATGTCTCGATCATCTTGTGCAAGATTTGGACGGCGAATGAAGCGCCAGACGCGCTCCCAGCGGGTAAGAACTTCAATCAAAGCATCGATAGTGTGGTCCTGAACCAGAGGGTCTCTTGTCGGCCAAGGGACTTGGTCAAGCGAGACGACAATTTTTGGAGTACGACCACTCCTTGCCCAAGCACAAAACAAATCCTCTGTTCTGTTATCCACGGTCAGCTCCCTGAGTACCTCAAGAATAGCACACACTGAGGCAGTGGGCCCTGGAGGAGGGAATTCGGGTTGCGGCTTCATACTGTAGCAAACTGCGCAAAAGACTGCCGAGAAATCCTGATCGCGTATGAATTAGGAAACCTGACATGACCCAGTCCTTTTCATTTTGCCGGAAACTGCGACGTCATGAGCCCTGGAGTCACTGGCACTGCTTCCAGCCCAACAGGCGAAGTAAGAAGCTCTTCTGTTTGAAAAGCGAAGGAGTTTGCACATTGGACTGTTGTTGAAGCCGATCAAATGAGAGCAAAAAACGAGAATACACACACACAAAACAACATCTTTCGCTGATGTCACTTTCTGGTCTGTGCGAGACTGCTCCGGTCATTCCCGACTGGCCGACAATTGGGTGTGAGCTTCAAGAAGAAAGGAGATCAGGTGCCAACTACAGCAGCTCGCGCTGCATGGGCGGAAGGCGAGACAACAAAGCGAGATTTCCTCCTGTTGTTTTTTTTTTTTTCCTTTTTTTGTTTGTTTGTTTGTTTTTTCCCCTCTTGTTCTTCTTCTCCCTGCATGTTTGCTCACTTTTTCCGACGCCTTAGGTAAGCCGCCTCTGCCGTGAATTGGTGTCCACCAACCACACTAGTGAAGTAGCGCCATCTGGTCGGCTTCCGACGACGTGCTCGCTCGCCGCTAGTATCTACAGCACAGCGACAGAAACGTCGGCACTCGCTGCGCTCAGTCTGACCTCTCCAGTGGCGTCAGACGACTTGAAAGCGGGCCTGACGGTGCTCAGCACTGCGCTCAACTCGCCGAATCTCGATTCGGTGTCGATGTTCAAGCTTGAGCTGCTCTTACTTGAGCAGTTCCTTCTCTATCGACAAGTCCTCTTGTGCGGTCCACTGAATGTCGAAACGTCGACTCAGTATCGGCAGTCACTGGCGCGTCTTGTGGCTGCGCTCCCCAGGCGGTCGCCCGACGAAAATGAAGACGAAACTCAAGCCAAAACGAAGCACCCAAGCCTGAGTGACGATGGGTGGAAGTGGAACCCATTTCCACAGGCCACAACACTGGTAATGCTGCTGGAGGAGGAGTTGGCTCTCCGCTCAGCTGCAAACAGCGTTCAAGATTTGACCGAACTTCTCGAGCTTCTGGGCGCGACGTTCGAGATTGGCCCGCCACGCAGCCGTGCAGAGCTCTCGGATGCTGCAATCAAGACATTGACTGAGATGTACTTGCACATGGCCTTTGCAGGAGACAAGATTGGCCGCTCGGTTGGTCGTGCTCTCGCGCATTGGGTGTACAACAACGAGTCTGGAAAGGGCAAGCTCCGCCAAACCCTCTTCGAGCACGACAACGAGAAAAGGACCTTCTTGGAGCATCTCGGCCGACTCGAGATGTCTGCTGAAACGGCGCCTTCATGCGCCCTCCTTGTTCAGAACTGGGTCTGCGGCGACGAGGAACTACAGAGAGAGATTGTTGACTCGCTCTTTTTCACCCATCCTTGCCAGTTCTTCTCTTCAACCTGTCACAAGCCGCTCCTGTCCCTCAATTCTGCTCTCATGTCATCGGCTCGGCGACTTTGCGTCATGGTGCGCGAGGTCCACCCGGGCAGGCACGCCACCACAAGCGTGCTTGCTGGTCTCGCCGCCAGCGTGGCTGAGCTGTTTGTGCGGTGCTTGCGGGAGATGCCGCTACAACTTGTTTGTGCGCAGCTTCTGCTCGAGCTCAAATCGCACGTCAAGCTCTCACCAGGGGCAGAGTCCGAGGCAATCACGATGATCGCATCGTTTCCCAAGTCGAAGCTTGCTGAAACGCTCCGTCCGCTGGTGAATGCGAACATTCGGCCAATGCCACCGCCAGCTGGATCCAAAATCGACATGGCCTGGTTCGACTGATCGCTGTTGGTTGGTTGTTTGTTTGCGTTGTTTGTTTGCGTTGTTTGTTTGCTTTGTTTGTTTGTTCGGACAGTTCGACCTCTTTGTTGATCGAGTTGCTTGCCTTCTTGTGTGGACATCGGTTTACACCTCAGCTTCGACAGCTCGAAACACCTGCAGGTGGCAGGAGTGAGTAAGCATTCTTCCATCCACCACGATGCAGGTAACACGAACAGCAACACATACATCGTCGTTCACATTTCCGGTACATGTATGACTTTATGTGCAATTTGATGTATGGTGTTGTTGTCGGGTTGATTAAACGACGAGAATTCTTTGTCCCGATTCGAACTCGCGCCCAGCCAAAGGTCAATGCAAAGTCAAAATTTCATATTGCTCCGACCGCCGCCATTTTTTGCACATCGTCTATATTAATAATGCTGAACAAGAATATGAAGAGAGCCAGGTGCAGGGTGGTCACCAGTTTTTGTCTCTTAGAAGGAGGGTTTTCTCTAATCCATTCGCAGTCACTTTTCTAAAGTCGCTGAAATCAAGGTTGAGACAAGTTGAACGATGCCCCCAAGGTGTCGCCATTTAATAACCAGCAAAGCATTGAATGCTACCCACCAACGTTAATCAGGGGTGGGGAGGGGGCGAAGAGGAGGTGTGAAGAGGGGAAGTTGAATTGCTGCTCCCAATGGAACTGGCAGAGATAGAGCTCCGCATGCGACCGTGGAGAGGAGGACACACTTATGGAGCACAGCAAACGATCGTACAAGCGCAAGGTGATTTGGGCAGGGGGCAGACTTGGGACGCCCAGACCAAGGCAAGACCACTCGACTGGAGGGAGCAGACCACACGCGGCGATCAAAGCAAAACCGCACATGCACAGTCAGGCTTGCTCAAAGAGATACTGTGCTTGACGATGCGACCGTGTGGATTCAACCAACACACAGTGACATGCGGAAATTCGGCACTGGGGCGGGGGCGAGGAGAGCGGTCAATGAGCCGAAATTGCAGATTTTGGCTTGGCGGCAAATTGAGTCGCGAACACGAAGTCTTCACCACAACAAGTGGGTGGTGGGATATCTAGCACAGCTTGAGTGGTGCTAGATTGAGTGATGCGGCGGCTGAGCGGAGTGTGTCGCGCGCACGAGCCGTTAGCGTTTGGTTTGCAAAGTAATCTTAAAATCTTGAGCACTCAGCGCTTATGGTTGATGATTGAGTGACGATGGCAGATGGCAGTATGAATGAACCATCCATTGTGCATTGACTGTTGCATTGTCACTTTTGGTACCCTTGCATCAGAAACTACAAAATTTAAGCCGATCAATCTTTTTTCCCGTACAATGGCAAAGCAACAAACACCAGATCAACCAGAAGACCAAGTAAGTATCTCAAGTCCTCACAGACGTCTAAATTTCTTCCTCTTCCTTCCTTCCTTCATTTCTTACCTCAAACACAAGTGTTGTCGCAGCTGAATCTCAGTCTTTTTCTTGTTTCTGGGCCTTATTTCAGTTACTCAACATTACCTCGTCTCCCTCTTCGTTTCGCTTGATTTTCGCGTGCGGTGTCACCATGAAGCAGCAACCTCAACACTTGTTCAACTCGGATGTGCTCGTCGACCTCGAGAAGGAGCAGCCGGCCGATGAAAAAGTGGCCTTCACAACGGGCGTAAGCCCTTCCAATCCCGGCGCCAACCTGCTCCTCCGTCCGCTCGCGCGTGACGACTATGAAAAGGGTAAGCATTGACGCATGTGCTAGCTATGGCTGGCGACGGGGGGGGGTGATGGGGGGGGCTTTGTGTTGTTGTTTGACAAGCTGTCAAACTACTCTGCGTCGCCTTCCACTTGTCACCGCGAACGCAGTTGCCACTGTGTCTCGTCGCAAGGCTGCTGATAACATCACAAACACGAGCGTGTGTGCAGTACCTGGAGGGTCAGAGGACCACGGCAGGCAGAGCCTGGGTTGGGTTTGGCAGACAGAGCGTGGGTTGCTGTTGGTTGGAAAACCAATTGCGGTCTCGCTCTTCTGATTTTCCGCCACTCTCACAACCAAGCCGTGGACGGCAACGTCATGCAGGCGTCGATTATATTGACTGGCACCGAATAGTATCCTCACCAGCCCAGAGGGGTCCAGGGGGACGCGCTTTGACAACATTTGTGTTTTCCGTCCTACTCACCTTCTTGTCTGGTTTTTGGTCTGTTTTCCTATCTGCTCGTCATGCAGGCTTTCTTCAGCTCTTGGCTCAGCTTACCACTGTCGGCGAATATCCCAAGGAGCAATTTGAAGGTTTGTTGCTTTCATGAGGAGGTTTCAGCATGTTGCGCAGTTTTCCTTTAGAAGTGGTCTGACCCCCCCCCTCGTTGTTTCTCAGAGCGATTTGAAGAAATGCGCGCATTGAAAGACACCTACTACGTATGCGTGCTCGAGGACACGACGACCGGCAAAATCATTGCGACTGGCACTCTGGTCGTTGAGCGCAAGTTCATCCGCGGAGCTGCAAAGGTGGGTAGATGATTGCCCCTTCAGGAGTGCTCTTTTGAAAAATCTCCACTTACCTTCACACTCTTCCTTGAATTATCCAGCGAGGTCACATTGAAGACATTGTCGTCGACAGCAACACTCGTGGCAAGCAGCTGGGCAAACTGTAAAATCAAATATGCCTTTACAATTCAAAGAGTTGTTGTTTTTTTCAGCTCGACTCAATCCGTGTGTGTGTTTCCATCAACAGCATCATTCAAACGCTTCGTCTGCTTGCCAAGCGAACGGGCTGCTACAAGGTCACCCTGGACTGCAGCACGACGAACGTGCCATTCTACGAAAAGTGCGACTTTAGCAAGGAGGACATTCACCTGATGACAAAGCGGTTCTGAATGCGTGTTTTGTGCTTTTGTGCTTTTTGTTGTACTCTACCCTGTGTTGAATTTCTGCTGCATGCAACTGCGATTGATCGTATAAGCTATATTAGAACAACAAGAAAAAGCGCACAACGATCGAGCACGAACAAAAAAAACGAGGTGGTGGTGGTGGTGGGGGCACGCGACAAGAAGAAAACCAAAACCGAAAGAAAAAAAAAATCGATGGTTCCAAAACGATCTGATGATGGGTCTGAAAAGAACGGACATACGTCTCAAAGGAGAAAACCTTAAAGAATGCCATTCGTAATATACTGGTAGTTGTCGTACAGCCGGGTGGAAAGACTCGACATGCTCGAATCAATCATGTTGTTGACCAGAACAATGATTTGTTCCTCGGTCAACGACATGTGGAAGCGATCACGCAAGCTGCGGACTGTCTCTTCACGTGCCACAAAGCATGGAAGGCGCGAGCCTGCAGAAAAAGAACAAAGCAGCAAGATAAACAACGAATTGAGCTCACAGGTGGCTGAGGACCGCACAGCAAAAGCAAAAAAAACAACAAAAAAAAAAACATAAAACGAAAAAAAAAAAAAAAAACTGCACACACACCTTTTTGCATAATTTCAACAATCATGGAAATCTTGTCCATGTGCTTGCGAGCAGCGATAAAGCCCTTCAGCATGAGAATCTTAAAGTACTGGTACATGTCGCTGTGCAATCCTCCCATGACGTCCACAAACTCGTGCGTGAGCTTGAACGCGGCCGTCTCAAACCCGAGATTGCGCGGCGAGTTGGACAGGAAGAAGCCAAAATCAATGTGCAGCAAATGACCATCGGCATCCAGCAGAATGTTGCCGTTGTGGCGGTCCTTGATTTGCAAAAAGTAGCAAATCAACGAGTATGCCGCCAATGACTCGACAAAGTTGCGCCGCGCGTTCAGGAAGGATTCAGAGGTGAGCTCGCCAAACTCCTGTTTGGACACGATCGTGGTGAGACCTCGGTTTCGCTCAAAGACCCCGGGCAAGACAAGCAAGCAAGCAAGCAACAACCAAAGAAAAAAAAAGAAGAAGAAAAAAAACAAAAACAAAAAAACAAGAACAAGTAGACAAAGAAGCGATTCTCGTACCTGTCGGAAATACTGAAGCAAGTAGATGCCAGTATTTTTCTTGATGGAATGAAGGGAAATTGCGTTCGGCACGGTTTCAATCAAGCCGCTCTCGTTCGATGTGACAAGAATTCGCACACTAAAAAACAATCCGCAAAATGAGTCCAACCAATCCAACCATCTTTCTACAATTTCACCACAGCCGCGTCCCCTCCCCCACACACGCACACAGCAATGCCACCAAAACTTCAACTTACGGGTGCAGCCACAGAGGCAACCGCTCTTCTTGCCAAATATTCTTGAACTGAGAAATGAGCTGACAAGCAAGCAGCTCTTGACGCAAATCATCGCCACTCTTCACAATGCAAGAGTAGACGTGCCAGGTGAGCAGGTGCCCGTACGGCGAGGAGCGACGAATTCGCTCGACCTTGTCAGCCCATGGTTCCTTGAACGCTGCCGCAGAAGGATCGTCAGCAGAGGCGTGGAAGCGGGCGGAAGGGCTGTTGAAGGCCTCCTCAAGCCGGTTGCGAATGTCCCGAGCCTGGAAAAACGACGGGCGGACAGTGGCGACGTGATCGTCGAACAGCAGCGAGTCTGCGTGAACTTGGTCGGCCGTCGGAATGGTGGACGCGGCAACTGCAGCGGCCGCGGCCGCGGCTTGTTGCTTGGTTTGCGACCTTGACTTTTGGTCCATCGACCCGGAGCGCCCAGAGCTCTTGGAGTTGGGCGAAAGAGGCAGCTCCAGGGTTGAGCCGGAGGAAGTGGGCGACAGGGAGCTGGATGAGGAAGCGCTGACTTCGACAGGAAGGTTTGTTGAGAATGTTGCTGGCAAACCAGGTGCACCCGGTGTGACTACAGCAGCATTATTCAGCTGCAAACCAGTCGCTGAGTTCGGGGCGCTGAGGCTGGTCGAAGGTGAAGCAGGGGTTTCCGCGGCACCGTCCTCGGGCTTGGCGCAAGATGCTGCGTCCTTGGCTTTCGATTTGCCGTCGGGGGTTTTGGTGATCAACGCCTCGGGCAAAGGCAGGTTCAAATTCGAGACGGCTTGATTTTCAGACGTTGCAGCCAACAGTTCTTGCTGTCGCGTGGAAAGTGGAAGCAGAGAAAGTGGCTGAATCGAAGGGCCGCCGATCGCAGAAGGATGCGCTTGCGCATACTGGTCGCCACTGCCAAAGCTGCTGACGTGGTTTTGCATGAGCGTCGCAACGAGAGGGTCGCTGGACGTGCTCGAGCTGCTAACGACACTGCCCGCACGCAGAGAGCGGCGAGGCGTGCGATACTCTTCCTCCATCGACGCGATCGAGCACGAATCCACGTCCTCGGTCAGCATGTCGTCGTTGGAATCAATGCTGCCAATATCAAACGCCACGCCGCGGCTGTTGAGCAGCACGTTGCTCGGACTGGCGTGAGCGGGATGAGAGGGGGTGTTTGCAGGCAGACTCGGGGATCGGAAAGTGGGCGACTCAGAACGAGACGATGCAGACATGCGTGCCTGCACCACAGGGGCCGAAGTCGGCGGCGATGGTTGGGACTTGCCGGCGGGAACCGCTTTCGCTGCCGAGACATTGAGGTGTTGTGCTGGTTGGAAGAGCTGTTGTTGTTGTTGTTGCTGTTGATGCTGCTGTTGATGCTGCGCGTGTTGTGACTGCGACTGCTGCTGTTGTTGCAATGATGAAAGCTGGGGCACCATACCATCACTGTGAAGGGAGAAAACAACGCCACCCGCTCCGACAGTTCCAATCTGCACACCGGCCAATGACAAAGAGCGACCACTGGCCGGGTAGGGAGACGGGCCACCGCGCGAGAGTGACGAAGGTGAAGCAGCGCCGCTGGTCGGCATGAATGCCGGAAGTTGGCTGTCATTGTAAGTAGAACCAGTGGATGAGATTCCAGAATCAGAAGTGAAGGTGCTGACCGCATCGTCAATGAGGATTTTGGAGCGACGCGAGGACGTGGGCTCAACAAGCTTGCGATGCACTGGGTCGACAAGCATGTCAACACATTCCAACACTTCGACGTGGATGAGATACGGAACCTTGGCCTTGGAGTTGAGGGTCACAGCCTCTTCCGGTGGAATTCGCACAACATGGTGATTCATGTTCTCCACGATAGGCAAAAAGACGCGCGCAGGCAAGTTGTGATTGAGCAAGGCGAGTTCGGCAAACAGCTGCGTTTTGCGCATTTCTTGCGAGCGCAGCAGGGCCAAGCGCGATCCAATCTCAATCAATGCCTTCATGAAGTTCATTTGCCCAGCGAGCACATGGTGCAAAAGAACATCCATGGGTTCTTCATCAGGAGGCGAGCCAGAGTTGCTGGCATACGTCTCGTCAAAGGAGTCGGCGGGCGAGCGGACGTGCTGGAGCAGCTGCGACGGATGTTGGTGCAGAGCTGCAGCGCTTCCGCCGCCGTTCGCCACACTGCTAAGAGAGGTGGACGAGGTCGATCGTGTGTTGAACAGACCGACGGGAAAATCGAAAGCGTGGCCGCTGGAAATGTTGGGCGCCATAAAGTCGCCATCGTGCATGGCAAACTGCGTCGTGCTCATGGAGCGCGCGGCAAATGCTGCTTGCACGGCTTCCGACGGCGTGTTTGGGGCAAACGTCGCGGAGGCACTGTGCGGGAATGCAACGGGCGGAGACGCCGATTGAGTCGGAAACACGAACGGTGTGGACGTCACGGAAGCCGAGCTCGTCGACACCGACGAGTAAACGCGGCGGTGCAGACTATGCGACATTTGTTGTTGAGGCTGCTGGGAGCCCAGGAGTTGAAGGTTGCTCGACGAGCCCGAGGGAGAAGCGCCGAGCAAGGAAGCGGCTCCAAGCAGGTGGTTGGGCGATTGTTGTTGCTGTTGCTGTTGTTGTTGTTGTTGTTGTTGTTGTTGTTGTTGTTGATGTGGCTGAGACTGTTTCGTCGCGGATGATTGTGGTGGCGCGCCCTTGAGGAGTTCAATTCCAGACCTGCTGCGCGTGGCTGTCTCATGCATGGCTGGGTTGCTGGAGTGTGGCTGGTCGGAGGACAACGAGTTGCTGGGCAGGGTTGGGAGATCGGATTGGGTTCGTCGGTGCTTGGCAAACACGGTGGATGAATACTGACCGAGCGTTGAGCCAACAAGACCGGCACCACCAGGAACGGGCTGGGAAGCCAGACCACGATAGTAGCTAACAGACGGCTGCACAGAGTCACTGAAGGGTGCTGTCGTGGACGAGGCATCGCGCGAGGAGGAGCCGCCAGAGGCCGAGATGGAGGACAGAATGGACGCGCTCGAGTGAGAGCGAGAGCTAGAGACTGGGGGATGCTGACGCAGCGCAGCCGAAAGTTGCTGGTCGGACTGCATTTGCAGGAGCACGTCGTCTGCGGGATCTTCGGCCGTGTCCATGTTGTCTCGGCTCAAATCGCGCTCCAAATCACTCGAGCTGTCGCTCTGCTCGAGCCCTTGCCGAGATTGGTGTTGGTACGAGGAGGTGGATGCGCCAGAGGAGGAATTAGCGAGTTGTTGTTGCTGTTGCTGTTGCTGTTGCTGTTGCTGTTGGTGGTGGTGCTGCTCGTACATGTACTCGTTGGCAGCGTGAGCCAGTTGTGCTTGGAGCACGCGCTGGGTGGGCATCTTGACACGAATACCCAAGATCTTGTTTCGCAGACGCAGACAGCGTGCGTGGCGGGAGGAGGACATGCCGTCCTGCATGGACGAATCCAGTTGCCAAACGGCGAGCAGGGCAAAGTAGGCGCTTGTCGCACAGCGAGCAAGGATAAAGTGCTCCACTGCATCTGACTCGTTGGGCCGTCGGATGTACATGTGCAAGAGCTGCGTAATGTAGAATTCGACCTGCCGTGGTGGGAGACGAAAGAGTTCGTTGCAAAGATAGTCCTGAACACCCGCATCAGGGTACTTGTGCAAGTATGAAATGGCCAAGAACGTGTCAAAGAATTCGGAGCGGAAGAGACGCAAGAGCCACGACGACTTGGAGCCGCCAGCACTCGCGCTGCTTGCGCTATTGGAAAAGTTGGACGCCACAGGGGCTGCCAACCCAGCGATCGACGATGGCAAGTCGCTGTTCGAGACGAGCGACGAAAGCGAGCTGGAAGACAAGGACAGCGCGGAATCACCAAATCCAGTGGATGAGGAGAACTCTTGAGCGGACTGTTGTTGTTGTTGTTGCTGAGTTGGCTGAGCGTACAGCCCAAAGGCTGGCTCCTCGGCAAGCGTGGAAAACGGGGAAGCTGGAATCAGCACCACATTGTTGCTACCAGAGCTGCTGTGGCGGGAGTGCGTGAACAAGTTGTTTGGACGGTTTCCCGGTGCAAAACCTGTTGCTCGTGGCTCTGAGGAGGCGATCAGGGTGCCAGCGGAGCCCGCAGAGCCAGGAGTAGATACCAGGCCACCGGGGCTTGCCGTTGCATTGCCACTAGCATATGGTGCTGTGCTAGATCCCGCAACAGCAGCAGCAGCAGCAGGTGTGAAGACGAGCGGGCCAGGAGCGGTTCGAGCACTTCCTTGGGACGACGACGCTGCAACAGTCTGGCTGGACGACGGCGAGGTGGTCATGACGGCTGACATGGACACTACGAGCGTCGTGAGTTGGTCTGACGCGCCCGTGGACGACGAGGACGAGGACGACGACGTCGAGGCAGAGGCTTGGAGAGAAGCGCCCGAGCTCGACGTCGACAGCGGCTGGTAGCCCTGCGGCCCTGAAGCCTGTGCCTGATGATGATGATGAGTCTGATGTGGTTGTTGCTGTTGATGTTGTGCAGTCTGCTGTCCGTGGTGGTGGTGGTGGTGGTGGTTGGACGAGGCCGCGGACGAGGATGACGATGACGGGCCGACGAACGAGCGCAATAGAGCGCCCAGCGACGAGTGTGACGACGACCGCGACACGGAGACGACTGCCGGCGTTCGCTGTCCCTGTCCCTGTCCCTGTGACTGTGACTGTGACTGGGGTTGTGATGACGGCGGCTGGGGCTGTTCGGCGGCGGCAGACGAAGCAGTCTCGGCTGATGCGCTTGCGTTCCTACTGCTGGGCAGCGCGTCTGCCGCTGACACAAGCGTCGTTGCTGTCGTTGTTGCTGCTGTTGCTGGTGCTGGTGCTGGTGGTGTCAGAGTGGCGGTGAGTGGAGCAGCAGCGGCGGCGGCGGTCGATGCAGCAGCGGGCGTCGAGGTCGCCGTGCTGGGAGCTGCTGCGATGGGGAAGGGCGACGATTCCGCCGCGACTCCAGCGCCACTCGCAGCAGCAGCAGCACCCGATGACAATGACAGTGCTGATGGCGTGCCAGTGCCAGTGCCAGTGCCAGTGCCAGTGGCGGCCGGCGTTCCTGTGGCTGGGAGTGTGGCCGCCACGCTACTACCGCTACCGCCAGCAGCAGCAGCAAGTCCCACTACACCAGCACTCCCACTCCCACTCCCACTGCCATTCCCACTAGCACTAGCACTAGCACTAGCACTAGTGGTCGCACTGGCGCTGGCGTTGGCGTTGGCGTTGCTGCTGCTTCCGCCAAAGAAGCTCGAAAACATACAGAAAAAAAAAAAAAAAAAAAAAAAAAAAAAAGGGAAATGATAAAAAAAAAAAAAAATACAATCAAAACTCAATGGAAACTCAATGGAAAAAGTCAACGAGTTTTGCTTCAGAGTAAAGTAGACAACAACAAGGAAAGCTGACGTGTAGAGTCATTTACATTGGAGCAAAGAAGAACGAAATGTGAGATTGGACGAAACATGTCACATTGCAAAAGACAAGGAAGAAGTGAGGAACGAGCGAGCGATCGAGCAGAGAGTGGAAATGAAAACAAAGCGGTGATCAACAAGATGAAAAGCATGAGCAATGGGAGGGCTGACAAGGAAGCCAAACAGGGAAGCAAAGCAGCGAACGACAGAAACAAAGAAGAGGGATTTGGTCGTTTGAATGTAATGTACAAGAAAAGCCAGCAATTTGGTGATACAAGCACCACGACAAAACATGGCCGTGTCTGAGCAGAGGTCACAAAAAAAGCATTCATGCAAGCATGTGTGGTGCGGGGGGGGGGGAAAGGAAAAAAGAACCAGACGAAAAGCTGGATCATGCCGACTTTGGCTTGGATTTCGCTTCCTTTTCCTTGGCAAGCGCAAATTGCTTGAGGGCAAAGCTAGATCCGCAGCCACATGACGAGTCTGCTTGAGGGTTGCCGATAATGGCAAAGGACGACCGAATGAGCTCCTTCTTGTACGTGACGGTCGCGCCTCTTAGAAACTCCAGCGATTTGCGATCTGTAATGACTTTGGCGCCGTCCCGCTCAAAGATTCTGTCAAAGCAACAAGCAGCGAGTAACAATCCACACGTTAGCCACACAGACTTCCTCTTCGATACACATGCAACAACACACACGCAAAAAACACCAAGCAAAACAAAAGAGACTACTCAACTCGTCCCGGGCGGTCGCGCTATTTTCTGGAACCAACTTCCAGATGTACTCAAAACCATCGCATCCACCGACCTTGACGGAGACACGCAGTGCGAGTCGATCCTGAGCTGGATCCGAGTTCAAATCGCCCATGCGCTGGAGGTTGTTGTTTTCGATTCATCCAAAAACAGAACAAAGTGGTTAGTTCCATTGAAACTTTGCCTCAATTGCGACTCGTTCACTCAACAACAACAACAACAAGGCCAGCTTCCAAGATTCTCAGAACGCGAGGGTGTGGCCCCTGCTTACCTTTGCGAATTCTGCAGAGAGCACGACTCCAATCGGCGCTGCGTGGCTGCCGTCAACGAATGCAGGCACACTCGACGTAGCAGCAGCAGCAGTAGTAGTAGGAGTAGTATTGGCAGGAGCGACCGGACTCGAAGGACTTGGCACAGCCGCCGCTGCAGACGACGACATGAAGCGTGCGTGCGCGGCCATTGGCATTGACATTGGCATTGCGTCGCGAGTCGTCACGGCGGTCGCGGTGGCAGAGCGGCGGCTGTGGAAGAAGGCACTTGCAGCAGCGAATGCAGGGGTGGCGACGGCGGCGATCTGGTCCTCCTGTCGCTGTCGGTGTTGGTGAGCAGCAGCAGCAGCCAAGACAGACGAGCCAGCGCGGCGTGACGACTGGTGGAGGCCTCCGCTCCTCGTGCTCGCCTGGCGCCGCGGGGCAGTCGCTGCAATGCTACCGCTCGTAGTGCTGGAAGGAGTGCTGGCCGGGGCGGGCTGTGTGGCGGCGGAGGTGCTCGCTTTGGCGGCAGCGGCGAGTCCCAGCGCGGGTAATCGCAGCGTCACTTGCTGCACGGATGACAGCGAAGACATTGTCACAACAAGGGAAGCAAGAAACAATGACTGAGAAAAGAATCAACATCATTAATCAGCAAGAGTGGGAGCTGAAATTGGAATTAGAGATGGATGTTGGAGGCAATACAAGAGAGAGAGAGAGTCACAATGGAACAGTGCGACTCGAGGTTGCTTCTCACTCGACGAGCGCGATTCTTTGAGGCTGTGCTGTACAGAGAGAGGATGGAAAAATATCAGTGGTGGATGGATTCAGTGGATGCGGGAATTGAGCATGGCTGGCGTTTGTTTTGACGTTCGACAACAAGAACCACACCATAAACTCAAACTTCGTTTCAAACAAGCCACCAGCAAACAGACGGAGACGGGGCTCTTCAAACCATGTGGTTGTACTTCCACTCGGTCAGGGGAACGAGTTGCTCCTTGACTGCACGCGTGGACACGAGTCGTTGCATGAACTGGCCAAATCCGGCCTTGTCGTTCGTGCCCGACATGCGCGAGCCGCCGAACGGCTGCTGACCCACGACCGAGCCTGTGCAGCGGTCGTTGATGTAAAAGTTGCCTGCTGCGTTGGCCAGCTCGGAATCAGCGAGGACAATGGCATTGCTGAAAATGAGTGAGAGAGAAAAGTCGCAACCCAACATTGGTGAGTAACAAACCAACCATCAAACAGTGCGAACAACGCGTCTCTCTCGGTTACCGATCGCGAGCAAAAATGGAACCAGTGAGAGAGAAGGCGGTTGACTCATTCACAAGCTTGAGAACATGCTCGAACTGGTTGTCTTCGTAAATGTAGGCTGTCAGGACAGGGCCGAAGATTTCCTGTCGCATCGTCTCGTACTTCGGATCGGTCGTCAGCAAGATTGTCGGCTGAACAAAGTAGCCCTCCCTGAGTTTTGAAAGTGAAACGCAAACGAAAAATAAAGAAAAAAGAAAAAAGAAAAAAGAAAAAAGAAAAAAGAAAAAAGAAAAAAGAAAAAAGAAAAAAGAAAAAAGAAAAAAAGAAAAAAGAAAAAAAGAAAAAAGAAAAAAGAAAAAGAAAAAGTTAATCGCAAAAACCCGTAGGCAACTGGACAACAACAAACAAAAACTGGACGACTTACGAAAAATCGTACTTGCCACCAGCAAGAACCTGAACAGCAGACGCGGTCTTGGCGCGGTCAATGTAGCCAGAAATGCGGCCGGCCGACTTGTCGTCAATGACGGCAGACATGAACGACTTGAAGTCGTCTGGCTGGCCCATGGTGATCTTGCCAGTCTCTTCGACGAGCCGGGCGAGAATGGTCGGTGCGAGGCTGCGGGGAAGGTAGATGCGCGAGCACGCCGAGCACTTTTGGCCTTGGTACTCGAACGCCGAGCGGATGGTGCCGTTGACGACCGTCTCGACGTCCGCGGTGGGGTGAACCAGGTGGAAGTTTTTGCCTCCAGTCTCGCCGATGAGACGGGGGTAGGACTTGTAGTGGGCGAGGTGGTTGCCGACCTCCTTCCAGATCCATTGGAAGGTGGGGGTGCTGCCAGTGAAGGCAATGGCGGCGAGGTCCGGGTGCTTTGTCACAAACTTGCCAAAGGTCGGACCGTCGGCGGGCACAAAGTTGACAACGCCATCAGGCAGACCAGCCTCGCGCAAAATCTCGTAGACAACCCAGTTGGAAAGCATGGAGGTGTCGGACGGCTTCCACAGCACGACATTGCCAGCGATGGCCGCCGAGCTGCCAAGGTTGCCACCAATCGCAGTAAAGTTGAACGGCGAAATGCCAGCAACAAAGCCTTCAAGGGGACGATAGTCAACGCGGTTCCACACGCGCGAAGAGTGATGCTCGGGTTGCTGGGCGTACATTTCGCGCATGTACTTGACGTTAAAGCGCCAAAAGTCGGCCAGTTCTGCCGCGGCGTCGATTTCTGCTTGCTGGACTGTCTTGCTCTACGTAGAGGAAGACGAAGAAGAGGAAGGAAAACGAAGGATGAGACATGGCGCATTTTGGACTGGAGCGACCAGCAAGCCAAACTCTCTCACCTGTCCAATCATGGTGGTTGCCAAGGCTCGTGCACGGTAGGTGGTGCTGAGAAGATCGGCGGCACGGAGGAACACGGCCGCACGGTGCTCGAACGGCACCTTGGACCACGACTCGCGGGTGATGAGTGCGTTCTGGGCGGCCTACATGACGACAGAAAACACGATTCGATGCGAGTAAGCAGAGAGAGAGAGAGAGTAAGAGAGATTTCAAACCAACAAAACACCAAAAAGCAGAGATGTTGGTTCCAAACCTTCTCGAGCACAGACTTGTCAGCGTGGTGAATGGTTGCGATGGCTTGCTTGTGCTGGGAAGGGATGACTTGCTTCACCGTCCTACAAAAAGCATTGGAAATTTTCATGGGTTTGGTTGGTCACACTCAGTTGTGAGGTGCATTTTCTCGCGCCAACCCCGCAGCTTCTTCAATCCTCCAAACACACTTGCAATCATAACATGTTCACGATCTTTCTCTTTCATTTCAATGTGATCATCCATCAAAATCTTCATGACACAAAATCTCTCTTCGGTTGAAATTTTGAGCGTTCTCGTGTAAAAATTGAATGATGGCAACCAAAACGCAGCGCTTTTTTTTGGTTGTTCAATTCAACGCGTACTGTTTTTCCAATACGACGTTCCTTGTTTTGAATCTTGAACTTACGTGGACGTGGTGATGCGCTCGCCGCCAACGACGCAGGGAATCTCGACGACCTCGCTGCGGACCCTGCGACACGCCGCGACGACTGCCTCGCGCTCCGCACTGAACAAAAGGCGCGCAGCAATGATGACAAAAACACACAAGTATGTTGCATAGGATTCGCAGATGAGTGAATGTGAGTGAGTGGAGAGAGGAACGCGAACGACAGCTACAGCTTCGCTCTGTCTCTCTCGGTCTCTCTCTGCGCGCTCTCTCTCTCTCTGCGCTCGCTCACGAACGAAACGCACCTGCCGGGCATGAAGCCATAGTTGGGCTCGTTGGCGATCGGCGGCAGGCTGAAGACGGCGTTGGACAGGAAGCGACGCGAGGTCGTTGAAGCTGCACCTGGCGTGACTCGAAGCAAGGCAGAAGAAAGCATTGAGGTTTCTATGGAGGCAGATCACGAACGGAAGAGTGCGCGCAGTCGAGGCGCGGAATATCAGGATGAAACGAAAATATTATTCACAATGAAATGATACAGAGGGGAAAGTATGGGAGAAGGTGGTTGGTGGCGATGGGAGAGCAGACAAGAGAAACGGCAGTTCTCAGAGACCTGGGCATGACACGAGAGACCTCGAAATGCAGCGATTTCGAGCTTGGATAGTGAGGAAGTATGTAGCACAATTCATTTCGCTGTATTGCAGGCGGAACAGAGACAAATCGCGCAAGTTATTGGATCGAACCAAAACCAAGTCAACGGAGCTCAAAGAGCACTTTCCAAATTGCCGTGCGGATTCCGCCGACTCAAATCTCAGATCTCAATTATTGGAATTGTTCTATGAACTGAAAAAGGCTTGCATGCATGGCGCTGGGGCAGACTATTTGTGCTTGGCCTGAAAAGTAATTGAGTGATACAACACAATGGACATTCAAACAAACAGCATCATCCGCGATTTCAAGTTGATTAGAATGACGGAAAATCGCACTGGGGACTGACCAGACTAGATCCACACACATATCATGCCTCGCCACAGTTAGACGGATGTTGGGGTGGGAGTCGACGTGGCCAGCGCCGAAGCAGCGTCGCGGGCCTCCTCGATCGTGCACACACTCGAGTCGCAGAACTTATCAGGAGTGATGTCAATGTTGCCCACAGCCGAAAAGTCCACCGGCGACAAACCGGCCATCATCTGCTCGTACTCTTCGCGTGAAATGGCCTCGATCGGCATTTGCGCATATGCGTTGGGGCGACGAGGCAGGAAAGAGATGCCTGCGCGACAAATATTCAGTTGGATGCATCAGAACAGGTTTAGGGCTGAAGCCACAACAGCAACACGACAGCAAACCGCCCCCCCCAAAACAACAACATTATCAACAACAACAACAACAACAACAACAACAAAAACCTCACCTTTGAGCTGGTACTGGAAATAGTCCAGAGCAAACGGCAGCTGGCCTCCTTCGGTCTGAGGATCAAACGTGACGGTGCAGCTCACCTGCAAGAATAACACAAGCGGCGTGCACATTCAAAAGTGAAACCAAAGTGTGCTCATTTCACAGTCAAAACAACAGTCACGCGTACTTGATTGTCTGCCCAGTGACGCTGCAGGAAGGATGCAAGCGACAGCTGCTCCCACATGGAAACTTCGCTGGCGGCGCGCAAATCTTCACCAACATCGACGGGGAAGGACACAATCATAGTCTTGCTCGAATCTAGCCATCAACAAACGTGAGTGAATGTGTCGTTTCTCAAAGCAGTATAGAGCTCCTGAACACTACGTACGAACGTCGGGCTCAACATGATAGCCAGCCTTGATGAGGGGCGGAAGCAAATCCGACTGCGCGGAAACGCGAACGCGACGACGGCAATACCGACTCTCGGGGTAATGCATGCCAGGCGTAGCTCCAGCCAGCAGCGACACTGTGCCACTCGGTTTCACGCTGGTAGTCTTGATTGAGCGAGGAATGGCAAACTCGTCCGAGAATCTGGCAACACACGACGAACAGAAAAAAATCAGTCAAAAACAACATGTGAAAGTGTTCAATCCAGAGCAACTCACTCGCGATCAAGTTCTTGGATGCGCTCGTAGCCCTTGGTGCACCAATCGCGGAATTGGTGAATGCCTGCATCAAAGACAACGCCAGCAAGTTCAGACAGCCTGCAACACAACAGAATCTCCACGACAGACGAAACTTTGTACCGATTTTCTGCAACTGCAGAGCAATGCCGCTCATACTGCATCCAATGCGTCGGTTGCGAAGCAACACACGGTTGCTCTCGGGCCAATGAGTTTGACCTGTCGCCCCTCAACGAGTGAGTCGGTGGTCCAAATACATCCAACTCCCGAGCAAAAACTGTGTTGGAGCCTCTCACCAAGCGTAACGGTCTTGGCGTACAAGTACGCCGCGTCCAAGGTTGCAAGGAAGTCCTCCAGCGAAGAGTGGTTGTGGGGGAAGGTTTCCACAAGGCAGCACAGCTCAAAGGACTCGAGTGTTTGCTCGAGGCACGGGTTGCCACCGCTTGCTCGATGATCCTGAGCAAAGAGCGCGCAAAGTAAGCCAGCGCCAGCCAAAAGCAAAGCAAGCAAACAAAACAAAGGGCCAACACTGGACAAACCTTGCCGTCGGGGAGATTCAGCATGCGACTGAACTGACGCATGTTGTCCAGCCACGCAAATCCAGGCTCGCCGTTGTCGACAATGCGCTTGCAAGCGGGGCCATAGTCCATTCCGAGATCCGCAAAGATCTGCGCCATGCACATGCCAAAGAAAATGAGTCGATATTCCACCTTGAACAAGTCAACCCAGCAAAAGCACAAACCGAATTGTTCGACGTCCAGGAAAACGCTGCGCGTTGCGGGTTGACGGCGTGGTTTTTCAGATCCAAGTACTCTTCGCTGGTTGCCGGGCCGAATGCAATTTCAGCAGTTTGGCGCACCTGTTTGTTTTCGAAAAAAAATGGCATGTCCAATCATTGAGAACAATGTGGGGAAGCTCCAACGAAAAACACACAAAAAAAAATTCCCAAGATGAAAAAAACTCACATTGCCGGAAACGACACACTTGCCAATCAAGTTCATCATGTCCACGATCGCAGTCAACGTGATGGCCTGTCCAGAGCAGCGGTCCAACACATCGCGCAGGCCAATGTGCAGCTCTTGCAGAGCTCCCGGTCCGCTGCTGTGGCCGCCAAAGCCCTGGGGGGGGATAGAAAGCGACGAAATGAGTGTCGGAGGAATTTAAGCACTGGCAAAATACTGGATGATTGTGCAACTTACCTTGATGGGTTGACCAGGACCACGAATTTTGCTGTAGTCGAATTGAACAGGGTTGGTGCCGTCAAAGTACGAATCAATCAGAGCGACAACGGATTCAACCCAACCTAATGTGATGTACATCTCCGAGGTGAGAAGGATCCCCCCAAAAAACCCCGAGGCAGACCACACTTCAAAAGCAGCACATACCTTCGCGGGAGTCGGCAATTTGAATCGTTTCCACCTTCTTGGACAGATTGACTCCTTTGACAAAGACGCCCTCGGCCTTCTTGCGCGAGTTTGGTGCAGGTTCAGCGCCCTTGGTATCGAATCCGACTCCAACACTGCGAGGAAAAGTAAAAAAAAAGGTCACAAACCCAAGAACAGTGAGGGAATTCAGCATCGACGAGGTCGAGCAGAAGAGGCAGCAAAAAGTCAAGCAAAAGACCTTACCCAAGCATCGACATGTCCATCAGGAAGGCAAAGGGCTTGGAGCGCTTGAGCTCGGGATCGTGCATGCACTCGGTGCTCACAAAAGCGCAGTTGTTCAACGCGGCGAACAGTTCGCGCTCTTCAGTCAACGGCGAGCCCATCGCCCAGAGGCCACGGCCCGGAGGGAGGAACTTCATGTGGAACATGCGCTCGTACATGTCTTCTGCGCGCTTCTGAGCCTATGTGGAGCGCAAAAACCAACCAACCAACCAAACAAACAAACAAAACAATGGATGAATCGACAAATCGACTGTGCTTTCTCTGGACAGCAAAACAAACAGCTGCTGCGCGGCTTACCAAGCCGTGACGCCAAGGGAGACGACGGTTGCTGCACCAGCGGTACTGCATGTTGAACGTGCCTTCAACCACGCGCTGGACGGTCTCAGCCCAGGTCTCGTTGGAGCCATCGGGCTTCTTGCGCGAGTACGTGCGGCGGTAGACCATCTCGCCGAGACCATTGTAGCCAAACGGCGGCTTGACGTCCTTGAACTTTTCAAGGAAGCGCTTGCTGAGCAGCGTGCGCGGCGGCTCGCGGCGGTTGGACGGAGCGTACGGGTAGCCGGCAAACTCGGCCGTGCTCTCGTGCAGGGCTCCCGCGGTCGGCGCAGACGAAGCTGCAGCCGAGGCAGAGATCTTGGCGATCTGGGTGGCCAGACGGCGCACTGGCTGAGCATCGTGCACCGTTCGCAGTGAAGAGTAGTGATGCCAAGACGCCAACGCGGCGCTGCTGGGACTCGCACGTGCGGCTGCAGTCCAGCCCGACGCTCGCCTGCTGGGCGACGCTGACAGGCATGGCGATGCACGAGTAAGCTCGAGCAGCGCCGTCGGGGCTGCTGCTGCTGCTGCGGTGGAGGAGTAGATGGAGCATGCGGTGCGCGCCGCTGTCGCCGAGACCACTGCTGCACGGAGCATTGCTGGGTTTGCGCTACTGTGACGAGCAAAGGAGCATTCAAAGTGAGGACCAGCAATGCACAAAAAGGCGTCCAGTCGAATGGCGGGGGGGGGGTGGGTGAAGTGGGTGAAGTGGGCGAAGCTCAAGCTCAAAGCTCTCAACGCCAAGACAACTGAGATGTGATATGAAGAGCAGAGCAGACAGGGACTCTGTTGCATGTTGTATGGATGGAATGCACAAAAAGTGGACGTGATGTCTGACAACTGCTTTTGTGAGATTGAAACCGTCACACACTGTTATGATCAGAGATCCTTCCACGAAGATACGAGTAATGGGTTGATGATGAGAGTGATGATAGGGAAACAAGAGACTTCACTTATACAAAGCGACGAGTGAACACACTCCAAATACAGATACACATCAATCCATAACACTCCGCCTTTCTTTCCCCCCCTTTCGAGACAGCAACGACGGAACATTTTGAACGTTACCGAACAGTAGAAAAAGTAGAGACTGAGCATACATGAGCATGAGCAACTGAGACTTGGAGAATGACTTTTGTTGAGATCACGATGATGTTCATTCGGAAACGATCGGCAAAGTTGACACTGGGTTGAATGAATCAAACGCTTTGAACTTCTGAGACGATCCATTGACTTCCTTATTGTCTGTCCAATTTCCCCCCCCCCACTCCCCCACATCGCCTTCCGCCACCACTTTGCTTCTCCATTTCATTCTCTTGATCTTTGTCGCTTACTGTCCCTTTTTCATTTCAGTCGTTGCTCAGTCTGCTTTTCCCCAAACGGCGTTTCCCAATCTCGCCCTCTCTCGCCTCCTTTGTTCCCCTCGTTTTCTCCCCCCCCCACCCCCTACCCCAACAACCAACAAACAGAACACCCGTTTCAGTCCTGTCGCGTCCACAGCACCCCGTATTTTCAGGTCTGCCCTGGTTTAGCAGCAGCAGCAGCCGACAATGTCGCACAGCAGTCACAGCAACCCTCCTGCCGAGTCGGCGTACTTGCGGGAGGGCCAAAAACCCGAATTGTTGTCGTTCCCGTCCGACGACTCTTCTCAGCCTCATCGCGCTTCCTTAGATCAGCAACATCATCATCCACAACATCAACATCAACTTCAGGAGGGAGAGGAAGAACAAGATCATCACGAGAACAACAGCAACAACATCTTCCCACTGCCTGCGTCGTCACATGCTCACTACCCTACGACGATCGCACCACTCTCCACTTCTACTGCTACTGCTGCTGCTGCTGCTGCTGCTGCTGCTGCTGCTGCTACGACCTCTACTGCTGCTGCTGCTAGTCTCGGTGCTGGTCTCGGTGGAGACGGCGCAATGCTGTCAGAGTGCTCCACGGCGACTCCGCCGACGCCTGCGACTGCCATCCCGACCGCCAGCGACGCTGCCAACCCCCTGCCATCCTCATCATCCTCATCATCCTCATCAACATCATCAACATCAACATCACCATCATCATCATCATCGTCGCCAGCGCCTGGCAGTGCTCCCGTTGACCGCACCGCTCTTTCTTCTTCTTCTTCTGCTGCTGCTGCTCCTCCTGCGCCACTCTCCTCTGACATTGCATCGATTGCCCCACTGGCTCATCATCACCATGATTACCAACATCACCATCATCCAAGCACAGGCCGCAGCGCCGTCGACCCTTCGCTGAATCAAAGTCCACAACAACAACAAAAGCCTGCTTCTCTTGAAAACCGGTTTGACCAGGTTTCAGCAGCCACTGCTCAACTTGCTCAACTGGCGACCACGACCACGACCACGACCACGACCACGATGACTGCGAGCAATGATGCTGGGAATGCCGTGAACTGGCCGAGCCTGGAATCGGGAAGCGCGACCACTGCTGCTGGAGGAGGTGTGAATGAATCATCACCACGCGCCAATGGAAGAAGCATGGAGCAAGCAAACACTAACACCACCACAGCCACTGCCATAGCCACAACGACAGCAGACAAGCACTCTGCAAGCACCGAGATTACTCACCTTGCGAGCACTGGCCATCGGGATGAAGCGGAGCAGGAGCAAGTGGACCATGCTGCAAATGGTCATCACGCGAGTCGCGACAAGACCACGACCTCAACCACGACGACTCCTCCGACTGCTACGACTACCACGACGACTACTACCCTTGCTTATGCTGCTGCGGACGCCTACCAAGCAGACCCCATCACCGCTTCGCAGTCGCTCGACCTCGTCAGCTCGTCCACCGCGCTGCTGCTGGCTCCTGCTGAAAAGGACGCGCAAGGCATTTTCCTCCCCGAGCAGCAGCAGCAGCAGCAGCAGCAGCAGCAGCAGCAGCAGCAGCAGCAGCAGCAGCAGCAGCAGCAGCACCCAGACATGCTCGAATCGCCAGCAGCAGCTAGCTTCGACCATCGCCCGCCAGAACTCCAGCGAACAGATCCGCTTCAGCGAACACACAGCTTGTCGTCCTTTGACTCTGGACAGTCCAACCGCCAGCAGAGCGGCGGCGGGGGCAGCAGACGCGACAGCCCCGCTCCGAGTCGCAGTTCCCAGCACTTGCCTCCTCGGGGCTCGCGCGGTCTGCGTCAACGCCGGCGACAATCCAAGCGCCACAGCATTCACCGACAAAGCACCAACTCGCTGGCCATCAGCATGAGCGAAAACCCGTCCACGGAAACCGACAGCAGTAACCGCTCTCTGTTTGGTGGTCGCTCACGGCTCGGCCTCTGGCTCCAGATCCAGCTCCGGCCTGTCATGCGTCCCCTGTCGCGTACTTGGCGGCGCATGTGGCGCTCGCCCTTTGGGCTGTGGCTCATCATCAAGTGGTCCATGTTCTGGTCGTTTGTTTCGCCCCACATCAACTTTTATCGCGTGCACTGGCTGTACATGTTTTGCCTCAGCCTGTTTGGTGGCGTCATCCTCTACGGCATCCAGCTCAACTCGGCACAGCCCATCGACTTTGTGGATGCGCTGCTCACCGCCGCCAGCTGCATGGGCCAAGCGGGTTTGTCGTCGTACGACATTTCCTATTCGCCACTGGCCAGTCAAATCGTGATGGCGCTCATCATCATAGCGGCCAGTCCGTGCCTTCTCACGATTGTGCCCGTGATTATGCGCAGAATCTACTTTCGCCGGCAGCTGGTCAAGTACGGCCTCTCGCGGTTTCGCTCCGACCTGGCCGAGTATATGGCTCTCAAGCAGCTACTCAAGATTGTGCCAATCTACTGGATTTCGTGCCACGTTGTTGGCTTTATCGGCTTGTTCATTTTCATGAGCACAGACTCTGGCGCCATCGAGGTCATGACTGTCAACAACCAGAGCACGGTGTGGTTTTCCGCCTTTGCCACCATTTCGGCCTTCCAAAACAATGGATTTGGCCTGCTTTCTGCCAATTTCGTTCCGATTGCGCCGTTCAAATTCCCGCTGGTTTGGCTTGGTCTGATTATCATTTGCGGCAATACGGGCTTCCCGTTGCTGCTCCGCTTGATTGTGGTCGGCCGGTACTACTTGGCCAAAGGGACCAAAAAGGAGCCCACGTACAAGTTTCTGCTTGATCATCCCCGTCGTTGCTTTACGCACTTGTTTCCTCGCGCGCAGTACCGCTGGTTGCTGCTCGTGTTCATCTTGCTCTTCCTGGTCCATTTCGTTGCCATGCTGGCGTTCGAGTGGAATGAGATTTCCTTTGCCACGTTTGACGTTGGCGACCGCATCACCAACTCCTTCTTCCAGGTCTTCAACGCCCGCACCTGCGGCATGAACAGCCTTGACCTGTCCATCCTCGAGCCGGGCCTGTTGGTCTTGTTTGTGATTATGATGTACATTTCGTCGACACCCATCACGGTCGCCTTGCGTAATTCCGAGCTGGACGAGCGCACCTCCGGCAAGAAGGCAACCACCGTCACCGAGCGCGACGTGTCTGGTGGACTGTGGTCTGCGGCCACTGAAAACTCGACTGCCAACACCATCAACCACCAGGTCAAGCGCGTCATGACGCAAGACTCGATCTTTCTTGCCGTTTGCATCTTTGTCATTGTCACGATCGAGACGAGTCACATGGAATCCGATCCGCTCAACTACACCTTCTTTAAGATTCTCTTTGAAGTCATCTCCGCGTATGGCAACGTCGGTCTCACGCTGGGCACGCGAGGCAGCAATGTTCCGTTCTGCGGCTCCTGGTACACTGGCTCCAAGCTCGTCCTAGTTCTCGTTCTGCTGGTTGGCCGTCACCGTGGTCTGCCCAACTCGATTGACAAGGCCGTCCAAGTTCCTCGCAAAATCTTTAGCACCATGCCCTCACGCCACGCAAGTGACGACGAAGATAGCGCTGACGGCGTGTCCTACACGAGCCGACGCTCTCGCCGCGGCCGTTCCAGCAGCACCGGGGTGGTGCGCTTATCGAACGTGAGCAACATTGCTGCACCATCTGTCGGCGGCGATCTCGGTGATGGCGTGGTCGCGCTCTCGATGGACAATCGTGCCAATCCTGATCCGTCCCACGCGCAAGATTCGGACACTGCCTCTGAGGTCAGCGGGTCCGCGTCGTCGTACTCTTCTCGTGGTAGCAGCGACGGACGACGCGGGCGACGCCGTCGCCATGGACGCCGTTCGTCCCGTCACTCGCGCTCCACGTACAGCAGGGGATCACGTCGTCGGTCGCGCTCGCGCTCTGGGTCGAGCAGCTTTTCTGGCTCGAGCAGTCGCTCGCAATCACCCATGCGCAGCAGACCTTCACAGTCGCTTGGTGGTCCAACGGACTTTGAGCTGGTGGAATTGAGCCATTCTGGCGGCATTGCTGCAGCCGAGCAATCTCATCAGCCACTGCCTGCTGCTGCCATTTCCGTTTCAAACGACGTTACGCTTATCGCTGCCGATGAGTCGGTGTCGTCCGTCCCTCTTCAGCGAAACTATTGGGATGTGACGGCCGAACAGCTGGTCGGGCGGGCCAACTCAACGCCGCTGCTGATTGGCAATAGTGCGGCGCTCACGGCGGTCGCAGCCAAGTCAGCACATGAAGAAGGCACTTTTGCCAATTCGACCTCCGCGGGTGGAGCAGAAGTCTCTGCCCCAGCAACAGCAGCAGCAGCAGCAGCAGCAACAACACCGGCACCAGCTGCAGCAGCACCTCCTGTGCCTGGCAGTACCGTGCTCAAATCTGGCAACCTGCTTGCCAACTTGTCATTCTTGTCGCTGACCAGCGTGGAAAAGTGGGCTTCTCATGCCGCGTCGGTCTCGTCTACTGCTACACCCAACAGCGTCTTCCCGCAGCCTGTCCTGCAGCAGCGCGCCATCGAAAGCGTCGCTTCCAGCAGCCTCCCGCCAGACTCCGAGCAACCGACCGCGGCATCGTCTGTCCAGCACCTTTCGCCAGCGGTTTCCAGCGTGGATGTTCGTGTCGCCAAGAGCCTGACTGATTCCGCGCCTGCCACCAATGTGGTTTCGTCAGAGTTGGCTTCTACGACTCCCACTACGACTACTACTCTGGCTGCAGAAACTCGCGGTGGAGTTGCAGGCCCTTTGCAGCAGCTGGCATCATCTGGCGCCGCGGTAGCGGCCAATGTGGACCCAGCCAAGCTTGCAACTGCCGTCACCAGCACGGCGAGCTCGACCACAGGCACGCCCCCGCAAGTCGGCATGCTTGGCCGATCGGCCTCGAACAGTCTCGTCCACCCGCCGCCCCTGAATCTCAATGACTCGCTCAATCACTCCAACCCGTCGAGTGTCGCGCAAACGCCCGCCTCGTCTCGCCCAATCAGCCCACCAGCGACGGCGGACGCAATCCACTCGTCGCCGTCTCAGGTCCACTTGCAACTGCTCATTGCCCAGCAACATGCCGCTCGGGCCTTCCAACAAGGCTCCGGTGGTGCCGGCGAGCCAACCGCGTCCGGCCCATCTTCCAGCGGTCTCAGGTCGAATCCGCTGTCCTTCCTTCTGCAAACGGGCCCCGACGGCTCGCTCATGTTCCCAACCGTTGTGATGACAGAGCAGCAGCTCCAGCGTCTCCAGCAACAGCAGCAGCAACAGCAGCAGCAGCAGCAACAGCAACAACAGCAACAGCCCTCCGATTCAGCGCACGGTCCCTCTGTTGTTGTTGGCACTCGGGGCCTGGGGCACTTGTCGCGTGCAGCTTCGGATCTCGGTGTCTTGCCGCTGGGCTCACGCAGCCCTGGAGGCCAGCCTGGAGCCACTTCCGGTTTGGCTTTGGGCACTTTCCTGCCACGGTCACCGCTGGATCAACCGCACCAGCTGGACTTGCGCTACTCGGGCCACAATTCCCCGGCAGCGGTTCCTTCCCCGAGCGCACCCCTGCGGTCTGGCGAGTTGTCCTCTGCACCGTCCATCACTGGCTTGGATGAGCCGCTCCACATTGGCTTTATTTCATTGGCCCAGCTCGGACCTGCCGGTGTGAACATTGCGCAAGAGCTGGCGCACCTCGCGGCCAAACCCGTGTCGGCGCAATCGCCTTCCCACCAGCCGTCTGGGTCACCGTTTGGCATGCCTTCGCAGCCTTCGCAACTGAGCTTGCAACAGCATGGCGGGCAGTCGCAATCGCACGCGCACGCGCACTCGCACTCGCACTCGCACTCGCAGCCATCGTCTCAGCCACACTCTCAGCGCGTCACACGTGCCAACTCGCCCGAAAACGAGAGCGATCGCCATCACCATTCTGGCCACCATCACCATTCGCGCCACGGCCACCACCACCACCATCGCGATCATGGGTCGTCGCACCACTCGTCCGACACCACTGGAGATGGCCACGCACGCTCGGCTGTGCACAGTCCCGACCATCAGAGCTCGTCGTCGGCGATTGATTCTTCGTCGTCGTCGACCCATCATCATCACAGCCACGGTCATCACCACCACCGGTCGCACTCGCGTCATCACGGTTCGCATCACGACGATCATCACCATTCGCCGTCGCACCACGACGATCGTCCCCACTCGTCCCACCATGACTCTCGCCACCACTCTTCTTCGTCTTCTTCCGCTCATCACGAAGATCGCCATCACCCGTCGTCGCACCGGGACGATCGTCACCACAGCTCGCTTCGTGACGACGAGCGTCACTCGCGCAGCAGCCCGCATCAAGACCACCATCACAGCAGCAGCAGCGCCGGCGGTGGTCACCATGAGGGTCCGTCTCATCGCTCGTCGTCAGCCTCGTCGTCGCACCACCATGGAAGCCACCACCATCACCACCACAGCAGCAGCAGCAGCAGTCATGGCAACCATCACTCGCACGGCAGCAGCAGCCAAAGCTCGAGTCATCACCACGCTAGCCGTCGTCGGCGCGTTCGCCATGTCAGCATTGGCGAACCTTCCACAGACGAGAGCGACGAGAGCGATGAGAACGACCTTTTGACGTACGGTGTTGTTCCCGACTCGCATGACGCCGACATGGTCATTCTGGGCGCTACCCCTGCTCGCAAAGTCTTTGTGGCGCAGTCGTCGTCGTCCAGCGAGTCCGATTCCGAGACGTCGCCCTCGGCTTCGCGGCCCAAGTCTCCGAAAACGGTCGAGCCCGCTCCTCCGGTCGTCCGCGTCCCTGCCACTGGCGGCTCAACGACCGCCCCTTCTGGCCCAAGCAAATCGGCGGCCACCTTCCGCCGTATCTTTTCCAACGGCGGCCTGCTCAGTCTTGGCAGCTCATCCCGAAACTCGCTCGCCCGTGGCTCGACAGACCCCGAGTCTGCAGTGCCCTCGCCTTCCTCTGCTCCCTCGCTTGCAGCTGTTGCTCTTGCTGCACTGGCCGCCCACCGCGAGACCAAGAAGAGCCACGACTTGTCCCCCAGCAGCACCACTCCAGACATTGCACCGTCTGCGTCCGTCTCGTCCATGTCACCCTCGAATGCTGCGTCGCTTCACGACTTGAGTGCGCAAGACTCTCCCCTAAGCCGCGATTCGTCCGGCCGAAGCGACACTTTGCCGCAGCAGCAGCAGCAGCAGCAGCAGCAGCAGCAGCAGCAGCAGCAGCAGCAGCAGCAGCAGCAGCAGCGCGACGCGTCGTCGCCTTCCGGCGGGATGGAAGGGGCTGGCTCTCGCCACCGCTCGCAGCAAGAGTTTGCGGCCGAGTCGTCCAACGTCCCGCGCGTCCCGTCCCATCTGTCGTTTGTTCGGCAATCCTCGGGCCATGGCTCTTCTCATTTGAGTTCTCACCATCACTCGAGCCACCACGGTAGCCACCACCATCATGGCCATCACGGTCATCACCACCATCACGAAACGGTCGTCCACTTTGACCTGTCTCCAACCGCGACGTTGCAACAAACGGGTGATCATCATCCCATCAAAACGCCCGCGAGCATGAACGCCCAACCGCTCAAGTCGGCTCTGGCCAGCAGCAACCGATCAAAGCTTGGCTTGAACGTCCGATCGCAGAGCATGAACAGCCAGTTCTCCATGGAATCGGCCCACTCGTCTGCTTCACCAGGCCATCTTCCGCCCTTCTCGGTTGCGTCGACCACTTCGCCCGCCAGCACCCCTCTCAGCACCCATCCCGAGCACAGTCCTTCCTGGCCAGTCATTAGCAAAGTCCACCACGGCCTTTCGCCGCCCGCCTCGCTGCCCATCACTACCGCTGCCATGGCGTCGTCCGAACCGCTTGCTCCGGTGGTCGAATCTGCCCTAGCGCCCCCGTCGCACACTGTCGTCGAGCCGCCAGCGCCAGAAGCCACCCTAACTTCTCCCAAGCGCATCCTGTTCTTCCAAGGGCACGACGACGACGACGACGATGCCAGCATGGCCTGAGCTCGAGGGGTTTTGTTAGCTCGGCTGCAGCTCCTCGCTTCTTCTTCTCTGTTCTCTGTTCTCTGTTCTCTGTTCTCTGTTCTGTTCTGTTCTGTTCTGCTTTCCACTGATGGACTTTTTCCGTTTTCTACTGACGAATTATTTCTGCATCTCGCCGCTTTCTCGGCTGCTCTTTGTGATGTCAACCCTATCTTTTTTGTTTTGGTTTGTTTTATTGGGTTTTGCATGCATGGGTTGTTCTGCCACTTGTTCTTGTTGTACCTTCAGGACACTCCTTCTCTTCCACACACCAAGTTTCCAACATTCCAAAGATTGGCGTTAGATGTATTCAACAGAAAGCGACTCGAACTGCACATCGCGCGGAAACTTGCTTAGAGCCTGAACTTTCCAACCCTCGCGCATTTGTCTAAGAAAGGGATGACTCGCTGGCCTGGTAGTTACAAGCTCAAGGGTCGCATCGACAAATGTCGGTGTCGCAGCGTATTCGTATCGGATGGCACCTTGCTCATCTCGGACAATCAAACTAACAACGTGCTCTGGGTTGTTGGCATCGGTGCACTTCATGTCAAGAAACACTCGAAATGCCTTTACCCGGATCGAATTCCCAGTGCTCCTCGGAACTGCTACTTGCGAAAAACTCTAACCCTGCTCTATTCCATACTACTAACAACCCTCGAAACAACAAGAACCAACAAACAACAACGGCAGCAGCAGCGGCAGCCTCAAATCATCAGCAGATACTTGATGCGAACACGAGTCGCATCGTAGACAATGTACTCGTTGTAAGAGAGCGAGTAGCCAACCTCGTCGGTGGGCGCGTTGGTGAGCTCGCCCATCGGAACACCCACGCCCTTGTTGAGCACAAACATGGCATCCGGGTTGGGCGTCTGGCGACCAACACCTTGGACAGAGTGGTGCCCAGGCGGAGGCGTCTTGATCATCTCGGCTTGGCGACGCAGGTGCCCTTCACCGAGCGCCACCTCGCACAGGAACATGCAGCGGATGTTGCTGAGCAGCAACTGCTTGGCCAACTTTGCCGCCTTAACAGCGGCGGCTTGGGCGTCTTTCGTGGACAGCTGCTGCTGCTGTTGCTGTTGCAGCTGTTGTTGTTGCTGCTGCTGCTGCCGTTGGACGCTCCAGTTGTTGTTTCGCGCGTGCGCGTAGCCTTGCGATTTGCCGAAGTAATCTGCAAGATACACACCCTTGCCAAACATGTAGCCAGTCGCATCCGCCTCGGCAGGGGCGATGCGCAAGCCTTGCATCAAAATACCCTGCACGACCAGTAACAACAAGAGCCAAGAACCAACGAGTGAGACTCGACGCAGAAACCAAAAAAAAAAAAAAAAAAAAAAGCATCACAAACACAACAGACAGACGAAAAAAAAAAACCGCACCATGACATTGGCCACCGAAGTGCCGTGCCACAGCAGCAGATGGTTGGGTCGGTGGAGATGAGAGCTCACAGGCACGTCGCGCGAAGCAAGATGCTGCTCAAACTGGGCTGTTTCGGGCCACCGAGCCACCTTGAAGATGCCATGAGCGTGGCTCGGACCTCCTCCACGCGCCATGTATTGCTGGTTGGGAGCGCGACAAACACATTTCAAAGGAATGACGGTCAAAACGCAAAGTCAGCATGCACAGCAAAATCAAGTCCGTTGAATCAAAGAAAAAGTGAAAAGCCTGAAAAGCCTGGAAAATGCAAAGGATGAGCCGCCGCGGAAAAAAAACCCCCTACCAAAATCATCTTGAATTCATCAGAATCCGGGGTCACGACAGCCAGATCGGCACCCATGTTCAGATACATGTCGTCGAGCGACGAGCGCTGCAACGCTGCATTGGTAATGCCGTTGGCCGCGGACGCCGGCCCGGTCGACGTGTCCATCGCGACGACAGCGCCACTACTAGCGCCGCCCGCCGCTGCAGCACTGACAGCCGCGGCCTTTCGGGCGGCGCGACGCTGATCCATCGCCACAAGGGCAAGTTCAATGTTGGCCATCGTGTTGAGCATGTCCAGCTTCAGGGCCGCTTTGGCGCCCGTGTCGATCGTGTCGGCCCGTGCGGTGCCAAAGTTGTGGGGGATGAGCGAGTAAAAGTCGTCCGACAGCTTCTGGACGAGTCGGTTCAAGCGGGCCTGCTCGTTGCTCGATGCAAGCAGCTTGCGTCCCTTGAGTTTCTGCAGCGCCGCCAGCCTCTGGTGGGCATCGATGAGCTCTGAGACCATCTCGTAGCCCGAGCTGATCTGGGAGAGGCTCAGGCGTCCGAGCGGAAGGCGGCGAACGTCGAGACCGAATGCCGCGATTTCACTGTGGTTGTGGTTGTTGCGGTTGTGTTGATTGTTCCAAATTTCAAAAGCAGAAAGGTGAGTCAATGCTGCGCGCGAGAGGGGCGTCGATGATAATAAACGAATGAACGAACGACGAGGTCGATAACATTACCTCTTCAGTGCATCCACGTTGGAAACGACTCGAATCAAGTCCTGAAGCGTCTCGGGAAGCGTTGACATGGCAATGTCCTCGTCGTCGTACTCGTCAGACTGGTCGTTGGGATCTTTCTTCACGTCGTACGTGCGGTCGACGATCTGGTAGTATTCCTTGAAGCGGTGGAAGCTTTCGCGATCCTTCGACACGGTCTGTTGTCGCAACGGAGAAAGAGAGAGAGAGAGAGAGAGAGAGAGAGAGAGAGAGAGAGAGAGAGAGAGAGAGAGAGAGAGAGAGAGAGAGAGAGAGAGAGAGAGAGAGAGAGAGAGAGAGAGAGAGAGAGAGAGAGAGAGAGAGAGAGAGAGGGAGGGAGAGGGAGGAACAGTGCGAGCGGTCAGTGCAATCACTGCACAAACTCTGCACAAAAAAACAAACAAAAACAAAACAAGACACAAGCAAAATCGTTACCACAAAGTCGTTGTTGGTCTTCTCCTTGAACTTTTTCTCAAACATGGCCAACGCGGGAGCCAACGTCGAGAAACTGGCAAGAGCAGTCGTGCCAGCCTCCTCGTACGAGTCGTCATAGCCACCATAGTAGCCACGGTTGCGACCATAGAAAGGATTGCCGCCCACGCGACCCCAGCGCGTAAACACCAGGAACGGAGACATTTTCGTGCGTGCCTGGCCCGTGTTGGCAAACATGTCCTCGTCCTCGTCCTCGCCGTCGTCGGCCTCGCTGCCGTCATACTCGTCCTCCTCTGCGTCGTCATCATCGTCGTCGACGCGCATGGCGGTGGCTTTGGCCTTCTTGCCGCCCTTGCCGGTGGTGGCACGGTTCTTGGCGACGGCAGCCGCAGCCGTCTTGAGCTTGTCCGCCAACTTGGAGGCGTACTCCTTGTGGATGAGGAGCTGGATGACGTAGAACTTGTTGGCACCATACAGGCTGGCGGAGGAGTTCGTTTGATTGAGCATGACGTCGTGGATGGCAGCGTCGGCGCCGACGTAGACCTGGTAGTAGTCGTGGTTGCGGCAGTGGGTGTCAACCGGAATGATAAACTTGGCAACGTTCGTCTTGCGGTCGAGCGCTTCTTGGGCCGCGAGCTTGGCAAACTCTGCTCGTTGCAGCTTTAAGCGCTCCATGTGGTTTCGGTGCTTGTCGGCACGCTCGTTGATCTTGGCCTGGCGACGCGCGTCCTTCTGCGTGGCAAGCGAGGTGCGGTGGGCAGCGCCACGCGCAAATGCAGCGTCGATCTTTGCCGCCACCTGCGGCGTCATGCGCAGCTTCAAGGCGGCGAGAATCGGGTTGCCCACAGCAGGCGCCAGCTCGCCAGCCAACTCGGCCGAAACCTTGCCCTGCTTGTCGGCCACCAAGGGATCGGCGCCAGCGCTCACGAGCAGCTCGCACATCTTTGCGCTCGAGTGCACAAACGCGCCGACGGACAGGGGCATGACAGCGCAGTGGAGCGAGTTGCGGCCGCTGGCCGGGTCGAGAAGGTTGAGGGCGATTTTGCACGCACGGTGAATCCGCCGCGAGAAGACCGACTCGACGCTCGTGTCCATCAGATTCTGGGTGCCAAACGTTTGGCGAGTGTGATCGTCCACCCGAGCCATCAGCAGCTTCAGGCGAAGGACGGCGTCCTTGTCAGATGCGAGCGCAGCAGCCGTCAGCACGAGCTGGCCGTCCTTGCTCGGGCACTGATAGACCTGCTCCATATCAAAGGTGCGCATGAGCCGCTCGACGACCAGAGCGGGCTGACGCTCGAGCGCGGTGAAGAAGATTTTGGCTTGCGCGGCAACCGACACGCCAGGCAGCGGCACCAGCGGCTCGCTTTCGTCTGGCACAGGGCCGATCAGCAGCTCGAGGAGCTCGAGCGTCTCTGTGGCTTTGGTCGAGGCGTTGGACAGGAAAGCGGAGCCAGCAAAGGTGAAGGCGGGCACGGGCGCTTCGAGCTCCGACGCCACCGTCGTGGAACCGGACGGGAAGATGACCGCGAACAGCAGCTGGGCAATGTCGTCGTCGTTGATGAGACGCTGCTGGCCAGTCGCCGACTTGATGAGCCGGACGGCGATGCTGTGCGCGCCATTCTTCAGTGCCGAGCGGAGCGCGTCGCCTTGGTCGAGTTTCGGATGGCGCAGCAGCACATCGACGACGCCCATCAGTTGGTTTTGCAAAGCAAGAGCGAAAATGCTGCTGGTGATCTGCACCTGCTCTTTCTGGCCATCTTGCTCGGTCGCGTCCGTCGCGGCAGCACCACCAACGACATTATTGCCGAGCGCCGAAAAGGCGCCGCCGCCAAAGTTGCCTTGTTGGCCAAACTGCTGCATGTATTGCTGCTGCTGCTGCTGTTGCAGTCGCAGGAGCTGTTGCTGTTGCTGTTGCAGATGCTGCTGTTGTTGTTGTCGCTGCTGCAGCAGCTGTGCGGCGTCCTCGTAGAGGCGACGGACGGTAATGTCAGCATCGCGCTCCAGCAGGTACACGGCGAGGTTGCTTTTGCGCCCTTCGATCGCGAACGTGAGGCAGTTGCGCTGGTAGCGATCGACAGCCTTCGAATCGGTGAACGGCAAGAGATAGTTGAAGACGGCAAAGTCGGCCTGGACGCAGGCCGAGTGCAAAAGCGTGCGGCCGTCGCGATCACGGATGGCCCAGTCAAGATCAGGGCGCTTGGCACGCAGTTGCTGGAGCAGCTCGACGGTGCACCACGCAGCTTCCACAATCATGTGCAGCATCCCGAGACCACTCTCGGGATCGAGAATGTTGACCTCCAGGTCGGCGCATGCCAGCAAATCGAACAGCAGCTGTCGCACAAGGTGGTTTGATTGCTGTTGCCATCCAGGCACGAGTAGGGCTTGCATTTTGGTCACGACAAACAGCGGAGGCCCGCAGGCATTCTGCGCATCGTTCACCTCGAACGGGTGTGTCGCGCGGCGGGCAAGCATTTCGGCAGCCAAAGGGTAGTTGTTCGATCGGAGCACCCAGTCAAAGAAACTCCAGCCCGCCCAACCTTTGAGGCCTCCTCGGTTAAAGGCATCGTCTGTCAACAGGCGACAAGAGCGAGAACAACAACATGAGTGTCAAAACAAGGGCAAAAAAAACAACAACAACAAAACAACCAATACCAAAACAAAAAAAAAAAAAAAAAAACTCTTTCAGACATACCATCACGATCCGGAACACGATAACGCAAATTCACGAGAGGGTGAGCGACCAGGTACTTGAGAACATTTGGAGCGTTGGCGCGCGCGGCCGAGAGGATGGGGGTCAGGCCTGCATCTGACGGAGCGTTGAAGAAAGATGCGAGGGAGGTCGCACGCACTGCTTTGAAGCGGGCTACATCGTCGCCTTCGGGGACTTCCTCCTCGTCCGTCGCCTGCTGCATCGGAGCAGGGGCGGCGGCGGCGGCAAGCGGGTGCGCTGCGAGGTAGGCGGCAACCACCTCAACGGTCGCCTCCAACAAGGCAGTCGTGGTGGCCTGTCTGGCTGCAAGCGTGTGGAGCAAATTGCAGCCCGTCGACTCGTCCAGCGCGAGCATGTCAAAGCCCAGCTTGAGCATGAGGCGGAGCACCTCCTCCTTCTTGGGGCACGCCGAAGTCAACAAAAAGTGCACGGGCGAGCTGACAGCGGCAGCCACGCCACCGCCCCTCCCACCGCCGAGCTGTTGGGAAAAGTGCGCGCCGCCGCCGTAGCCGCGCGTCTGCTCAAAGGAAGCCATGGCCTTGGCAGTCGTGCCCGTGGCTTGCTGGAACTTGGCAATCTCAGAGCGGATGTGCGCCTCGTTGACGATCGGCAGCTTCTTCTTCTTGGCCTCCTTGTGCTTGGTGCTGCCGCTGCCTGTCTTCTGGCCCCATTCGGTGATGCCGGAGGCGCCGAGCAGGAGATGGGTAGTCGTGCGCGTCACCGCCTGCGCCACTTTGCCGCCGTACTCGACAATCATGGCCTCAAGCTGCCAGCTGCTGAGGCTAAAGAAGCCCGTCAAGACAAAGATCTGGTTGTAGAAGGGCGGATCCAGGGCAGTGTTCTTGACTCCGCCCGTGGCAGTGTCATCATCGGCCTTCGTGGGAGGCGTCGGGCGCTTGTCGTCAATGGACACACCCAACTCGACGAGGCGGGAGATGAACGCGCACGCACCCTCTTGGATGGCGTGCATGAGCGGACTGATTTGCGCGTCGGTCTTGAAGAACAGATCGGCGCCGGCAGCGACCAGCTGCTCAAAGGTCTCCATGCAGCCAGCGCTGATTGCGCGGTGGAGGAGCGTGGTGCCGCGCTGTTCGGCGTTGAACTGACTCGATTCCAGCTGCTCTTGAGTCAAGGCCAGCTTACTAGAGCGGAGGAGCATGGAAAGCACCGCAGTGCGGCGTTTGGCAATGGCCTGGCCGGCGAGCGTGCCGGCCAGCGCCTCGGAAAAGTCGAGCGTTGGATAAAACCAGGCCAGGATGACATTCAGTCGCGCGGCAGAGTTGGAGTTGCCAATCATTTGCTGGATGGAAGCGTTTGCAGAGTCGGCGAGGGGAGAGTAGCCAGAGCCCTGCTTCTCGAGCCAGTTGGACTTGACGTTGCTGATGAAATCGAACTGGGCGTGCTTGCGGAAGACGACGGCAAACAGCGTGGGCGAAGGTCGCGCGATGCAGTGCTGCAGGAACTGCAGAATGTCGTTTGTAAACCAGCCATAAGCGTGGCCATCCACTCCATGGACATTGGTGATGGCCGTCAGCATGAGATCCACGTTGGCACTCTGGTCGGAATCGATCGCAGCCTTCATCACGCTCAGCACGCGGGAGGTGATCATGCGGCGGGTCTCGGGCGTTTGCGTGCAGAGGAGGTACAGCAGCGTGCCCGATGCTTGCTGGGGGAGCGGGCGCAGTGGAACAGCTGCGTCGTGGCGGCTGCTGCTCACGAGTTCGGCGGAGTCGTTAGAGAGCGGGACGGTCAAGTAAACAGACTCGTCGTCGACGTTGGGTCTGCGAACTGGCATGAGCGACGACTTTTTGCCGAGGTTGCTGTAATCGTTCGTTTTCGATCCCTTCTTGCCCTTAGCGGGGTTGGCGTCCTGCTGCTGCTGCTCGGTGGCGAGTGTGTCGGCGGCGAGCTTGTCGGCGAGCAGTGGGCGAACCAAGTTGACGGCGTGCGCGCCGGGACTGCACTGGACGGCGGCGGCGAGAATGGCAAGCGTAGTGTCTTGCTCTGCATCGATGGTTGGATCGCCTTGGTTCTGCAGCAGGTGATGGAGAATCGCGGGGTGGTCGGCGTTCAAGGCCGCAAGATGCAGCGGGGTCAGGCCGCCAAAGATGCAGGCATTGGTGGTGTCCTCGTCGAGCTGAAACTGGGCCAGATCGGCGGGTGTCTTGGCTTGCAACACGGCAAAGTGGAGGTCGGACAGGTTGGGGTAGAGCGGCGGCCCATCCATCGAGACACGCGCGCGGTCGTACGCGCGAGCCCACTCCATGAGCAGGAGCAGGCAAGGAACCTGGCCGGCCTTGGCGTACGGCAAACCGGCTTGAGCCGCAAACGACTCCACGGCCAGGGGCGAGTGCGCGTAGATGCGCGACAGGATGCTGGGCTGGACATGGACGCCGAGGCTCGTTGCGACCGCCAAAATGGACGTCAGGACGTCCAACTTGAGAGCAAACGGGTGAGCGGCGGCGAGAAGCACGTCAACCATTTCAGCATGGCCTGCACCTGCCGCCTGGGCGAGGATGGAGTGACCTCCTTCGACGGGATCGATGGGAAACTGCTGCCAGATCGCGCCTGGAGCAGCAGCGGAAGTGCTTGTTGTTGCGGTTGTTGGGGCAGCAGTCGTAGTCGGAGTGACAACATCGTCTTCTTGGCTCGCAGACAGAGAGGCAGAGAGCGACAGGCTCGAGCGCAGCGACGGCGGAGCAGAGGCCGCTGCAGCATTTTCCTTTTCGGCGGACTTTCGCTGATCCTCCTGCTGCTTCTTCCGAAGCAGGACGATGAGGCGCTTGACCAGAGGGACGTCGTTTCGGCGGACGGCACACGCGAGGTACGCAATGTCCTGCGATGCGTCGGTGGGGTTGGTTTCGGGCAGGAGCGAGAAAGTGCCCAGCTGCGGAGCATCAGTCAAATCAATCTGCTCCGCCGTCGGAGGGACGAACGAGACGTCATCGCGCTCGTCTGCCTGCGCGCCAGTGCTGGTGGTGTCCATGGCGTCGTCGGCATCGTCGGCATCGTCGGCATCCTCGTCGTCATCGTCGTCGTCGACCTGCATCGCAGAAGAGTGCGAGGGGCCAGATTTGGATGAATCCTTAGCGCCGCGCTTGTTGGCTGCAGGAGCAGCAGCAGCGGCGGCAGCGGCGGCCTTCTTGCCTCGCGCCGATCGAGCCGCAGGAGCAGCAGCAGCAGTGGTGGTGGTGGTGGTGGTGGTGGTGGTGGTGGTGGCAGTGGCCGTGGCATCATCGTCGGAAGCAGTGGCAGCATCAGCAGCTGCCGTGACTTTGGACAATCGCGCCTTTTTCGCAGGCCGAGCAGCAGCTTCTGCCTCCGGCTCGGCCGCAACAGCAGCAGCAGCAGCAGCAGTAGCACTTCGACGACCACGCGCTGCTGCAGGCGCGGGCTTGGGCTCGGCGTTGGCAGCAGCCGCGGTTCGCTTGGTCGGGGGCATCAAAATGACGTTGCTTTGTTTTGGACTGATCGATTCCAAAAATGGTACTGATTTGCTTGCAAAGATGAAACAAAACTCTGAAACTGAAACATCATTTCGTTTGCGTGCGATTGCGTTGAAAACTGAAACAGCTGCAAAAAGTCAAACAGTGAAACAAACAAACAAACAAACAAAAACAAAACAAAACAAAAAAAATTCGGATGCAAGAAATCGACATTTGACATTAAGACAACCATCGCTGAATGAATACGACGAACACACAAAGGAAAGAGAACAGAGAGAAAGTGAGCGAGAGAGAAAGATCAAGTTTGACTGCTTGAATCCGCCAGCACAGTACTCCATCACAAAGTACAACTTGTCAGGAGTAGAAAAGGCGAACAATAAATGGTTGCTGCAGTCTTCATTGTTCTTGGCCAGACGAGAGCAAAACGTCGAGCACGAGTAATCTTTGCTCTTCGCCATTCTCCCCAACCCCAAACACCCCAAAACCCCCTTCAAGCCCCACCCTCACAAAATCGCAGCATCTTTGATTTTTTTTGGATTCGGTTGTTTGAATTTCTGAGAAAAAGTCGGGAAACCGTCCTAAAATGGGTTGGGCGAACATTGGCGTGTTTCTGGCGCGGGGACTGGTTCCGTCGCTGACGGGCGGGCTCTTCCCCGACATGCACATTGGCATGGCGAGCATGCTGCTGCAAGTGTACCTGTGGCTGGCGCTGCTGGTGCTCCCGCTCGCGCTGTGCTCGGCGCTCGGCGACCCCAGCGACCCAGTGAACGCCGGGTTTTACGCCGCCATTGCCGCCGCCTTCATCGGCCTGATCAAGTACGTCAACCATACGCTTCACGATGCGTTCGACGGCGAGGACGGCGCGCGGGCCAAGCGGAAGGCAGCGAGGCGACTGAGAAGGCAAGCCAAAGCTCAAGCCAAAGCCAGCGAGAACGCCGCCGAAGCGCCCGTTGCTGACCCTGAGCAACACCACGATGATGGTGACGATGGTGATGACGATGACGACGATGACGACGATGACGACGAGATCGATGGCCTGGAACAGGACAATGGCAATGCAACTCGGAAGAAGCCAATCTCAGACATGGCGGGCACTTCTGAGCCGACTTCTGAGACGACAACCACTGCTACTACTGCTACGATGGATGGAACTCGACCAGCTGCATCTGACGATCGGGCATCGCGAGCCATTGTTGTGGTTGCGCAAAACAAGAGTAGTCACAGCGAAGGTGTAGAAGATTCGCACAACAATGCCCACAATGCAATATCATCATCATCATCATCATCATCATCGTCGTCGTCGTCCGAGGATGGCGACAATGACAATGATGAAGATGAAGACGATGAATCGGACAATGACGAGGTGCACACAGCCACCAGACGAAACCGCCAGCGAGCATTCTCGAGATCCAGGCAACGAGCCGTGCGGCAGCGATCGAATGGATCACCTGTCGTCGGACGCTCGACTTCTGCGCTAACAACAGCGGCAAGAGGGCCGACCGATCGGCGGGCAGCTGCAATGTCGTTTCCCTCTGCCACCTCCGCCGGCGATCGGCAGAACGCCAGTCGTGTCGCCTATCACTTTGGTGACAATGAAGATTTGGAGGATGCTTTGAACCGCGTACTGGCGTCCGTTGCTTCTTCAACAGCAGCAGCAGCAACAACAACATCATCAAGAGCAGCAGCAGAAGCAGCGGGCGAGGATGGCGATAGCGGCAGCCAGTACACCAATCCAGATGGCGCTGACGATCACATCTTCCAAGAGTATCTAGCACGGCGGGCAAGACAGGCTGACAACACTGGGGAGGACACGCCCACAAGCAGCGACGAGCACGACAACGCACAGCAGGACATCACCGACATTTCTATTGCCGACGCCAGTGGTCACGCCGACGATCAAGTACCCCTGCCGTTGGTGCAAGACTCGGACATCCACGCCTTCGCGGAGGAGGACATTGACCCAGCTGCCGAGTTTGCTGATGCTCGCCGCGATTTGGCACGCCTGCGAGGACTCGTGAACGCACACCATCCGTCTGACCATCACCAGTGGAATGACGACACCGAGTCGCGCTTGCACATTGCCACTGGTGCCGATGACAGCACTGCTGGCGCCATCCATACGTTTATCGACGAGAATGGCGACATTCAGATGTACGTGTTCGCCGCCGAGGCTCACGCAACCGAGCCTCTCCCTGAAATCCGTCTTGCGCGGATAAGCTCGACTTCTTCGTCCGAGTCCGAGGCACACTCGAGAAAAAGCGACAATGAGGAGAGTTTGGATACCGACGACGAGTCGGATCGGAGATTTGAGCGAATGCGCCAGCGCACTCGTCAAACAACCCACACTACGGATGCTACCGCACGAGATAGCCCACCAGACCCCGACCAGACATTTTCTCTGCCCACCAACATTATCGAGCGCAGGCGGCGAAACGGGTTTGTCGCGACGGACGGCCCGTCTGTCTCTCGCCCATCCGAACGTTCCAGCCACGCCCCTCGTGGCCTTGGCAGTCGCGGCGATACGGCAGAGTCGCGAGATGAGCCCATCCGCCGGTGGAGGTACGATCCAAACGATGTCAACACGACCTATGCTCTTCCTGTCCGCTCGGCGTCGACCGCCGCCAGATCCCGAAGAGGGTCTCAGTTTCGTCCTCCGGAAGAGAATGACGATCACGAAAGTTACACAGAGCCTGATGATGCCATCCGTCCGGATGCGCTGGCGCAAGTTGCACCCAAACCAGAGGCACCGACGCGATGGCACCTGCTCGGCTTTCAACTTCCTCTGGCCGTGTCGTTCAAGCGCCTCGACTTGCTGGCGACAATTGACCGTGACCGGCACTGGAGTATTGGGCTTTTGGCAGTTCTCGTGGCTGCCGCAGTCGCGTATGTGGCGTTGGCCATTTCAGCATTCTATGCCAACTTTGAAATCGTGCTCCTCTGCTTTGTAGTGGCTGGCTGCCATTTCTCCTTGCTCAAGCCCGTGCAACTCGATGCCGCGTCCTCTGCACCGGAGGCCAGCAGCCGCGGCGCGCCTTTCCACCGAAGTTTTTACTTTCTTACCTTTGGCGCCATCTTACTCATCCTCGACCGTGAGATGCAGCAGAAGAACACGTACGATTCTCCTGTCGTGTACGGTCTACCCTTGCGCTCGACCGCAGCAATGCAAGTGTTCTTTTCGGGCATTCGCTTTTTCATTTTGGTGATGCCACTGGCTTTTGCGATTGGTTTCCTGGCCCACGTCCGAACACTCGCTCTCTATCTCGCCGAGCAGGTGCATATCTTGATATTTGGCGGCACTGGATGCAAGTCGCTGGCCTTGGCTGCCATTGCGCTTGCCAAAGATGCTGCAGCTGTAGCAGTCGTGTTTGCGCTTGGGCTCTCTTCGCTCACCACCAACCCAGTGTCATTGTCCGAGCCGGACGTGTCACTCTCTGCAGCTGCCGGCGCAGCTGTAGCTCTTTCGTTCTTGATCAGCAGTCGCGAGCTCGAGCTGAGTGAATGGAAGGTGCTTCTTGACCAGCCGAGCGATGCTCGATCCAAGCTGGTAAGTTTTGTGCAGTCTTGGTTGCGATTCGCGGAACGGTGGTTTTCGTTTCTTTCGTGTTGCCTTTGTTATCGCAATTTAAACTGACTTGGTGCTCTACTCTACCCTCAATCTAGCTGTACCAGTGCGCATTGCACGGATCAATCTCTGGTGCATTCTTTCTCATTTTCTGGGTTTGTCACCTGACGACCGTCTTCACGTATCAGACGACAATGGATATTTTGACCGTTGCGTCGTTTGTCGTTGGGTTTGTGCTGCACTATGTGCTGCCACAACTCCGAACCCGCTACCCGTTCTTGTGGTTTTTACGTCCCATTCTCAAGAGTGCCGAATTTGCCCAGTTTGAGGCTCATGGTACGAAATGGGCTTTTTGCTGTTTTTTTGGCTACTTTTGAACCTGGTTGCAGTTATTTTCCCCACTTCTCACTCTGCTCACTCTGTGGTCTGACTTGTAGGGAGCGCAAAACTCATGTGGTTTGAAAGGCTCTACCGCGCTGGCGTCGGCTTTGAACGCTTCTTCCTGTACCCTCTCCTGTACACCTGCATGGCGAGCATTGCTGCTTCGTCTCTGCGTCTGAAATTTGGCGATCTGTGAGTTTATCACACCTTTTGCGCTCGTGCTGGCAGGTCTTTTTTGTTTGCTTCGGTTTGTGGCTGCAATCACTGACTGACAACCCCCCGTTCATGATGTATTCAGCGGCGCAATGCTGGTGATTGCAATGTGCATGTTCAAGCTTGTGCGGTCGGCGTTCACACACACCAAGTGGCACTTTGTCACGGTTGCGTTTGCGTATCTCGTATTCAATTACGACTATCGCGGCCACTCGGAAACGCGGCTTGTCGACACGTTTGTCATTTCGGTGGTCGTCGTCAAGTTTTATGATCTTTTCAAACGCTTCCAGTTTGTCCTTGTGTATTTCGTGCCATGGACGAGGCAATGGGGCTCTGCCACCCATCTCCTTCTTTTCCCGCTTTCCCTTCCGCATGCGGCAATGGGGCTGATCACGCTTGCCGTGTCGGCCCTGCTGCAATCGCCTCTGCTGCCGTTCATGGGGAGCTCTCTGTTCCTCGCCTCCTACGTTCGCCCTCTTAAATTTTGGGAGCGCGATTACGCGTCACAATCCGGTGCCAACGATGCGAGCTCGGCTGCATCCAGGATTGACGTTGGTACGAGCCAAGTTGCGAATTTTTGTGAAGCGAACGGCGCAAGATGGATTGTGCATCGCTGTGTGTCTAACGCGTGTCTCTGTTGGCGTGACAGGTGACGCCAACCAACTCGATAGCGTGTTTTACGAGCAGCTAGCGCAGTCACTCAAGAGCACACTCTATGATGATGTTTCTCGCGGTCGATGGGGCGACTTGACAGTGGGCGATATTTTCCTGCTCTTTAACGATAGCTTGACTGCCATCGTTCACATTGTTCAACTCGGCCACGGGTATCTTACCTTTCAGCTTCGAGGTCTCGAGTTTAAAGGTGAGGAATTGTTGTGAAACGAATGTGTTGCGTCAACGTTCACCGCAAAAACAGCTCATTCCCCATTCTCCAAAAAACGCACAACTGTGTTGTCCTGCGCTCTGCGCATCAGGTACCTACTGCCAGCAACGCGAGCTGGAAGCAATCAACCAAGACATCTCGACGTCGGCACGCGGCATGCTCTGCTTCAAGAATGTTGGGCGGCCTCCGGGCTTGATGGCGGTCAACTCTGCACTCGCGGCGCGTTGGAATACCTGGGAGCTGATCAATTCCGAGTACTCGCTTCGTGCATACAGCATTTCTCTCAATCCAGCTTCGGCCATGTTCCAGATGTTTGAGTACCGCATCCTGCTCATGCGCTTTATGCAGCAAGCAATCATCTATCTGGTGGTGCAATCGCCAGAAGTGGTTGCGTGGCTCGACAACCCATCGATTCGCTCGACCATGGACCAAATGACCAACACCTACGTGGACAAGGATCGGTACATGCCATCGCTAAGCCGGGAGAACGACGGCGCTGGCATTTCGTTGGGCCTGTTCGCCTTAAAGTTTCGCGCTTGGACATTACACTGTGCTGAGCGAAGCAGCACCTTCACATCCGCTGGTAGCGAGACAACGGCTGGACGAATGCTGGCCGAGCTCCGCAACAAACCGGAACTCTCGTCGGCATCCATTTTGTTGATTCGGTTTTGTTTCCGCGTCAGCCTCTTCGCCCGACGCATGCTGTACTCGCGCGAGCGCCGGCCAGGGGAGCGGCCTCTACCATCGACTGGCGACCCCCTCATTCGAGGCTTCCACAAGCTCTTCGACGGCCAAGCCGCGCCCTGGTACTACCACGACGTGTGGATGCACGACGCGCCCTCCTTGCTGCCCACCGTCGTTACGCGCAGTGCTCGCATCGCGCTCAAACTCCATCAAGATCACTTCGTATACATGGAAGAGTACACGGACAGTACGCTTCTCTACGACACCATCACGGAAGATTTGACCGACATTGTGGTTTGCAGCGAGTACGACAAGGAGTGGCGCCAAGCAATTGTGACGCACCAGACGCAGCTGTTGACGCTGCGTCGCACGTCGCAGGAAGGCTCGTCCATGGCGGACGGAAGCAACGATCTCTTTGTCCTTCGGCTCAACATGCGGCACCTGAACTTTCGACTCATCAAGTTGAACAAGGAGAGCGTGGTGGGCTTGTGGGCCGGCCAGCAACAAGAAATTGTCTACTTGCGCAACCACAACAAGGAGCGTGGCTCCATCCAGCAAATGAAACCGCTCTTGCGTAACCTGATCAACCAGTCTTGCGATCTCCCCATCGGTTACCCGATCTTTGTTTCTTCTTTAATCACCTCGGAGGGGTCGGGGAGTCGCATGGCGTCGTGGATGCAAGCTGGTGCACGCACTGTGCTTCGCTGGGCGTCCGACCTGGGTTTGTTTGTACGCCGGGCGACTGCGACTGTCGAGAGTGGTCGTTCATCCAACAGTCGTGCATCTCATGTTGTTGATGCCAGCCCCGGTATTGTTCCAAGTGGTAGCGAGTTTGGCGACATTGAGCTCGAAACCTTCTCTCCCGACGCGTCAACCTCGTCCGAGTTGCCAATCATTCCCACACCCTCGAGCGACGTGGTTGCTGCGACCGCAGCAGCAAAACTCAATGTGCATAGCGAGTCCAACTCTAGCACTGCGGCCACGAGTGGCCAACATGGTGCTGCGGACGAGCCGCAAGAATCGAGCGTGTAGTGGATTGGTGCAAAAATTGACATTGTACTGGTGTATTTGCAACAACAAAATGCATCATTCACTCGTTTGCGTCTCTTATTGCATGCCTTCACCCGAGGCGGCGTTCTTTTGGGCGGCGTTTTGCCGTTTCTCCATCTTTTTGAGCGATGCCACTCGTTGCTTTCGCTACAAACACAGACAAAGCCCACGAGGCAAATGAGAGCATGTGCAATAAAGCAACTATCCCCCCCCCCGCTCACTCTTTGTCAAGTCGCGTTTGAAGTTGATTGAGTACGTACACGCGTTTCTGCCATAGAGTCCTTCTTGGCAGCAATCTTGTCCAGACGGGCCTTGCCCTTACCACCGCCTCCTGCAGTCAACTCTACACGCACTTCACGATCTCCGAAGGCCATACCGTGGTACCTCAGTGCTTTCTATGGGGGTTTAGAAGCAAACGAGTTTTTGGCTGTTGAGTTTTTGGCGAATTTCCAGTGCAAGTTTGCATCGTGCGCTCTGTTGTCTGTCCCTTCTCCCTTGTCACTGCAAAAAATCCCACCACGTACTTGCAGCGACTTTTGATTGGAGTATTCCACGAATGCGCAACCCCTGGACTCGCCCGTTGCCTTGTTTGTGAGCATGCGAACGGCGTCCGTCTCACCGCACGGCGACAAGAAGGATCGGACATCGTCTGCTGTCGCCGTGTATGGGAGGTTTCCTGTTCAAGTTTGAGAACACCAGCAGAGCGCAAACATGAGCCAACGGCAACCACAGATTCGGACAAAGTGTGTTTGGGGGTCAGTTGTCGAGATCATCTCCACCCTTCCCCCTCTCCTGCCGCCGGATCCAAACGCTGATCTGCACATTCGTTCAATGCGCAATTGTTAGATGTTGCGTTGGGGTTTTGTTACCAATAAACACGATATAGCGCGCCTTTGCAGCCGCGGGCGACTTTGCTTTGGCGTCCGTTTCGCCTTCTTCCTGATCGTCGTCCTTGTCCAGCCTCGGCTTCTTGCGCGATTCCTCCGCGTCGCCATTGTTGTCCTTGTCCTTGCTTGCACCACCACCAGCAGCAGCAGTAGTAGAACTACCTGCAGCAGCACTTGCGCCGGCTGGCTTTGGTCGTCGCCGCGTGGATCCGTCCTTCCCCTTGTCCTTGGCCTTGTCCTTGTCCTTGGCCTTGTCCTTGTCCTTGGAGGACGACTTCTTGTCCTTGGAGGACGACTTGCTCGATGCTCGATCTGCTTGGTCTGCTGCTGCAGCTGCAGCGTCGCCCTCGCGAACCGTCTTGCGGAAGCCCGACTGGCTCGTCACCACGCGCGGCTGCGTCTTGGTCGCAGCAGCAGTCGTCTCGGGATCGGCTTCGAGCGCGTCCGAAGCGGCAGATTCAGCGTGCGTTCGCTTGGACGACGGACGTGTGTTAGTGCTAGAGCTGGATGAAGTGGAGGCTGCTGCGGCAGTAGACGACTTGACTGGCGGCGGCATTTGTGGTGTCTGAGTTTTTGAGGAGGAGTGCCAGAGTTCTAAATTCGGCAAGTCAAGTGAACACGTATGAAATGACTTGCTTTTGTTTATTAAATCACAATCCGCTTGCCTAACACCAAAAAACCCCCAACAACAACGCACAAAAGCACCAAAAGCAAACCATCTCGTCGACGTTTGATCGTTGGGTGTGCAACACGTCGCACTTTGGCATCAAGTTTGCCGTTCTGCGGAACCGGCTGAAGATGTTGCTGTTGCTGCGGCTGATTGCTGGCGCTTCTGATTGAGCATGTCGACTAGTGGCTTGACAAAGTCCGTGGTGAATCGGCCTTTGGTCGAGTCAAAAAACGGCTGAAGCTCAAGAGGTCGTGCGTCAGCTATCAGAGTCAGAGCCAGAGTCATTGGGTCCATAGCAACGCCAAAGTACAAAACGGCGGGGTGTGAGCTCAAAGAGAACGGGGCAGACTTTGAACAGCGGGCTTGCGTTTGCCCTTGTTTGAACTCGAACAACACACCATCACGCACAATACCCCTCACATTGCTCATACTCCCACGCTTGCAAAATCATGTCGAACTTGTCGAGATCCTTCACCACACGCGCCTCGACGGTGGAAGCGGCTTCGTACTCTTCCCAAAGTGCGAGCAACTCCTGTCCTTGCGCAGATCCTTGCAACGTTTCGTTGCAGATACGAGTCATTGCATCCTGATTCGATTCGTGCGCAGCAGTTCATTCTCGTCAGTATGCACATATTCCTGCCGGTTCAACGAGCAAAACCCCAAAACCGAACAAAACCTTACTCGTTCGAGCTTTTCCTTTTCTTGCTTTGTAACTCGAACATCGCCTGGCGTAATATCTCCTACAATGCTCTCTGCCAGGTCGTGTACCATTGCGATCTTGGCGCATCTGTCACGACAAGTCCAATTTGCTCAGATCAGAAACCAGAATCGAGCCGTTGCTTTCCCCCTCAAGGATCTCAGTTCCATCCATTTCCCCAAAAATTCGCACATCATCGGCTCCGGTCAGCATGTACGTTTGATCTTGCATGTTTCATCTCAGTTCCGAGTCTGAGCTTCGTTGCTGCTGCCAACTCCACCCCTCTCCCCAATCCCCACCTCACCTTGTTCGGTCGCACCGCTGGCCGTCGATCTGGTCGGGCACAATCATGGCCATCAGACTCATCCGGTGCATATGGTCGGCGATGCTCTCCGGGTGCCTCACGCCGTGGTTGACCCACCCCGTCCTTGGCGTCGCCTAACCCAGCCAGCATCAGCATCAGCATTCAGAATTCGCATGCATGCATGAGCTTTGAACGTCAAACAGATATTACAAAAAGCAGCACTAAGACACAATAAAGCATTGTCGGTGTGTGCTGCGTTGCTCAGACCTTGAGCCGGCCACAGAGCAACATGAACTCGAGCGCGTGCGCTGCATCCACCATTGCGAACTGCTCAAAGACTGAACCTGACCAGGAACCAAATAAGACTGTAATCGAAAATTAAAAGTGTAAAATGATCACAGTGATGGACTGGTGCTTGGTTGTTGTGTATTTAACCCATCAAGTCAACCACATTTTCAACATCAAACACTACAGTACGTACTACACCTCCCCCTTGCCCAAGGGATCAGTAAAAAAAGGCCAAACCCTCTAGGGGCGAGTGATGGTAATGTCGTGCAGGATGGAGTTGGACTGAGCTTCGTAGAACTGCCATTGCAGGTTGGAAGCGTCGTGAGCAGTCAGCACACCGTAGCCGTAGACACCATAAGCCGCCGCCACAATGTCGGGGAAGGTGCTCGGGAAGCCAGTGACGTGCTCCTTGTTGCCGCCAGCGCCGTTGACAATGTACACGGGCGCCTTGGGGTTGTTAAAGTCGTTGCCCATCTTGGTGCTGTTGTACGTCGGGTAGAAGCACTCGTAGTAGTGCAAATGGGCTACCCAACGATCAAAAAGGAAGATGAAAATCGCTGATGAGATCAGATTGTGAAACCGCCGCCGCAGCAGCTTGAAAAAAAAGCAAGCAAACAAACAAACAAACCAAAAAGGAAAAAAAAAACCAAAGTGCGCTGCTCACCTTGCATGACAATGTCGACCTTTTGCTGCATGAACAGGTCTTCCAAATCCTTGCGAAGAAGCTCCGACAGGGTCTGGCAGTCTTCCTTGTTGGCCGAGCAGTACAGAGCACGGTGACCCGACACGACAATCCAGGGCTGCTTGTCGCGGTTTTTGTTGGCTTGAATCAGGTCGTTCAACAGCCATTGATACTAACGGTTTTGTTTGAGAGACAAGCAGCACAACAGTGAGGTCATGAAGCCGTGGGATGGAGACTTTTCGTCGAAAGGCACGCCGATCTTAGCAAAAACGAAAAAGGGAACACTGGTGCAAACAAACCTGAGGAGTGTTGGATTGAATATCGCCAATGCTAATGCCCATCGGGCCCTCGGTGTTGTAGTTGATGAAATGAATGCCACCATAGTTGAAGCTTGCGCGTGTTGGAGAGGAGCCAAAGATGAGCAAAGGCGTTTCGGAAAGATCATCGACAACAACGCAAACATTTCTCACCTGTAGTACAGAGGATCCGTCGACCCGCTCTCTTCATACGGAACATTGTAGCGCGCCTTGTAGGTGATAAAGTCGGTAAAGCCTTCATGGTTGCCAGGTGCAGTCATGTGCGGGGCGAAGGCGGCCAAAACCTCAATCTTGCGCTGGTACATGTCTTCAATGAACTCGACGCCATCAGCATAGCTCAAGTCTCCGTCGAACAGCGACAGATTGAACAGCCCGCCTTTCGAAAAAAAAAAGGAGCGGTAGAGTGTGAGTGAGCGCCTTGTGTTTTTTGAGTCTCGTTCGTGCTATTTTCCTCTGCTTACTGTTAATTCCGTCGGCAATGCGGAGGACGGTAAAGTCAGATGGATCGTCGCCGCCAATGTCGCCCACGCACGCAACACGGACGGGATAGGGCTCGACAGATTCGGTTGTGAACTTGAGGTCTGGCTGGCTGCCGGCCGGGTGAGGGTAGAATTGCTCTGCACACATTTTTCACACGCACACACATCCGTGAAAACCAACCAGAGACACACGACCACAGACACGGGCGCCAGCTAGCAACTCACTGTCGGTAAAGGAGCCCACGCGGTAGTGGTAGGTCGTGGCAGGCGCCAAGTTGGTCATGACGGCGCGGTAAATGACGCCGCGCCAGCCGTAAATTTGCATGGGGTGGGCGGTGGCTGGCGCAAAGTTGGTGAGCGAGTTTGTGCTTGTGCCCCAGATGACGGAGGCGTTGGAGACCTCCTGCAGCGTGACCCACTGGACGGAAATGTCACGCGAGTTGTTTCCGGCGACGGCAATGTGGATTTGCTCTGGAGTGAACGGCGTGCTGCAGCAGTCGAACGCACACGCACCCATGATGGAGCAAAGTGCAAATGTCGAGTACTTGACGAGGATGCCCTGGTCCTGCGAGCCGACGAGCTTTGCCATGTCGTCAATGCCCTTCACGCAGTCGGTCGCGAGCGCCTTTGGCAAGACGCTTGTGCAGACCTTGCGCAGATCGTCCATGATTTCGGTGTCGGTCTTGTTGGTTTCAATAGCGTCAATGCCAGCCTCGCAGACGCCGCAATAGAGCGTGCTCGGGCTCGGGTTGCCTGCTGCTGCTGCAAGGGGTTGGAGCAACAAGAGTGAGGTTAGTTCCAACGAGAGCACTCGACCCCCTTCCTTTGTCTTCCGAGCGCCCGGATGAGCACGAATTCAGATCATTCATGCTGATACGCACTCCATCCACCATCCACTTCAAAAGGCAGAGCGACCACCCGCCAGGATTGCTTGCTTGTTTGTATTGGGGTTTGTATTGGATTTTTGAATGCGGTCTCCTCCTTCCTCCCCCCCCCACTCACGTCCGCCTCGCTTCGGCCGCGCGAGTGACTTTAAGTGAGACGTGCAAAACCACGAGCTTGCAAACAGAGTGCGCAAACGGGAAAAGGGAAAAAGCGCAGACTACTGCCAATAAAAACCCGCCATTCCGCCACGCTCCACTTTGACGGGCGACCAGCGGATTTGTGTGACGAGCTTGAGGAGCTCGGTGGGCGTTGGCGGCCAGAGGGGAACTCTGTACCTGATGAGCTCGGCGGCATGGCGCGGCGGTGGAGCCCAGAGCCAACCGATGCGTGGGCGTCCGCAGCAGTGAGAGCGGCAGAAAGAGCGGCAGCGGCAATGACCACGACGAGGACGAACGGAGCAGTCCTGCTGGAAGACATTGTGGGTGCAGAGAAGAAATAAAAGAAGGGGGGAAAACAAAAAAACAAAAAAAAAAAAAAAAAAAACAAAACAAAAAAAAAAAAAACAAAGAGATGGAGTGAGCTGCGAAATAATAGGAGCAAGTGAAGAATGGGGATTTTGGCTGAGCAACGACGGCATTGTGATGTCTGATCATCCCACTTCCCTGTTGACTCTTTGCTGCGTGTCTTTGTGGCGAGTGGGCACGAAAGACGAGCAACAGCAGAACAAACAGAAGGAAACACCAAAAACCAGCGATATCTTAGTCTTTTGACAGTTACTACATGGCTGTTGCTCGTCCGTTGATCGGCCGCTTTGCTGCGGTGCCCGTGACGCTCATCCGCATGCAGGCAACAACCCATGTCAAGCTGCAACCGTTCCGGACTGGCCGCTCGTATGATCTCAAGCTCAGTCCCGACGGCTGCCGAAGGACCGGATTTTCTTGGCCCCAACGGTGCGTCACTCCGTCCCGCAGCCAGCCCGACGCTGCATGAAGTCCTTTGCAACTGGCGCGGCAACTGCATTCTGTACAAGATCCCGGCTGGCACGCCACTTCCCGCCGGGCTCACTCTGCTGCACGAGCACAGCGATCACTATTCGCTGCAGACAACCAAGCCAATCTCCCTGCCCGACCTGCAGAAGGCCATGACTGCATTCATTGCTCCGTTCAAGCTGCAGCAGACGCGCGAAGAGTTCCTCGAAACGAACGACTTTTACGGATCGTGAGCGAAGGATGTTCTCTTTCGCAGCTAGGCGTGCACTGCCATCGGGTGAGTTGTCTCGTTGATACAGATGAAAAATGCATGCAGCTATGAAGCACGAATCTGTCAAACCTCAATACGAACAAAGTGGCGCGGGCTGAAAGTCGCCCCATCAGCCAAGAGATTTTCGCGCAAAGCCAAGGGATTGAAGAGATTTGGGAGCCAGTTGTTCCCACCTTGAGCCGAAGCGCTAACTGTCAATACGACTGGAGTATATGCGACAAGTACTGTCTAGTATTCAGTGTGTCATGCACAGCACAGATTGCAGAACTTGGCGGTTTCGAGGCCGTAAATCTACAAACCGCATCCCAAATTGGGTTCACTCTTTTTTTTTTCTTTTTCTTTTTATTGTTTTTTTGCGTTTTTTTTTTTCCAGCAGTTCCCTTTGTTTTTGACTCTTGCTTGAAAGTTTTACGTGTAAGGCGAAATGGCACTGCTTTATACTTTATTATGTCGAGCAAAGGGTCCGGCGGGCGGAAGCGATCCAAAAGCATCCAATGTCGGCCGATGGATGATTCAATACCGCTTCTACGAAAAGGGGTTTTTTTTCCATGGAATAGCCCGAGTCTTGTGTGTTGCTCGATCATCGTCGCATCCGCAAAAAGCAGCACGTTATGTTTGTCCAAAGTGATACACTGCCATCTTGTGGTGAATGGATGTCAGGAGCAGAGGAGCAGAGAGAGAGAGAGCACGGCGAGCAAGAGCTTCCGTCTGTCGTCGAGTTCTTTTTCGTAATCTTCTTCTTCTTTATATTTGGCTTCGTGTCGATTCGTGTTTTCTCGATGCGCGATCTTCGCAAAGCTTTCGTTTCATACTGCTTTCTGGAGGCAACAAAAGCCAAAGCAGTGTGTGTGTGACGACATCGAGTGCGAGCAGCAGAGACGATTGTCGGCGTTTTTTATTTTATTTTATTTTTTATTTATTTTTTGGTCCAATGCAACATGTGTGTCTCTTTGCCGACGCCGGCTTTTTCTTGCTGTCATCGTCGCTCGACTGCTCAGCCGCCCCCACCGTTTGCCCCCAATGTTCGCTTGCTTGCTGCGTCCAAAACCTCAAAACCAAAACCATCGCAACGCGCTCTTCCAACCCCTCGTTTTTTTGTGAGGGGGCGACGGTTTAGCATTTGAGTGTATTTTTGTTTCCAACGGTTTTTGCGCCAGTACCGTCGCTTTCTCAAGCCTTTGGGGCGTGTCGGTTGCCTGCCGCGTCGCTGGCTGGTGCATGGCGTTTTGCGAGTGCGTCCTGCTCCCCCTTCTCTTCCTCCGAGGAGGGTGTTGAGGCTGCGGGTGTGGAAGGGCGGAAGAGGGAGGGCGAGCCAATCGGCTGCGGCTCGCGCGCAATCGCGTCGGCTTCTTTTTTGTTTTGTTCGGTTTCATTGCGTTCTGCCTTCGTTGTGGCTTTTGTGGAGCCCTCCGGCCAAGCAGCACGCAGCAGGAGCACAAGCAGCACCAGCCGCAGGAGACGCAGAAGAGCACCAAAAGCAGAGAGAAATCAAAAAGCGCGCGAAATCAAAAAAGAACGATCCGAAAAACAGCCTTCCTAATCGGGGCTTGTAAGGCTCGTTTCCCGAAATAACCTTCGTTTGTATGAAGATCCATTGGAGAAGCAAGCCCAATGCAGCCTCCATACAAAAATCAAAAACCCAATGCAAAGCTCATACAGAACGTCATCAAAACACCCAAAAAAGGCCCAACCGCAGACAAAAACCCCCCAATTACAAGACATCTCAGAGATTTGCATTCATGCAACGCAAACAGAAGGATGAGGGGGAAGGGGAGGAAAACACGAAAAAGGCGCCAAAATCTGCCGTTCTCAGCTTTTTTGTTCTCAGCCGATTTTTCCCGCTCAAATGATTCTGTCACTCACTCACCCTGCTCTGGCTCTCTGATGTATTGACAGGTACTTTTTGATTCACTCGTGAGATTTTTTTCCTTCTCTTCAGCGATGAGCACATCATCCGCATTCTCGGTCGGAACAGACCTCCCTTCGCTCGCTGCTGCGCCCAGTCGTCGTGGCAGGACTGCTTCGACGTCGTCCGCGATCGTCGCCAGCAGCAGCAGCAGCAGCAGCAGCAGCCCAAAGCGACCCGCGCGTGCATCCAAGACGGCTGCCGCTGCCGCCGTCGCCGCTGTCGTTTCGGGCGGGCTGCCGCGCATCGTTGTCAGCACCGAGGACGCCTCGATGATGCTGCCAGCAACACCCGCCAACAGCGACTCTGTCTTTATGGGCGCCGCAAACAGCGCCATGGTCGAGTCCACCTCGGCCTTTTTGAATGCGCTGCCTGGAACAAACAATGCGCCACAGATCGCCATGAAGCCTCGCAAGCGCGCTGGTCGCAAGCCCTCGGCCTCCACCATCCCCGAAGGCGACGAGCAGCAGCCAGAGACGCTCGCACCCTTCACGCTGCCGCTCCACATGCAGCTCCAAAACTCGTCGCTGCTCTCCATGTTCCCCTTTGCACAGCAGCAGCAGCAGCAGCAGCAACCACCACTGCTCTTTGATGCACAGTTCCAACAACCACAGCAACAATCAGCACAACCACTGCTGTCACAACAGTACTCGCTGCTGGCTCCGCACTATCAGATGATGCTGATGAGCAGCGCTGCCATCACTGGCAACAATAGTCTGCTGACACATAATCCCGCCCTTTACGCGCCGTTTGGCGGATCCAGCAGTCTCCCTTTCGCTCAGAGCTCCACGTCCATTCCCATGGATGACACCACGGCCGGAATGGGCGGCATGGCGCCATCCTGCTCGAGCTCGGCTGCCGCTTCGCCCGCCGCGTCGGATGCATCTGTTGCTGCCCCCATCGCCCCCACTAGCAGCAGTAGCAGCATCACCACCACCACCACCAGCGCGGCCGCCGCTCCAGCAACTCGATCCAACAACGCCCATCTTCTTGGCGCACAGTATGCACCGGACGGTCGACGCTACAACTACTTTTTGTCGCGCGGCCGCAAGCGTGTCGCGCTGGAGGACGGTGTTGATTACCGCAACTGCGAAATCAAGCCGCCAATGTCGTACGCTGCGTTGATTGAGGAGGCGCTCAACTCGACGCCGACGCGCTCGCTCACCCTTTCGATGGTGTACGACTACATCAAGGATGCCTACCTCTATTACCGCAACAACTCTGGCAGCTGGCAAAATTCCATCCGCCACAACTTGTCCTTGCACCGGCGGTTTGAGCGCGTGTCGCGCGACAAGCCAGGCAAGGGCGACTTTTGGACGGTGAACGACAACTGCGGGGCCACCCACCACAAGCGTCGCAGGCGCAACAAGAAGTCGATTGCAGCGGCTCTGGCTGCCGCCGCAGCTGCCGCAACTGCCGCCGCTGTCGCTGCCGCGGCGGCCGAGGGTAGCAACGATCCCGCGCTGCACGCGGCTGCCGAAGCGGCTGCTCTGCTCGCCAGCCAGACTGCCCAGGCTGCCGCGCTTGTCACTGGCGACACCCAGCGCAAGCGCTCTCGCCAAATGAGCACCGACGACACGCCTCAGCAGCACAGCCATGCCGATGACTCTGACGAGTCGGACGAGGACGAAGACGAGGAGGCTGACGAGGACGAGGATGACGAGCCCGCCATGGACGCCCTCTCCACCACTGCCGCCACCGTCGGTGACGACACGCTCAGCGTGGCCGATACCTTTACGACCGAAACCGCCTCTGTTGCTGGCATGGACCAAGCGCAGACGAGCAAGCGCAGGCGCTCGTCCATCAAGGTCAAGATGCCGTCCCAGCAGCAGCAGCAGCTTTGGTCTGAGCAGTTCCTCGCGCTGCCCGTGTCGCACATGCCTTCCTCTGCATCGGCACTGGACATGACTGGCGCACCCTTCGCGTCGAACGGTGTCATGTACCCTTCTCCTGCTGCTGCGTTTGCAAGTGGCGCCGCTGCAGCACCCATGCCTGCTCCAGCCTCGTCCTCCTCCACGCTGCTGCCTGCCGGCTCGACCTCGCCCAGCGGCTACCACCACCGCCGCACTGGCTCGGACTCGAGCGCCATCACCAGCATTTCGTCCGTGTCGTCGATGGGCCAAACTGCCGAAGAGCAGTACTATGCGCAGCAGCAACAGCTCGCGTTGACGCGCATGAACGTTGCCATGAGCGTGCAGCCCCAGCCGTGGGCCATGCAAGATGCCTCTGCCTCCGATGCTGGCAAGCCGTTCGAGCAAAGCCAGGCTGCGCCGCAACAACAACAACAAGGCCGAACTGCTCAGCAGCAGCCTCGCCACCAGCAGCTGTTTGCGCGCACTGGAGCAGCCCCCATCATGCCCATGTCCATGTCGCCGTTCGGCAGCCAGCCGCTCTCTGCCCTCTCTGCCAGCGGCCTGTTCCTGCCCTTGTCTGCCACGGCACCCTTGTCCTCGACCTCGCTTGGCGACTGGGACGCGCTCACCGCCGAAAAGCTGCTCGACTCGATCAGCAACTCTGTCAGCCAGCCCGTCAACGGCGATCTCTGGTTTAGCAACACCTCGGCCGAGGACTTGATGGCTGGTCCAGGTCTCGACATGGACTTGTTTGCGCTTCAATAACCGCAGACACTTTCTTTTGTTTATGCTTTCTCTTCCCCCCCCCCACCACCTCTTGTTTTTTTTTTTTTTTTTGCTTCTCTTTTGCTTCTTATGATATCCTGGCTCCAGCTCCACGCTGCATCGTCGACTTTCAATGTTGTCGCAGCAGCTGTTGGAACTCTGTTATTTTTTATTTGTGTGAGCTTGTGTGTGCAGTATGTTTTTCTCGTTGTCTCCCTCTCTTCCTCTCCCTCCCCCCTTCCCTCGTTCCCATTTACGATTTACTCGATTCTCCGTTATGCTCCCCCCCCCAAACCAATTGTTAACAATCCCTATTCGCAATGCGATGGTTTTCCCCCCCACTTCTTATGACCTGGTTGTGTTTGTTTTTGAATACACAAAGTTTTGTTATTGCTACAAGCTTGTCCCCTCACGTTGTTTTTGCTGTCCATCCTACACCAAAAACCAACCTCTAGCTGAGCTGATTCATCGAGGCGAGCGGTTCCGACATAGAGACAGACAGACACTGCTTATTTACTGTATCCAACCAATCCGGTTTAATTCCTGCCCATCTCATCTCTTTCCCCGCCCCGCCCCCTTTTTAATTCATTCTTCCCATCATGAAGATCTAACATCTCGTCCATTTCTGTTCATCACGTTTGTTGCACGTTTGCACGTTTCGCGCTTCACTCGTTTTTTCTCGTTTTTTTTTTTTTTTTTTTTTTTGTTCTCCTTCCAATTTTGCTTTTTTTTTTTTTTTCCGTCTTTTCCCTTCTTTTGTTTTTTATCGCTCTCTGATTTCTGTCTCTCTCTCTCTCGAGATGGCTGCCAATCCCGGCGGCGGTGGCAGCGGTGGCAGCAGTGGCGATGGCAGCAACATTGACTGGCAGCTGCGATGCAAGGAGGCCGAGCGGGCCCTCGAGAGCGTCCAGCAGCAGGCCGGCAAAATCCGCGAATGGGTCTCCAAGAAGGCAAGTATGAATCAAAAAAAAAAAAAAAAAAAAAAAGTGAATGGAAATGAAGGAAATGAAGGCAAAAGCGCGATCGATGAGTGAACTTTGGTAGCAGTTTAATTGCTGTTTAAGCCAAACAAATTACATACCAACCCACAAAAAACAAAAACTCGTTGCATTCTTGTCCGTTAATCAAAAAGACACGTCGATCGGGTTCAACATTCGACTTGTCTGCGACTTGTCATGATTGAGTTGCTTGAACTGCGAGCGTGAGAATGAACGAAGGCGGCGGAAGTGGGGTGAAGCGGGGGGGGGAAGCGGGAGAAGATAGAGAGAAACAGAGAGAAGAGAGTGAAGATTGCATTGGAACGAAAACCAACGCTCATCATACTCATGACTATGCCTCATCCGACACAATGATGAAATCACAATGATGGATTGCACAGGTGCGCGATATGGAAAACACCGTGTTTGTGACGGAAGACCGCGCAGCCAAGACCGAGTCCAAGCTGCTCCACACTGAGCAACAGCTGCGTGACAGCCAGCGGATGGCGCTCGATCTCCAGCAGCACCTGGCGCGATCCACGCAGGAGGCAGATGAGCAGAAGCGCACGTTCGAGAACAAGGCAAAGCTCGTGCGCGAGTACGTCGACAAGAAGCTCGGACAGCTCGAGCAGGAGAACAGAGCGCTGCGCCACGAGCAATTGCGCATGCAGCAGCAGCAGCAGCAGCAAACACCCAACGCTGCACCAGCAGCAGCGACAAGCACAGGAGCTGCTGGAGGCTCGAGCTCGTCGTCGGCGTCGTCGTCGTCGTCGTCGGGACTGCCAACAACGCAGGCGCCGTCGGGAGCCATCTACGCGCTCGTCTCCAAGAAGAACAACAACAACAACAAGTCGGCAACCTCGCTCCTGGCGCCGATTGTCGCCTCTGGCACCCCGAACGCGGCGACCGAGGAGGTGGTGCGTCTGGGCAAGCTGCTGAACGACGCCGCTGCTGACGCCGAGAATGCAGAGGGTCGTCTGCGCGCGCTCGAGGACAAACTGCGACGGATTGAAGACAATGCAGGCGTCGAGCCAGCGGTTTTGGCCCGTGCGCGCGCCCTCACCAACATTACGCAGCGCATTGGCAGCAGCTCGTCGTTCTCGCGCAACATTGTGGGGACGACACAGCCACTACACCAGCTCGACAAGCACTTGTATGATCCGGTCGCCGATCTCCCTCCATTGCACGCGAATGGCGCGAGCAGCGGCAGCAGCAGCAGCAGCAGCAACAGTCGCCAACAACCCAATCGGCATCCTTCCGACGAGTCGGATGGCCTTCAAGACGACATTATCGCTGGCTACATGCGCAATCTCATCACCAGCCCAACCTCCTCGAAAAGCAACAACACAGCCGGGCTCATTCTGCAAAACGACGACTTGTACGAGTCGCCACAAGACTACACCATCAAAATCAAGCAGCTGCAGCAGCCATCCGGTGGTGCGAACGACGATGTTGGCGGAGAAAGCAGCAGCAGCAGTGGCGGCCATCCGGTCGTCACCTCGACCTCGTCCGGCTCGCTCAGCCAGGACGCTTCCTCCCCAGCCCCGGCCAGAATGAAAATCACGCGATCCGCCTCGGTCGACGCGTCCACCTCGCTGTCCACCAGCCCTCCTGCACGCCTCCTCGACACAGCATCGGCTGCTGCTCGCCGACTCAACACTTGCTCGGTCTTTACATCCGAAAACCTGCTCAAGGAGACGGTCGAAATGTCCGGCTTCCTGACCAAGCAGGGCGGCACGGTCAAGTCGTGGCGTCGCCGTTGGTTTGTGCTGGCCGACCGCACTCTCATGTACTACAAGGCGCAGTCGGATGTCAGCAAAAACCAGCCTCTCGGCCGCGTGCCTCTCAACGGGTTTTCGCGCATTGCAAAGTGAGCAGCGGGGGCAGCAGTAGTGTTGGCGTGTGTGGGGTGTTTTGTTTTGTTTTGTTTTTGTGCGCGACTTGTCGCGAAAATGTCGTTCACTCATCTCTCTCCCTTTTTTTGCCCATCCTTTTTTTCTTTTTGGGTTTGTTTGTTCTCAGAAACGACACTCTGGGCAAGCAGTTCCTGTTTGAAATCTTCACTCCTCGCCGCACGTATTACTTGTCTGCAGACACGGAGGCGGAGATGAAGAGCTGGCTCCAGGTGCTCCAAAACGTGCTCAAGCGGACTTCCACCATCCCGCTCGCGCTGCAGAGCGACGAGAGCGGAGGCGCTGCCATTTCGGGCTGGATGACCAAGGTCAAGCGCGGCAGCTTCAAGCGACGATGGTTTGTCCTGCTCGGCAAGGTCTTGTACTTTTACCGAACGCCGCAAGATTCCGTCCCATTAGGCGAAATCTACCTGCTGGAGGCTACGGTGGAGACCATCAACCCCGCGGACGATTCCGACCACGAGAGTGACGCGGAGAGCTTCCACTGCTTTGGCATCAGCACGCGCTACACGTCGTACCACTTTGTGGCCGAGAGCGCAGAGGAGAAGGATCGCTGGATGTACCACATTGTGATTGCCAGCAACACCCCACAGCCCAAGGTTGGCACCGAGACGGAGCGCTTGATTGCCAAGCTGGACGGCAATCCCGACGACCCCGTCCTCAACAACCCGGCCCTGACGTTCACCAAGGAGCCCATCACCGAGTCTCTCATCACCCTGCCGTCGCGCGAGCTCGAGCAAGAGGCCGTCAACATGTTCAAGGCGCTGCTATTGTACACGGGCGTCGTCATTGACTTGACGGCTGTCGACTACCACCTGTCGCTCGCGCAAAACATCATCACCAAGTGCCTTGCTCGTCCCGAGCTGCGCAACGAGCTCTTCTGCCAGCTCATCCGCCAGACAAACAAGCACCCGTACCCCAACTCGTCGCTGACGCTCCAGTGCTGGCACGTCCTGGCCATTGCCTGCGGCATCTTTTTGCCCTCGCGCCAGTTCCTCGAGTACCTCAACACGCACCTCACGCGCCACGGCACCACCAAGACCGAGTCTGGCAAGTTTGCCCTGTACTGCCAGCGCTGCGTGCGCCGCACCGAGGCCAACGGCCACCGCACGCACCGGCCCAGCCGCATGGAGGTGGCGTCGGTCATTCTGCGCAATCCCTACGACCACTCCTTCCCGATGAGCATTCCAGTGCTCCTGCCCGGCGGCCAGCAGCACATTGTTGGCTTTGACCCGGCATCCACGGTGGAGGAGATGCTCAACATGCTCAACCGCGAGCTGCGACTTCGGCCGACCAGCATGACAGGATTTGCACTGTTCTGCCGGGATCCGATCCACACCAACATTGACCGCAGCTTGAAGGCGTCCACCAGCATCGGCGACGTTCTGGGCCTGTGGGAGCGACAGGCTCGCGAACACAAAGTCGGTCTGGTCGACCAGCACAGCTCGCCCGTCCGCCTCGGCTTCCGTCGAAAGCTGTACTTTAAGAGCCTCAACCGCGTCGGCGGACCCGACGATGCCGTGACCGATCCCGAGCGGCTCTTGCTCTTCCACCAGGCGCACGCGCAGCTGATGGACGGAAAGTATCCCGTCACCGAGAGCAATGCGATTGAGCTGGGTGCCTTGCAGGCGCAGTTCAAGCATGGCGATCTCGTTCTTGCCGCGTTGGCGATGGAAACCAGGTCTCAACAGCAGGCTCCTGGGCTGCACTCATCGCAGCTCAACCTGTCTCAGCAGCAAGCACTCAATGCATCTCACCAGGTCGCACAGTCGCTGCCCAACATGTCGTACTTGTCATCGTCGTCCTCGTTTGCAGTGGAAGGCGGAGGCGTCATGCATTCGGGCATTCCCTCGTCCGGTTCCATGTCTGTTTCATCGAGCTCAGCTCTCCGGATTGAACAGCTGGTTGAATCCTGCTTGCGCGAGTTCATTCCCGTTCGCTTGCTCGAAGCGAACGCCAACAACACAAACCACCTGGTTCGCCATTTCCAGGACAAGTGGCAGGCGCTCCGCGGCATGAAGGCCGAGCTCTGTTTACCGACTGGCCCTATTACGGCAGTGCGCTTTTTGTGATCGAGGTATGTCCATTTTGTGATCGAGGTATGTCCATTTTTTGATTTCTCTCGTTGGTATTTGGCTTTTTTCGTGTGTGTGTGTGTGTGTGTGTGTGTGTGTGTGTGTTTGATGCATTTCGGACACAGGACCGCCAAAACTCCTCCGATCTTTGCTGGATGGCTGTCAACGAGAAGGGTCTCTATGTTTTGGACTACGCAACGATGGTATGGCCTTGTCGTTTGGCGTTTTTGGGCGTTCTGCTGCCACCGATTCACTCATTTTTCTTTCTTTCTCTCCCCTCCCCGCGTCCTTCTTCTGCTGAACCATCAGAAACTCAAAACCAGCCACGAATACCGCAAGATGCTCAGCTTTGGCAACTCTGGCGGCGACTTCGTCCTTGTGGTTCACTCGGGATCCGGTCGCTCGAGCGACATCAACGAGGCTACCGAAAAGCTCCGTTACGGCACCAATGAGGTTCGCGAAGTCACGAGCACCATCGCCGATTACATCAACGCCATTGTTCGCCGCGAAGGTTTGTGTTTTCGCCGTGATTGTTTTCCTTGTTTGCAGGAGAGGCGAGAACAGCCAACGAACTTACGGTTGATGTTCCAATTGTTCAGGCATTGTCTGCGACGCGACCGAAATTCCGAGCCTGTGAACGCTGCAATCCCAACCTCCGCATATGCGAGCCATGCCTCCATCACACTATCGACTAATGTGTTCCTTGTCGTTTCATTTACTCTTCAGTTTTTGGTGTGTGTTGTCACCACCTCTGCTCTCCCTGTTCTGCGAGGTGACAGTGTTTCTTCTTTTTGTTTCTCTTTCGTCTCTTTTGTCTGCGAGTGTATCAGTGTCTGTGTGGTCTTTGGTGGTGGGTTCTTTGTTTTCCCATCGCCAACATCCGATTGTGAATACTGTACCAATTCCAATTCCTACTTCCCCCATCGAATCTCTCGTTATTCTAGTCATTCAGTCATTCAGTCATTCAGTCGTAGCGCATCCAACTTGAGCACTGCACACACACACACAGTCCTCTTCCATTTTTGCATGACGGGCAACAGTCGCGAGTATTCCAAACTCGCCTCCTCTGGCGATGACCACGACGCCGAATCATCTGCCGTGTCCGCGTCGTCCGAGCGCCACGAGAGCCTGACTCTGCTGCCATCAAAGTCGTCGTCGTCCGCTCTGCCGCAGTCCCAGAGCGCGTCTGCAGCAGGAGGTGCGTCGAACGGTAGCAGCAGCAGCCAGAGTGGCACGAGTGGCCACACGCGCGTGGCAGTCCCGTCGTACCAGCACAGCGGCGCTCTGAGCAGTTCCGCCGCGCACCACACATCCCGCATGGTGAGTCTTGCGAGTGCCAGCACCACAGAGTGCAAGCGGCGAGTGACATGGGCGGGTGGGGGGCGGGCGCAAATCCCGCTAGCTTCCCATTGGCACGCTCGTGAATCACGCAATGCAATTGGCTGGGAAACGGGGATCAGTGCCACATCCATTGCTACATTGCCATGGATGGATACAATGAGGCGGGGGGAGGGAATTGATCATATTCAACGAGGCGCACCAGTGGAACCTGAGATTGTCTGAGATTGCCGGAAGTTCGTTCTGAATCGTTTTGTTTTGATCTGACTTCCATATTTGTCAACATCTCCGACCCAAATGCTCAGACGTGCGGGCAGCGTCTGCGCTTGGCGACGCGCAACAAGCTCTTCCTTCTGTCAATGGTCTTGCTTGTGTCGACAATCACACTTGCTGCGCTGCTGGCCAACACGATGAGTCGAGGTAAACAACAAGAGTCGAGAAGGGCAAAAAAAAAAGTTTGGCAACGCGCTTGGTTTTTGCTCACCCTGCTGTGTGAATCGCGTCAGGCGAGTCGACCGCACCACGAAACCTCGTCGTTATGATTAGCGATGGTTATGGCCCGGCTCAGGCGACGATGGGTCGATTGTACTACAATCTGGTGGTGAAGGGCCGGAATCTGACCGACACCAACCCGTCATTGCCGCTGCCGCTCGACACGTTCGCTGTCGGCGCCTCGCGCACCCGCTCCTCAAGCTCGCTTGTGACCGACTCGGCCGCGGGTGCCACAGCATACGCTTGCCGCAAGAAGGCTGTGAATGGCTACGTTGGTGTCGACAGCTTGGACAAACCCTGCGGCACGCTCATGGAGGCTGCCATTGCTCGTGGCATGCGCACTGGTGTCGTTGTGACCAGCCGCATCACGCATGCGACTCCGGCATCCTTCACCTCGCACGTGCTGGACCGCGACAACGAAGCGCTGATTGCCGTTCAGCAGCTTGGCACGGGCGTTGATTTGTACATGGGTGGTGGTCGCTGCTACTTTACTCCCCAGTCCGCCTCTGGCTCTTGCCGGACTGACGACTTTGACGGTTTGCAGAATGCCACTGCTCGTGGTTACCACGTTTTGTTGGATCGAGCGGGATTTGATGCCGTGCGTCCCGTGGCCTCCAGGTATGCACGGCTCGCAGCAAAAGCGGAGTGTGGGGACGATGGACGTCGCTTTTTTGATGCTCAGGAGCAGCGTGTTCTCACCGTGTTCGAATTGTGCAATGCTTTGCTTTGTTCTTTTCATCCTACAGCCTCCCAATTCTTGGTCTCTTTGCGAAAAGTCACATGAATTACGAGATTGATCGCAACCCTTCCCAGCAGCCGTCCCTTGCCGAGATGGTGACCAAGGCGATTGCCATTCTGGAGGACGCGACCAAAGACTCGGACCAAGGCTTTATGCTGTTGGTGGAAGGCAGTCGGATTGGTAGGCAATCGCCTTGTTTTCCCTCCTCTGAAAGTCAAAAAGTTTAGCGGCGTTTCGTGATTACTGTCACTCACAACCAACAACAACAAAAACAGACATGGCCGGACACGACAACGACCCCGCCACCGAAGTTCGTGATATTCTTGCCTACCAGGACGCGGTGCAAGTCGTCAAGCAATATGCTCAGAAAAACCCCAACACGCTCGTTGTTTCTGTACGACTTGATGCGCTTAGGGCTGGGGAGAGTGCTGAGAGAGCATTCACTGACCGACATCCTGCCTGTTGCTGCTCGTTTTCCAATCTTTGCCTGTTGCCTCCGGTAGACATCGGATCACGAGACCGGCGGAATGACGCTCGGCGTCCAAACAGACTATCTGGAGTACCCAGAGTACGAGTGGACGCCGTACCCGTTGCAGCGCCAACTAAACTCGACAGAGGTCTTGGCAAAGGCCATCCGGAAGCTGTATGACGATGGCGGCAACGTGACCGACTATTTGGTGAGCACAGTGTTGCCAGTCTATCTGGGCATTCCCAGCTGGACGGAGAGCGACATCCAAGCTATTCTGGACGGACTGCAGCTTTACATTGGAAACGGCTCCGACTTTTACCTCAAGAAGCCATTGAACATTTTGGTGAGCAACGCTGCTGGTATCGGCTGGACCACGCCAGGCCATTCTGGAGTCGATGTAAACTTGTATGCCATGGGATCCTCTTCGTCCAAGATTGTTGGAAATCTTGAAAATACCCAAGTTGGGCAGCTGATTGAGGAGATCTTTTCGTTCGATCTGGACGCGATCACGAAAAAAGTCGCGTAAGGATTGCGGTTGTTTGTTTTGTTGTTGGAGTAGTTGATGATTGTTGGGACTTTTTGTTCTGACCGAATTGAACTGGTAACTGTTTGCAGGAACGTCGCGACTCAATAATCCATCGATGGCCGCCTGTACTGTTCTGTGGTTTTCAAATGAAAAATTAAACAAATTTCATCTGTTCCCCTCGATTTTCAACCGAAACTGTGTATTGAGCACGTAGAGCAGCAATGCACAGCAATTGAGCAAGCACAATCGCCAAGATCAATGCGACTTGGCATCGGACTCCTTTTGCATTTGTCGCTGGACGAGCTCAGAGTACAGTCCCTTGCGAGCCATGAGTTCCTGATGGCGCCCGAGCTCAACAATGCGTCCGCCATAAACGACACCAATGCAGTCCGCTCGCTGAATGGTGCTGAGGCGGTGTGCAATCACAACCACCGTTCGGCCTTTCATCAACCGGTCAAGGGCTTCTTGCACCTGCAGAATGCAACAAACGAAAAAAAAAGCGGTGAGCAACATGTTTGTTTCTTTTGATTGATTTGAACGTGCAGGCACAGAAACAAAGCGCCCCTCACCAATTTTTCGCTTTGAGCGTCCAGTGCGCTTGTTGCTTCATCCAAAATGAGAATCTTGGGGTCTTTCAGAATGGCTCTGCGTGCACAAAAGCGAGATTAGAACCAACTGCCAAAAAACCAAAAGTGCTTTTGGTTCCATCAAAGTTTGAGCCTTGCCTGGCAATTGCGATGCGTTGTCTTTGACCGCCGGAGACAGTAACGCCCCGCTCTCCAACAATCGTGTCATAGCCTGTGTTACAAATCAATGAGTGGAGGAAGCATTCCAAGATTGACGACACAAAGTCGAAACGTCAGCTCTCTCACCGTTCGGGAAGTTGCGAATAAAACCGTCTGCATTCGCTTGAAGGGCAGCATATTCAATCTGTTGTTGAAGTTGATGCAAACCAAATTCAGCAACATGACATTCTCAAGGATAGAGTAGCGTCACAACTCACCTCGGCGTCCGTAGCGTTGGGCCGGCCATAGCGAATATTGTCACGAATGCTGCCCGCAAACAGCACGGGCTCTTGGTTGATGTACCCGATCAGCTCGCCGCGCAGCCAAGAAGGATCCAGAGTGCGAATGTCAAACCCATCCAACAGCACCTGACCAAGAACTGGGTCGTAAAACCGCTCGAGCAACGCCGCGATGGTCGACTTGCCGCCACCCGATGCGCCACAAAGAGCGAGAACAGTGCCAGGCTTGACACGAAGATTCAGTTGATCGAGCACCAGCTGCTCCGGTCGAGTCGGGTAGCGGAATGAGACGTTGCGGAACTCGATATCGCCAACAACATTATCGAGCGAGATTCCACCTCGAACGGGGATGGTTGGCTTTCGTGAGCAAGGGGAAACAAACAACCACAAAAAAACAGAAGAGAAGCCGTCAGAGCAAGCAAACGACACAATCCAGTTCGCAACAACAAACAAACAAACAACAGCATGTAAATTTACCTGCAGGCGAATGTACTCGTGAACACGCGCGCCGGCGGACATGCCTCGCACGACAGCACCAAACAGAATGGAGAGCTGCGAGAGCGAGCGTTGAATGCTTTGGGTGGCGACGAGGAAGGAGGTCAAGTTGCCAGCCGTGATTTCGCGATTGACGACAAACGTGCCGCCCACATAGAGGACAGCGAGGACAATGCCGTTGATCGCGAGGTTGGAGACTGCCTGGAAGACGCCAATGCCGGCGCCTAGAATCACGTTCAGGGAGCGAGAGCGGTCGACCTCGCGGGTGAAGACAGCCTCTTCGCGGTCTTCCATGGCAAAGGCACGCACCGTTCGAATGTTGCCAAGCGCCTCTTCGGCAGTGGCTGCAGCGATCGCAACCTGCGACTGGGCCAATCGTGACAGCCGACGCAGCACAGAGCCAAAGATTGCACCGGCTCCCACAATGGCAGGGATGATGATCACCAGGACGGTGGTGAGGCGGGAGGAGATGGTCAGCAGAGCAACGACGCTGCCGACGAACTGGGTGCCGCTGCGGAGGCCAGTAGAAATGATCATCTTGAACGAGCTCTTAAAGTCTTGAACGTCGGCAGTGAGTCGTGTCAGGACCTACGAGAAAAAGAACAGAGAATCCGAAGGGAAGGGAAACGAGGCGTGAGAAAACTCAAATTTCCCCCACTTGTGAGGCTGCAGTAAAAACAACTCAAAAGTAGTTTAAAAACAGAGTCGGTGGCAAAACTTTACCTCGCCGGTGCGATGCGCATCAAAGAAGGCAACATCTTGACGCAGGAGCGAGTTGAACAGACGAAGCCGCAAACGCTCGGCCAGACGCTCGCCCACAAGCGACAAGAGCGTGATGTAGATGAAAGTGAATCCGGCTTGCAAGGTGTAAATGGAGATGAGGCGCAGAGCAGGCAGCTGCAGGTCTGCGATCGAGACCGAAGTCAAGTCGCCATCCGCAGCAGACCGAGACACCAAGTTGGCCAAGTCGCCGAGCAACAGGGGGATGCGAACGTTGCAGATGGCTGAGCCGAAGCTGGCGGCGACGGCAATCGCCAGCAAGAAGAGATCGGGCAGCAGGAGCTTCAAGAAGAACATTGTCGGGGATTCGTCCACGAGAGCTACAGTAGGGCGGGTTCCGGACAAGGTCTTGTCGTCGTCGTCGTTGTTGTCGTCAGCATCTGATTCATCGGCGGATGAGGGTTTGGTCTCGCTGCAGATGCACAAAATCGGAGCACAATCGGTTGCAACAAATTCGGACGTTAGCGACGCCATCACGCAGATTATACACGTGGGCTGGCTTGTGTGCTTACACATTCACTTGATACTTGACATTCGAGGGCTGATCTTCCTCGTTGGGAGCAGCAGCAGCCGCTCGCGCGAGTACGGTTGCCGGCACGAACAGCGAGCGAATCCAAGCAATCCAACCCGAGCTCTGATTCTCGTCATTGTTATCATTATTGCCATCCGATCCATCATCCGAGTAGTAGTAGTACATTGCAGTTGCGATTCCGGTCGCGACCGTCGCAGTAGCTGCGATGGACGGGTAAGTTGAATTGCGATCTGCCAATCCAAACATCATTCATCACTGAGATTGACACAATTCATAATCCAATGCATCTCTCTCACTGTGAGAGTGTGACTGACGGTTGCGACTGGTCGTTGAGGGGGACGTTGAGATTGAGCGGCAGGCGGGCAGACGTACTGCTGCTGCTGCTGCTGCTGCTGCTGCTGCTGGAGTCGCGCCACTGCAACGACGAGCAGCATGGTGGTAAGCAGCGATGAGGATGGGTGACAGTGAGGCGGCGGCGTTGGCGGTGGTGGTTGGCGGTAGGATTGAGCGGCGAGCGACGAGTCCGAGTCCGAGTCCGAGTCCGGCTCTGAACGGACTGAAGCAGCGCATCATCATCACCATTCAGATAAAAAAAATGATGAATGAATGAAGGTATAGCGAGCGAAATAAAAGGATGGGAATGACGAAACGAGGCGGAATGGTGGGTTTAGAATTGCAGTACAACTGTCATCCAACGAGACTCGTTTGTATGTTGATCGAGAGTAGTGTGGCTGCATTTCGGAGGCAAATGCACACTCGCGAATTGCACCTCAAGCAGAAAGGGTTGCGGAAAACCGGGATAAACACTCAATGCATTTGGTTGTTGACAAAACGACAATCTTAAACAGCAAGACAAATTTGAACGAATCGAATAAACTCATGTCAGCATGCTATTGCTTGGGGCCCTGTGCACTCCGCTCTGCCTTGAGACGCTGCTCGTACTCGCCAAGCTGCCGGCGAAAGCCTGGATTGGGCGAAATGATGGGTCGGGCGTCGCGGATGATGCCAAGCGCTTGCTCGACCGTGTAATTGTGCTTGAACATGAGATAGGCGGCCACAAACGTCGATGAGCGCGAGATTCCTGCTTGGCTGATGGTTTGATGTGCAGTGCAGAGTGAATAACAACGAGGTCAGCGCGTCTGTGCACTGGAAGGAGGCGAAACGCAGCTTCAAACAAACAGCCCTTCTCTTCTTACCAATGAACCAGCACCGCACCACCGCCTTCAATAGCACTGTCAATAAACTTGACACCGTCTGGGATGAACTTGAGCGCGTCAGCAAATGACAGGTCGACGAGCTTGACTGCATGATACTGGAGCTTGTCTGGAAAGTAGTTGTCTGCGCACTGCACAGCGAGATTGACGACGTGCGTGATGCCTTCGCTTTCAATTGCAGGCCAGTTCATAGCGGCCTCCATGGCACTGATATAGAGCTTGTCAATGACCTGAGTGGAAGCAAAGCAAACAAAGGCGCGATCGACGACAAACGAGTTTAGTTTTCGCGCAAAGTCGTTCCAACTCTCAAGATCGTTCCCAAAGTCCTTTCGCAAGCTCTCCGTCGTGCTTGTCTGAGAATAGGGGGTGAGCCTCCGATTTTCCCCCTTTGACGTTACCTTGTCTGGCTTGTTCAGCTTGTCCATGTCCTTGACTGGCATTGGGATTGGCTCGCGCTCTTCCGCGACGACCGAGCCGTCTGTCTGTTGCTTCTCGACGTACTGAGATTCAGAGATTCAGTCAGTCGAGGAAACCGCACAAAAGAAACAAGAAAAAAAAAACCGCCAAATTCTCAGAATCCCACTCTCGCTGCTGCTCCTCGACAGTCCTTGCTTACACGAGTGCCGTCCTCGCGCACAATGATGGTCTCAGTCTTGCGCAGTCGATGGGCGGGGAATGCGGCGATGCTGTCGAGGAGCAGTGGGGTGGACATGTTTTGGATTGTGGGTATGACGTCAAAGCGAGTTTGAAGGAAACTAATAAATTGAAATGAGGAGTGAGGGAAATCAGTATGAATTGAAAAAGGCCTTTTTATACGAAATGGTTGCTTTGGCTGTTGAAAATTTCAGGAAAAGCTGACACAAGTGCAACCAATGAACGAAATGGGATTCAACTGCGCTTCATTGAAAATCGCGGATCAGCCATTCATGATACAAGATCAAGAGAGCAAACGGGGAATATGAGAACATCGAGACACAGGCTCAGCGAGACGGAAAGGGGAGCAGATCTTGAAAACAAAAATAATCCGGAAGAGTTGACATTCATTGAAAAATCCCCGTCGCAGCCATGGATCAGGAATACAAGCACAATGTCACACAGTCAGCGAGCAAGGAAGCAGTGACAGATGACGCCCAGGGGTGGAGCAGGTTGAAAGCAAATCAATCGAAAAAATCGAACTCTCAAATATTCAGGTGCGCTTCGTTGAACATCCCGGTGCAAACAGCAACGAGGAATACAACTCAAATGACACTCAACCAGCCAAGAAGAAAGGACGCAGTGACGGACGAACGCCAAGCGAGCCAGCAAATCAATCCGAAATTGAACGCCCGAGCCAAATCCATGCTGAACGCTCAAAGAACAACAAGCAGCTGTAACGTTTGGCGCTACCTGTCGTTCACCAGTACTTGGGTCTTACTGGCTTCCATTGACTTGCATTCATTTCGATCTGCCTTGCTTTCAAACCTGTTTGTTGCTTGCTGCTGTAATTTCCGCACTTTTTCGATCAACAAATCATTGTGTTTTTGAATGATTGTTTATTCCAAGTCGCGCGATTTTTTGAATTTTGTTGTTTTGTTGATTGAGTGTTATTTTGTGTTTTGTGTTTCACAGCGAGCTTGCATTGAAGCAGGCTCAATCCTTGGACCAAACCCTGTTTCGCTTCCTGTATTTTTCCATGCACATGACATGCAATTCCGCCGTCCATCCAAAAGCAGCTCCTTGCCCTTCTCTCTCTCTGTCTCTCCCCAAATCCAAAGTGCGCGAGTCATGTGAGACACGGCATGCGTGGCATTGGAGATTGAGACGAAAAACCCGCGCGTTTTTTCCCCTTGTCTTCGCCTTCCCGCGCTTTTTCCACGACGATTGTTTCCTCAATCCAATGAAATGCACGTTTTCCCCCTTCATTCCATTATGATTGTTTTGTTGATGCGACAAACAACACAAATCAAAACACGCGCAACACGAGGTTTCACCAAATCAAGCGGGAAAACAAGAACGAAAACTGGAACAAACCCGGTTTTTTTTTTGTTCCTTTTTTTTTTTTTTTTTTTTTTTTTTTTTTTTTTTTTTTTTTTTTTTTTTTGGGGTCGGTTGCTTCCTTTTTTTTTTTTTTTCCCTTTTTTTTCCGGGAATTTTTTTTTCGTCCAACCTCGTGGTACGTCGAACGCAAAAGCCGTCCAACGCAACACACTCGCAAAGCAGCAGCACAAAAGCACGAACAAACACCTACACCACCAAACCATCGATTCAAGCCGCTCCCCTCACCGCCGCCCTCCAAACACTCGCAAGCGTTTTTTGCAGCGAGGTTAAAGTATTGGTTCTCAACACTTTTTTTTTTTTTTTTTTTTTTTTTACTTCTTCTTGTTGTGGTTTGGACGCGAGCTGATCCTGGTGGGCGTGAGGCCCTCCCCATCGACCCAGCATGGACGTACCTTGCTATGCAACACATTCGCGCCTTGAGATGCCCCCCCCCCCCCGCAATCGATGCCCCTCCGCGAAAGCGAAATCGCGAATCAACAGTCGCCACACTGAGCGAAAACGACTCGTTTTTTTTTTTTTTTTTTTTTGCTATTCCTACTCCTCGTGTCTCTCCTCCTTGTTCGCTGTTTGATCGTGTTCCACGGGTGGTATTGAGCTTTGTCTCATGTCACGATGGAACTGAGCTCAAGTGGGGACTGGGCTGTGATGCCAACGGGGTCGCTTGACCGCGGTTGGATTCGGTTTCGTGGTAACACGCTTCTTTGGCGTTTTTTTTTTTTTTTTTTTTTTTTTTTTTTCGCTGCATTTTGATTCCGTAACATTTTCCCACTGTCGCGTTTTGGCCTCCATGTGAGCTGCTGGCCGTTCACAAGCACGATGTGATGGTGGCAAATGCACCCGATTCAAAAGCACGGTCGCAAAAAAAAGGCCCAGTGTGGCACACAAAGCGAGAGGCACCCGGATGGACGTACCGGCAGATTTTGAGGTTTTTTTTTTTTTTTTTTTTTTGAGGTGGAGACCCAATAGAACTGTGTTTCCACCACATGCCGCGCTTCATGTGTGTGTGTCACGCTCCGTCTCTCTCTCTGCTCTCTCTCCCTCTCTCTCTCTATCTTTCATCCGCGCGCACTTTTCTGTTCGTTGTGCATCGATTGAATCTGCTTTTGGATTCAGAAGAGCGAGTTGGATGATGAATCAAATGATTTGGTGTTTTCGTCTTGTTCCTTTTGGCTGTTTTCGTGTGTTCCCCGCGTGTTGCTTTGCTTCAGTCATCTGCCATTTTGACCACACACTGTGATGGTTGACTCACTCACCTCTCTCTCTCTATCTTCCTTCTCATTCTCCTCTCCCATTCTCATTCTTCTCTCCTCTTCGCTTGTTCCTGAAACTCAATCACTCGTTCTCTCTCTCGTTGTTTTTTTACGTGACGTTCTTTGCTTCAATCATCCGGATTTCCATCCCCGTCACTCCTTTTTTTCTCCCTTTCCTTTCCTTTCCTTTTCCTTTGTTTTTGTTTGAATACCGTTCCTCACATTGACTCGTCATTTCTTGTTTGATTCTGTGCTGATTGTCACAGCCAAAACGTCCCACAAAGCAGAGGAAAGCCGCGCCATCAAAACAAACGCAACAGCAGAGAGCAGGAAAACGGTAGCGTTGTTTTTTCCCCTCCCTCTCTCCCTCTGAGCAGCCAGCGCGCCGTGTCGAAATCACAAGTTCCAAGCCTCCCTCCCTCTCTCTCTCTCTCTCTCTTTCTGAACCCCCTCTGAACCCCCATCTGAACCCCCCCCCCTGTGAACGCCGCGCTTCTCAAGCAAATGTCAGCGTCACCAGAGAAGCCATCCGCATCGCCAACCGACTCTGTGACCATCGAGCTCGGCAGCAGCGATCAGCCGGCACCGGCCACCGTCCCTGCCCCTGCCTCTGCTTCTACTTCTGCTGCTGCACCCACCACCCAGCGCGAACTCAAGGCCAGCCGCAAAAAGCTCGAGTGGACGCCGTCGGCCGACAACCGCGCCCACCGCGCGCGCCACAGCCACCAGTCGCGATCCAACAGCACAACGCCCAGCACGCTCTCCACGGACGAGGACGATTCGACCTCGGACGAGGACGGCTCGACCGACACGGACGGGAGCGCCTCGCTGTCGTCGGAATCTGGATCCGTCTCCAAGGCCGTCAACCAGAACGCTGACAATGAAGAGTCCGACCAGGACGACATTGTCGACTCCAACACGGAGGATTTGCGCATGGCACGCGCCACCCCGCGCAACAAGCGAAAGCCAAGGCGCAAGAGCGCAGACCAGACTGCCGGAGATCTGGAGGCTGCCGGCGTGGAGAGCGATTCCGGCAATGAGGGTGACAACGACAGCAACTCGCGGTTTGCCCCCAGCAGCACCCAAAACTCCAACATGCAGCTCACCTCCACCGTTGGTTCGTCGCCCAGCCTGGCGCACGTCGCGGGTGCGACCCACCAACCCGCGCGCAAGCCCAAGGTTGGCACGTACGAGACGGCTTCGGCGCTGTCCAAGTTTTGCTTTGTCTGGCTCGACAGCGTCTTGCGCCGCGCTCGGCAAAAGAAGCTGGCAGAGTCCGAGCTCAACGTCCCGGCCACCGAAGAGGCCGAGCTCTGCTTTCATGAGTTTGAGCGGCACTGGCAGGCCGAGCTGGAGCAGGCTGGCTGGTCTGCTTTCAGCGGCAATTGCGAAAAGCTGGCACCCCAGGCAAACGGCGCCCCTCACGGTGGTTCTGGTTCTGCTGCTGCTGGGACGAAGACTGTGCCACCTCGCCAGCCCTCCGTTCTCCGCGCGCTTCTCAAGGCGTTCTGGCGTGACTTTTTGTGGTCGGCCTTCTTCAAGCTCATGTGGGGCGCGCTGATGGTCTTGACCGCCTCCTACTTTGTGATTGAAATTGTCGCCTTTGTCGCCGATCCCACCCTTCCGTCCTACCGCGGCTGGATTTTGGCCTGCTTTTACGGGTTTTGCTGCTTTTTGCTCTCTGCCGCTCTCCAGCAAATGACCAGTCTGGCCTCCCGCGTCGGTCTCCGCGTGCGTGGCGCCATGATGACGGCCGTGTACCGCAAGGCGCTCACCGTCGAGGGCGTCGCTTCGGAAATTAGTAACGTTGTCACCCTGGTCTCCTCCGACTGCTCGCGTCTGAACGATGGCTGCACCAACTTCCACTACCTCTGGTCTGGTCCGATTGAGGCCCTCTGCATTGTGTGCATTGTCTTTACCCAAACCGGTGTCTCGGCCGTTGTCGGCCTCCTCATTGCCCTGCTGATTGTTCCCTTGCAGTACGTGATTGCGCTTCGCGTCGCGCAAATCCGTCGCAACAACATTGCTGCCACCGACGTGCGCGTCCAGGTCATGAATGAAATTCTGCAAGCCATCAAGCTCGTCAAGTTCTACGCCTGGGAGCGCTCCTTTGCCCGTGCCGTGGAGCGTCTTCGCGCCGACGAACTCAAGTACCTCCGCCAGGGCTCGTACTTTAAGACCGTCCACCTCGTGATTGTCTTTTTCATCCCCGTCATTCTCACGCTGTGCATCTTTTCCATCTTCATTTTCTGGCAAGACCAGTACCTCGACGCTGTCATTGCCTTTACCGTCCTGTCTCTGTTCAACAGTCTCCGCTTCCCGTTGGTCGTCCTGCCCGTCGCCATCAAGAACTTTTCCGACAGCAGCTCCTCGCTCAAGCGCATCTCGACCTTTTTGCTGCTGCCCGAGATGGCACCGCGCGTTCGTCTCAGCACCCCAGGCATTCGCATCGAAGACGCCACATTCTCGTACACTGCCGCCGCCAAGCCTGCCAACTCGCACACCAATCTTCCCTCGCTCGTGGACAACGCCCCGCAGGCCCGCACGTTCATTCCTGGTCTGTCTGGCATCAACATTGACCTCCACGGCCCGACCCTGCTCGCCGTCGTCGGCTCTGTCAGCTCTGGCAAGACATCGCTCATCAACGGTCTTGTCGGCGATGCCGTCATCACTGCCGGTACCGCCAAGGTTGGTGGCACGCTCGCATACGTGCCGCAGACCTCCTGGATTCAGCACGCCTCGGTTCGCGACAACATTCTGTTTGGTCGCCCCATGGACGAAGCGCGCTACCGTCGCACCGTGTTTGCCTGCGCCCTCGAGAGCGACTTTAAGATTCTGCAGTTTGGCGACATGACTGAAATCGGCGAGTCTGGTATCAACCTTTCTGGCGGCCAAAAGCAGCGCATTTCGCTCGCTCGTGCCGTCTACTCCAACTCTGATGTCTACCTGCTTGATTCGCCTCTCAGTGCTGTCGACCACCACACTTGCACCCACATTTTCGAGCACTGCATCAAGGGCATGCTCCGCGACAAGACGGTCGTGCTCGTGACGCACCAGCTGCACTTGCTTCCGCAGTGCGATCTCATTCTTGCCTGCAAGGAAGGTCAGGTGGCATACTATGGTCCTTTCGATCCGATTGCTGTTCGCGGTGCCTTCCCCGGCATTGCGGATGAGGTGCCCGACCTGCCTGCCGGCTTGCACGGTGTTCCCAGCAAGATTGCTCTTTGGCGCCAGCGTCCCGCAGCCCCCTTCGACACTCTGCCCATGTCTCCCGTCGAAGTCATTTCGACCGTTCGACCTGACTCGCTCGAGGAGACTGTCATGACCGAAGGCAAGGAAGGTGGCTCGAAGGCCCGCAAGTCGGAGCGTCGCAGCAAGTGGTACAAGAGCTACGTCGAGTGGTTCCGCCAGGGCACGCGCTTTGGCTTTGTGATGGCCGTCCTCATTGCTGCGGGTGCTCAGGTCATCCGCACGCTCGCCGATTTGTCCGTGCGTGAGTGGGCTCAGAACGGAACCAACCCGGACCAGATGCACTACTTGAGCATTTACCTCGCGTACATTAGCGCCTTCTTGGTGGCCCTGTTTATTCGTGGCCTGGTTTACTTTGCCGTCACCCTCCGCGCTGCGACACGCCTGCACAACAAAATGTTCCGCGCCGTTCTCCGTGCGCCGCTTGCCTTCTTCACCGTCACTCCCCTCGGTCCACTGCTCAACTGCTTCTCGCGTCTGCAAGACCAGGTCGACGAGACGCTGCCCGACTCGCTCCACATGGGCCTGATTTACTTTATGATTCTGATGACCACCGTGGGCGTCCTCATTGCCCTCATCCCCTGGTTTGCGCTCGTGTCGGTGGCCCTCCTCGTTGCCTTTATCGTCCTCCAACACTTGTACGGCCAGGCTTCCAAGTTTATGAAGACGCTGGTTGCCGTGTCCACTCCGCCCGTGTACGCCCACGTCTCTGAGAGTCTCGCTGGTATCAGCGTTGTTCGCGCCTACGAGGCTCAGCCACGCTTTATCAACCACAACATTCGCCTGATCAACCGCAACCACGTCGCACTGTTCAACACTGAGCAAATTCAATGCTGGGTGGCCTTCCGTCTCGACTCGGTCGCCTCGCTCATGGTCTTGGCCACCGCGTTGTTCTGCGTCGGTCTCCGCGACGACCTCAAGGCTTCGGCGGCTGGTCTTGCCATCTCGAGCGCCCTGCAAATGCTCGTCTTCTTGAACAAGTTTGTGCGCTCGGTCACCGAAGTGCGCTCGCAGATTTCCGCCATCGAGACCATTTCGCACTACATTCGCAACACGACTCCCGAGTTGGACACCCCAGCCCCGATTGCGCGTCTCACGGCCGCAAACGAAGATACCCACGGACGCGGCCAGCGTCACGAACGCAAGAAGCAACGCCGCGAGCAGCGTCGCCAGCGTCGCGAGCAGCTCAGCCTGCAAAAGCAGAACGAGCAGGTGCCCATGGAAGACAACCGCCTTCGCCGTGAAATTGAGCTGAACGAGGTCACCATCACCTCCACCACCTCTGCGACCACTGGCCGTCCCAAGGTGCATGTGGCCCGCGCTCTCCCTCCTCGCCGCAACTGGCCACCGGCCGGCGGTATTGCCTTCACCGACGTCAACATGCGCTACTTCCCGACCAGCGATCTGGTCTTGCGTGGCGTCACCTTCACTGTCCAGCCGCGCGAGAAGATTGGCATTGTTGGCCGCACTGGCAGCGGCAAGAGCACCCTGCTGATGGCACTCTTCCGTCTTGTCGAGATGGAGGCCGGCAGCATTCTGATTGACGGCACCGATGTGACCAAGCTGGGGCTGGAGGAACTTCGCGGCTCGCTCGCCATCATTCCTCAGGAGCCCGTCATGTTCCACGGCTCCATCCGCTCCAACCTCGATCCTTTCAACGAGTTTACCGACGCCGAGCTGTGGCTCGCCCTAGAGCTGTCGCACTTGCGACGCACCGTGGAGCGCATGCCCAAGCAGCTCGACACGCCTGTCGCCGCGAACGGCACGGACTTGTCCCTTGGTCAAAAGCAGCTCTTCTGCTTGACGCGCGCCATCTTGCGCAACTCGAGTGTGCTTGTGCTTGACGAAGCCACGTCTGCCCTCGACTTGGAGACGGACTCGCTCATCCAAAAGACCCTGCGTGGTGTGTTTGCCGACTGCACGGTGCTCACCATTGCTCACCGCCTCGAGACCATCATGGACTACGACAAGGTCTTGTTCCTCGATCGCGGCAAGGTGATCGAGTTTGGCCCCGTGAAGCAACTCAAGGAGGACAAGAATTCGCACTTTTACTCGTTGCTCCACGCCGACGACGATCATTCGGACGAGCCCGCAAAGAAGGCGTCTTCTTCTTCTGCTGCCGCCGCCTCCTCTGCCGCCGCTTCCGATGATCACGGCACTCGAGTGTAGAGTACTGCATTCACTGTCTCGTTATTTTAATCCCCCCTTTTTTAGTGTGTGTGTGTTGTCAATTGGAGGGCGTGTATGGTTTGTGCTGAGCGCACATGCATCCTGTCCGTTTGTCTGTCTGCCTGTCTGTCTGTCTGTTTCTCTTTATCTCTTGTCTCTCTGCCTCTTAACTTCTCTTTGTTACCTTGTGATTCTTGCGTGTCTCTTGTATCCATTTCTTGATGAAGTCTGACTTTGTACTAAAATACATTCATTTTTGCAACATCCCGCAATATCTCAGCCCCTGCCTGACCCAATCTGCCCCCCCCCCTATATACTGCACTCTGACTCTCCTAGCGATCCAGTCTTTGTTTGTGAGATGCGACTGTGCTTCAGTCAAGTCCGACGCAACCAGCGCTTGGCTGCCGCGCTGGCGCTGCTGCTGCTCGGCGCAGTCGGCCTCACCGCCCTCCGACAACAGCAGCACCAACGAGTGCAAGGGCAAGTTGGTCAACACTCACAGCTGCCGCAGGAGCAGGAGCAGGGGCCGGACGCACTGCTTCGGTTGCACCCTGAACTGCAAGACCAGCACCACCAGCAGCCCAACCAGCAGCAGCAGCAACAACAACAGCTGCAGCGACAAGCACAACTCAATGCTCATCCAGAGCGCAATCCGCTGCTAAACCTCAATCCTCAGCAACAGCCCAAACAACAACAACCAGAGCTCACTCATCCACAGCAACACGCGCAAGACGCACCTGCAATGGGCAAAGTGAGCGAGTCTGGGCAGTCAATACACAGTGCACAGGACTACGCAGATCAAGTCGCGCCAGAGTCGATTGTACGTATTTGGAGACTTCGGTAGTGTGGGTGTGGCGCTGAGCGAGTCTGAGAAGATTCGACGCATTGCAAACTCGCATTTCACATTTGTGCGCATGTCGGTCTTTTGCTTTCAAACTCTACGTCCCCAATGCCAATGCAGGTCGCAGCACTTCGAGCAAAAGTCGCGCAAATGAACTCAAACATTGTCGTTCAGAACAACAACGACGCTCGCCTTCCTGCACTGAAGCCAAATTTCCCAGTGATTGTCATCCAGATTCACAATCGCTTGTTATACTTTATGCACACCATCCAGTCTTTGGCCCAGGTTGAGGTATGGTTGAGGAGCCAGCCCCGCCATTTTCAACTTTGACCCCACTCCTCGTCTTCGCCCATCTCACGCAACGTGATTTTTGTCTGTGCTTCAGAACATTGGCTCCGCCTTGATTGTGCTGAGTCATGACTTTTGGGACGAACCCATCATGGACTATATTCGAAGCAACCTGAAGTTTTGCCGCTACGTCCAAATCTTTATGCCCCACTCCATGCAGCTACATCCTGAGGCATTTCCCGGTCAGGGGACCAATGACTGTCCGCGCGATCTGAGCAAGTCGGACGCGCGCGCACTCGGCTGTGTGAATGCCGAGTTTCCCGACACGTATGGGCATTATCGCGAAGCACCGTTTGCCATGATCAAACACCACTGGTACGGGGTTTTTTTTGGTTTTTTTGTTTGTTTTTGTTTTGGGTTCTCGAAGGAGGCCAGGGGGGAGGGGGCGGGGGCATGGCGTTGCATGAACTTGGTCATTTTATGCGCTGTACTCACTGTTGCACGAATGTCGAACCAAACCTTTCTTCAGGTGGTGGAAGGCAAACACCGTGTTTGATGTGCTCCAAGTGACCCGAGAAAACAATGGTCCGATGCTCTTTCTGGAAGAAGACCACGTCCTTGCTCCGGATGCACTTGTCGCTGTCATGGCTGCGACGGCTGCGCGACCTCGCTTGTGCCCAAGCTGCCAGCTTGTCGGAATCGCCACGTACAATCCACTCGAAGCAACGATCGACCACAAGGCAGCAACCGCACACACTGCCGCCTGGCTTTCCGCCCAAAACAACATGGGCATGGTGATTGACCGGGCTGCATGGTCGTCCATCAAGTCGTGTCATCGCGATTTCTGCACGTTCGATGACTACAACTGGGACTGGTCCCTGCAGTATGCCGCGTCGACTTGCGTCGGCTCGCTCAACATACTCGTTCTGGACCATCCACGCGTTGTACACATCGGTACTTGTGGTGCGCACGCGTACCAACACAGCCCTGGCAAGCCTTGTAACCCAGCGCAGCTCATGGACCAGCTCAACGCGCTGTGGAATTATAAGAAGTCGTCCATGCTCCACTTTGCCGCCGACGGTACCCCCTCCGAATCCATTTCGCTCTCCAGCAAGGGAGCCATGGCCGTGCCTCGGCCGTCTCCCAATGGCGGGTGGGGAGACCATCGAGACCACGCGCTCTGCATTGCGCAAGTCCGCGCATAAAGTGTGCGTTCGGATTGTTTGTATTTTTAAGATTTGAGGCAAACTGTTTGTTTTTTTTTTATAAAAGAGAATAATATCCACAACCACAACAAGCAAGGGTGTATTCAGAACGAACAACTCCAGACCGTGTGCCAACAAAAACAAAAAAACACTACTACTTGCGCCGCTGTTGTTGTTGTTGCTGTTGCAGGGCTTGCTGTTGGCGGCGTCGGTACGCCTCAATCTGGTCGTCTTTTTGCGATAGTTGCTCATTCATGGTGGCAATGTGCTCTGTCATGAGCTGAATTTGCTGCGCATAGCTTCGCTCGGTGGTGGCAAGCTCGTCCTACGTTTATAATTGACATGCAAAGATGGGTGAAATGTCCAACCTCTCGAACGGCGATCATGATTCCGACCAAAGCGTGTGGTCTCGCTTCTTACCTTGAGCCGGTTGACTGCGCCATTCGCAGCCTCCAATTCCTGTTGAATCGAGGCCTTTTCCGCTTCGCCAACATCGATGCGGCGAGCCAATGCCCTACACTCAATGTGAAAGGCAGCTGCTTTACTATCGGCGAGTTGTAACTGGAGGTGTGTGTACAAAGGGGAATCGGGATCAAGCAAAGAGGGATGAGCCAACCAGTGTCTGCACTAGCACCAGCACACTTGCTCAACCACAAACCTGTTCAGTCAACTGGGCTATGCGGGTAGCAAAGTGCTTCTTGATCAAATCTTCTCGGGCAGCATCGTCGGCCGTGAACGACAGCTTTTCACTCTTTAAACAAGAGAACGCGGTTGAAAAACATCAGCACAGTCCCAAAATAATACCATGCCTCGACAAGCGCTCTTCACACTTACAGCCTTTTTGTTGCCAGAAGCGTCGACAGTGGCAAAAACAACACGTCGAACGCGCGTGCGGGTGTCATTTGCAGCGTGGCCTGGGGTCGGAGACACGGCAGACGAGCGGGCGGAGACTTGCGAGGCCTGGCGAGCCAGATTGTCATCCGACATGTTTGGAGTGAGGTCGAGCGATTCAGAAAGCACCGAGCCTCGGTCGCCGGCTCGAGCGGTCTGCAGCCGCGAAGGCACGGCGGAAATCATTTCACCAAAGTCGTCGCCATCGAAGGCGGCTGGGACAACGCTTGACGAATCATGCTGGGAGGAGGAGGTCATGGACGAAGAAGTGGAGAGGACGGCACCTTGGCTGGCCAATGCGGCCGTAACCAGGACCGTCGTTGGGGCTTCGTTGTTGGCTTGCGGCTTGTTCGGGTTGAGCTGCTGCCGAAGCAACTCTGCTTGAAGAGACTGCACCATCTCTTCCAGCTGTCGGGTTCGTTCCTTCTCCTGGGCAAGCGCACTGGCCGTCAGTTGGGCATCGAGCATGAACTGCTCCTTGTCCTGCTCCAGCTGCATTGTCCTCTCTTGCGCATTGGACACTTGCAACACCAACGCGTCCTTGCTGCTCGCCGAAATGTCCACGATGCGCTTGTTTGCGATCGCCAACGGATACGGGACAGAGTCGGCTTCTGGTTGAGCCAGGAGCGTTTGCATGTAGGCACGGGAGCGCTGCTCGAACGAGGAAAGAAGTGCCGAGGAGAGCGGAGTCGTGGTGGTACAGCTCGCGGACGAGGCAGGCGTCGCCAAAGCCAGTGATGCGGGTGACAGGAAGGAAAGCGAGGCGACTTGAGTGGGCGCACCAGGCAGCAGCGGCGGCGGCGGGGCTCGGCTGCTGGTGGAATGCGTGTCCAAGGAAAGCACGACATTCTTTTCAGCAAGAAGACTGGCAAACTTGCCCGAGCAGTTGACCAGGCCCGTAAGACTCGAGGTGATGCCGTCATTCAGCAGTTTGAGTTGTTTGAGCGAATCGCTCGACGCGCTCCCAACTTCGACAAATGCAGCTGCAGCGCTGCCCTGTTCAAGGGACGCTTTGCTGATGTATTGTGTCGTGATGACTTTGAACTGTTGCTGAATCTGTTGCATAGTTTCGATGAGTTGGCCGACGGCAAACGCCTGGTTTCCGATGGTGGTCGAAGGGCGCTGCTGTGCGTTGCTGGCCGGTTTTGCCGCTGTGGTGGTCGTCGTGACACTGCTGGCAGTGCCTTCATGGCTGCTGCTCGTGCTCGGCTGACCAAAGAAGGGATCCAAGCAACGGGCGTACAGGGAAACATAGCTGGCAATCTTTTCGTACAGGGCTGTCAATTGTCGCAGCGAGGTTGTCAAGTGCCGATTGCGCGCACCCAACGACACGACCCCCGAAGCCGACATGGTTGATGTGGCTAGCGATGGTGAGGAGGCCACAAAAGTGGGATCGAACAGCTTGGTTTCCTCGACGAGAACGGCGGAAAAATGGCGCGCAACGTTCCCAACGAGGGTTGCCAACCCATGGATGGCAACACTCACTTGGCGCGCGGCTTCTGCGAGCGTGACGCTCGTGCTGGCACGATTGGGTCCGCCAAGGCTGTCGGAAGGCGTCAGAATCGCATCCAACGCCTGCTGCAAGGTAGACAGAGCGGCATCGAGCAGCGAAAGGACTGTAGTTCGCCGTGCCACTGCGCGACTGCAATTCAGTGCGGCGAACGTGACCGGAAATGAGGCGTGCTGCCCGTCGGAGGGGAAGAGGAGCACGCGCTTGTCAAGTTGTTGGCAAAGCTCGCCAAACACGATGGCATGCTCGCGAACGAGCGGGACGAGAGAAGTGCATGCCTGTCGCACCGCTCCAACGAGTTCGCGGTCGTAGGGAGCGATATTCAGCGCGGCAAGGTGAGGGAGCTGCAGATCGTCAAATTTGGTGCGTTCGAGCACGGCGGTGGTTTGCTGCTCTGCTTGTCGTTTGAGGCGTGCTTCCGTTTCAGCAAGACTGCGCTTGGTTTGAGCACACTCGCTCGACTGGCGCTCGTTTTCTCGCCGCAGCGATTCGTTCGTGTTCTGCGCGAGGGCCTTCTCCTCAGTCAAGCGTTCCACAATCAACGTTTGCGATTTTTTCAGGCCAGTCACAATGTCGTCGTGTGCCTTGGCTTGCTGCACGAGTTTGTGCATTTCTTGTGCGGTCGCATCCTGGGCATCCTTGTGTTGCCGCGTCATTTCAAACATTTTGATGTGCAATTCCTCGTTTTCGCGAATCTTCGAGCTCAGCTCTTCTTCCGTCACGTGCAGGGACTGCAAGGTGTGCGGCGTGGCGTTCTTCGAGTTGGATCTCTCGCGTCCAGCGGGCGCTGCAGAGCGAACAAGCAACATGGCAGGGTTTTAGTCAGAGCCACATCTTTCATTCGCTCAGCATACAAAAGTCTCCCCCGTACCTTCGAGCTCGGCCTGCAGCACCTCGACTTTCTTGGTGAGATGCGCATTGTGGAAGGTGAGCGTGTCGACGTCTTCGATGAGCTTTCTGGTGCTTTGGTCCTTGCTGTGGAGCTCGTCGCTGAGTGCCGCTACGTTCGCCTGCTCCTGTTTTCACAAATCAAGTCAAATCACAATTTCAGTACTCGTTCAAAAATCAAAACACCCAATGCCAAGGTGGCCTGCAATAGCTCAATAGCTCCATCTTGCGCTTGGGCATTGCTGGGCGATTGCAAATAGAAGGCAGAGGGAGATCTCGCCGTTATTGCGATTGGGATTGGGATTGGGATTGGGATCCCCGCGGACGTACCGTCAGCACGACCTTCTTGAGGACGGCGTTGGCACTGTTGGCCTTTGCAAACTGCTGCATGAGATTGGCGAGGCGCGACACGAGCTCGTCGTGGGAGAGCGACGCAAACTGCGACTGGATGGCAAGCAGCCCAGCAGCATTGGGATTGGCAGCAGTCGCTCCTACTGCAGCTGCAGCAGCAGTGCCCGCGTTGCTGCTGCCACTCGGAGTAGAACCAGTGCTGGACATGCTGGTGCTGGCGATCGGGGCAACCGAGCCGCTCGGACTGCCCGGGCCGGCGCTTGAAGGACCGGCAGCACCAGACATTGCGACCGGAAACTGTCAAATCTGAGAAAAGAAGAAGAAGAGAAAAGAAAAAGGTGAGTGAATGGCAGTATATTGAAACAGAGATGACCGAATGCACACAAGTATCGAATGAATCGAGTGACTTGGAGTCGATGAATGGAGGAAGAGAGAGAGAGAGGGTGCTCGGTTTGTTGCACAGTTGATCGACATTTCGCAGCTGATTCAGCGTTTCAGGATGAATGCATTCATAGATGCCCCTGCATCGAACTAAGTTGGCAAAACCGACAAACACACTCACCCTTGGGAGATGGAAAGCAAAGAAAGGGGCGATTGTCTCTCATTGATTTCAGTATGTTTCGCTTCCTTGCTTCTCCTTCCACCGTCTCTTGCTCTCCGCTTTGATGACTTTGCTTGTTCTCCTGTGTTTCCATGTTCTTTTGTTCTCAATGCATCGACCTCAGCTCTTTGATTGATTGTTCTTTTGCTTGATTTTTCAGTATGTTTCGCTTCTTTGCTTCTCCCCCTTCTTGCTCTGCACTTTGATGACTTTGCTTGTTCTCCTGTGTTTCCATGTTCTTTTTGTTCTCACTGCATCGACCTCAGCTCTTTGATTGATTGCTCTTTTGCTTGACTTTTTTCACGTGGGGGCCAGCATGGTGGTGCAGCTTCATTCTCCGCAGCACAATCTCAAAGTGTGGGGTCTCTCACTTGCATCTCTCTCTCTTCTCTCTCTCTCTCTCTCTCTCTCTTTAACTTGTTTCTCTATCTCTATCTCACTGGCACTCGTTCCTCAGTGTCTGATGCTTTTCCAAGGCTTCTTGAGCTGTCTATCTTCGATTCAAAAGTCCCACCGTTTCATTGCCCCTTCACTCCACTCCTTTTGTACTCTATCATTTCGTTTTGAAAATGCCAGCGTCCTCTTCTTCATCTTCATCTTCTTCATCCTCATCCTCATCCTCATCGTCGTCGTCGTCGTCCTCGTCGTCGTCGTGGATCCTCAGTCCGTCCAGCCCGGCAGACGTCGTCCAGCGGTGCGCAGGCGGAAAGGCGCTCAATCTGTGGCGGCTGTCAGGACTGATTGCTGCGACCGCGAGCGAGACCGCAGCAGCAGCAGCAGCAGCAGCAGCAGCGACCAATGCATCCGAGTCGCACACCGAGTCGAACGCGTCGCTCGCAGCGCTGCTGCCAGTCAAGGTCCCCAGCTGGATTTGCATTAGCACGGACGCGTTTGACGAGTTTGTCGAGCACAACGGACTGCACGCGCAGCTCACCTACCGCCCAGCACTGCCACCGCACACTGCACTGACGTCGTCGAGCGCAAACGCTGCCGAGGGAGACAGTCCCACCACCCCAGTCACCGCTGGGCTGGCTGCATTTGCAGAGCGCGCGCGAGAGGTGTGCCTGTCGAGCCCGCTCCCGGACGCGCTCCGCAGCCAAATCCTCAATGCAATCAACAAGGAGCCATTCTCAAACCACTACGTCGCCGTTCGCTCGTCGGGCGCGGACGAGGACTCGGGCCAGCACTCGTTCGCTGGGCAGTTTGACTCGTTCCTGTTTCAGAGCAAGGAGCACGAGATTATGCGCGCAATCCGATCGTGCTGGGCGTCCTGCTTCTCTGAGCGTGTCATGGCGCACCGCATCGAGTGTGGGCTGGCCATCACCAGGCCGCGGATGGCCGTGATTGTCCAAGTCATGGTCAACTCGGCCGTTTCGGGCGTCGCCTTCTCGCGCCATCCCCTCAAGGCCATGTCGACCAGCAACGCGCTGGTCGAGGCTGTCTATGGCATTGGCGAGGGCCTTGTCAGCGGTGAAATTGAGCCCGACAGCTTTGAGGTCGATCGTGCCACGTTCGTCGTCAAGGAGCGCGTCATTGTCGAGAAGGAATCCGAGCTGCGACCGCCGCACCATCAGGACAGCGGCAAGAGCGCTGCGACAAAGGCATCGGCGGGAGCGGTCGATCCCTCGGTGCTGGCCAAGAGCAGCTTGGTCAAGGTCAGCGTGCCCGAGGCGCGCAAAAAGTCTGCCGCGCTCACGGACGTGCAGGCTGCGCAAATTGCGCACTTTCTGGTTGCGCTCGAGGCGCGTTTGGGCCGCCCGCAGGACTTTGAGTACGGCTACGAGCAGAACGACGCCACCCTGTACTGTCTGCAGGCGCGCCCCGTGGTGACGCTGCCGCCGTCCGCTTTCTTTGACAACTCGGTCGGCGGAAACGTGCCTACCCTCTGGGACAACTCGAACATTGTCGAGAGCTACTCTGGTGTCACTTCTCCAGCCACCTTCTCCTTTGCTTCGTACGCCTATGCTCTCGTCTACACTTGCACTCTGCGCGTCGCTGGCGTTCCTGCGGAGGTCATTGCCGATTACCAGCCTTACCTCACCAACATGCTCGGCCTTGTTCGCGGCAACATTTACTACAACCTGATGAACTGGTACCGGTGCCTTGCCACCATCCCAGTCGGTGTCGACAAGGGCAAGTTTATGGAGACCATGATGGGTGTCAAGCAAACGCTCGATCCTGCGCTCGAGCGCGAGCTTGGTGCCATCTCTGCCACCGAGCCACAGTACAGTATTGGAACCAAGGTATGTGTTGTTCTTTTTTTGGCAATGTGTGGTTTCGCATTGACGTTCTGATGCTCTCACTTCTTGGATTTTTTTTTTTTTTTTTTGGTTTCCAACAAAATCACCAATAGATCCGTGTGCTCGTCTCCATGCTGCACAAGATTTACACCCTGGACGGCCTCGTGGCCAGCTTCTTTGAAAACTTCAACCACCATTACGCGCACGCTCGAAGCATTGACTTTTTCAGCCTGTCCATCCAAGAGCAGTCGGCGTGGATTCGAAAGCTCCACCGCGACGTCACGAGCAAGTGGGAAACGCCCATCCTGAATGACACCTACGTCATGCTCTTTTTTGGAATGCTCAAAAAGCTGGTGGGCCAGTATCTGCACCTGGACTCGGACAAGGCGCAGTCACTCCAAAACGACTTGCTGTGCGGCCAAGGCGATGTCGAAAGCACCGAGCCGACCAAGATGCTCATGCGCATTGCCGCGCAGGTGGATGCCTCTGCCGCCCCCGTCCGCAAGTGGTTCCTGGAGAACCAGCAAGACGTCATTGCTCGCGTGCTGAACTTGTCGGAAGTCCGCTCCGCCACCAAGCGTGCCCGCAGAAGTCAATCTGCCGATCATTTTGGCGACGCAGAGGCCTTTGTCCAAGCCATCTCGAGCACCAAAGACGATCCCAAGCACACGATTTGCGCGCACATTGAGCTCTTCCTCGACAAGTACGGTTTCCGCTGCATCAACGAGCTCAAGCTCGAGGAGAGCACGCTGTATGACCAGCCTGGTAAGTTGTGACTGCAGCAGTCCAAGCCAAAAAAAAAACATGCAGCTTGTTAAGAACGTCAGCTGATTCCCTCGTTTTTAATCCCTATTATTATTTTCTTTGGTAGATTTTGTCATTGAATCCATTGCCGGCTACGTCCGCACCAAGTCGTACTCGATCGACGCCATGGAAGAGCGCGAGCTTGCCATCCGCCACCAGGCTGAAGCAACCATCAACAGCACACTCAACCCCGTCAAGCGCGCCTTCTTCAACTGGGTGCTGTGGCACGCACGTCGCGGCGTTCGCCACCGTGAAAACATGCGCTTTGCGCGAACCAAATTGTTTGGACTGTTCCGCGAGCTGTGGCGCGCCTATGGCGCAAACTTGGTCAAGCTGGGACTTCTCCAGGATCGACAGGATGCCTTTTATCTGACGCAGGACGAGCTGTACGCGTTTGCTGATGGTCGCTCTGTCACGAACGACATTGCTGGTCTTGTTGCGCTTCGCAAGCACGAGTACGACGAGTACCGCAAGGGCGTTTCTCCTCCCGAGCGCTTCATGACGCGCGGCGCTGCTGGTCTGTTTATGCACTATCCCCAGATCCTTGGCGACCTCAACATGCTTCGCCAACTCGAGCTGGATGCGGCTGCCGATCCTCAGGTGCTCCGTGGCACGCCGTGCTGCCCGGGTGTGGTGGAGGGCGTCGTCCGTGTGGCGGTGACCATCAACGAGACAAAGAACCTGTCTGGCGAGATTCTCGTGACTGCGCGCACCGATCCAGGCTGGGTTCCGCTGTACCCGCTCTGCTCTGGCCTGCTGATTGAGCGTGGCAGCCTTCTGTCGCACTCTGCTGTCGTGGCACGAGAGCTGGGCCTGCCGACCATTGTTGGCATTTCGGGTGGTCTGATGAAGCGCCTGAAGACGGGAATGCGTGTTCGCATTGACGCCGCGAAGGGAGAGGTTCGCATTCTGGACGACACTGACTCTGGAAGCAATGTTGCTGCTGCTGCTGTCAATGTCTCGGGCAAGGACACCAAGGCTCCCGATGTGCTGGTTGGTGATTCGACAACGCGCAAGCGCCGCAGCAACTCTCGCTCGCGGTCTTCGAACGAGGATGAGGAGGATGGTGCTTCCAAACGTTCACAGTCTCCTGCTCGTGGAAAGTCGCCGGCTCGAGGAAAGTCTCCTGCTCGTGTCGAGTCCAAGAAGTCCAAGTGAGATTCTTCTTTTGAATGCCTTGTGCCACCGGTGCTGTTTTGCTCGTAATTGCCATTGTTCAGAGTGTAGATGTTTGTGCGAAAATACAATTGTCTGTTTGGTGTTGTTGTCTGTCTTGTTGCTGTGTTGTTTCGCCTCTGAAGGTGAGAAACGACACGCCCGACTTTGGCGTTCGCAACTAGCAAGGGACGAGGATGGGTGGGCATCGGTGCAGGGTGGCTGCCGATGCTTTTGTTGCGCCAGACGCATATTTTTTTTTTTTTTGAGCTCCTACTTTACCAACTTGTCTGCGAATCAGCCAGTTCGTGACATTGGTGCTTTACTTTAGCAAGCCCACCCAATGAAGGGCGCAAGCTTGTATCACATCGACTCAATAAACAGCGTCTGTACCAATTCTCGACCTTTCACGAGTACCGAATTCAGTCAAAAAGCGAACACCAAGAGTTCAATTTCGTGAAATGAAAGAAACAAAAAATAACAATGGGATTGTCACGCAACAAAACGAGATTCAACCAGATATTCACATTGAGCGAGATGTCATTCCGGCGGTCGTCTGCAACAAGCGAATAAGCTCAGTGTTGCCGCGCAGGATACCCAGCCGCGAGTCGTTGGCCAGCAGCACAATATCAGGCAGAGTAATGTTCATCGCTGTGTTGCAACCAAAATACAGTGAATTTGAGTACAAGCACCGACCCAACTGACAATCGATTCAAAACTTACAATACAGCAGCTCTTGGGAGTCAAACAAGGACGCCAAAGAGAAGAACGCAGTTGCGTTCAAGATTTGGAGCAGCTCGGCATCGGTTGGACTTTGCTTGGATGCGTTGATCACAGCACTCCAGCTACCAAACAACCAAGAGAAATCATCAAAAGACACGTGAGCGAACAAAATGAGAATCGTGCAAGAGACCAACAAGAGAGGCAGACGTACTCGTTTTTCAAGATCGATCGCACGCAAATGTCAAGAAGCAATGAAGTATTCTCCTCATCAGAGCGACTCTGGCCAGTCACGAAAACCCACGCAAAAACAACAATCAAGTCAGCAATCAGAGAAGCCGACAAAGTCTGGGGATCAACGACGCGAGTGCCTCTGGACTCACCGGCATCGACCGTGCGTACGTTTCCATCGCCAATGCCAGGTCGATGGCATCAGGAATTGGGTTGTACTGGCCGATAAATGCGTCAATCAGACGCAAGGGCTCGAGATAGTCCGTCTCAAGGTTGACGCCATTGTTTCCAAAGCCGGCGACCAGCGGAGCGTACTTTGCGTCGCTCACGAGCAATTCTTGAACTTGCATAAACCACATGAATTGCCAGACGTCTGAGCAACAAGGCAATTCGTCAGGTAAGATTGAATGTGGTGTAAAGGAGAGGGCAGCAGACGCGTTGCCAACAAACAACAAAACAAACAAAAACAAACATTTACCTTCGCTGTCTTCGGGGTTTGATTCATCGGCGCAGGCAAGTGCCATCTTCCAGAGGCTGAGCAGAGTCTAGCATGCCATGAAATACAATCACGTCAGAACAATCTGGCGCATTCACAGGCCCGCTTGTCGCAAAGGTTTTTGTTTGTTTTGTACCTTGCGCTTTTGAAACAACGCCGTCTCGTTCTTGGCAAGATCGCGAAGGGTCATGGCAGCTTGAGCATAATTGTCCGTCCGGATGTCATGCAGCCAAGAGAGTTCTGGATGCGTTTTCAAAAACTCGCCCAAAGCAGCATCACGAGAGCGCGGCGATTTCAGCAACTTGGCGGCTTTGCCTGGGAAAGCAGTCAAAAGGGGGGAAACCGCAACGATGAGTTTCTTGTTCTCCGCGCAATCCTGCTCTCGGATATGTCAACGGTCACTTACCATGATCCAAGTACCATTGGAAGAGTTCTTGAGCAAATCCGTCGGGTTCAAACTGCCGAACGTACGTGTCCAGCTGTGCCGGAGCGTCCATGTCTTCGCACATTTGAATGAGAAGTTGGAAGTGTTTGTACTTTTCGGCGAGCGCGAATGCCATCGCAGTGTCGTTGTGTTTGACTGTCCAACGGCCGAAAGCGGGGTCAGAAACAACCGTTTTTTTGTTTTGTCAAAAGCCGCGTCCACGCGTGCACTCAGCTGAAGCAACACACATACCGAATGGATCAATGAATCGAGGACGGCATTCGACAAAGGTGTTAAAGACAGCCACATGACGCTCTTCGTACTCGGGGCCGCTGAATGCTCGCAATCGAAGGTGAGCATTGACCAAATGCGATGGAGAAAATCAGACACACACACAAAGACAAAACCAACACGGCTACGTACTGAAACTCGAGAAACTCTAGCTCGCCCCAGTAGGACGTGAGCAAAAGATCCGTCAACACGGCGAGCTGCTGCAAAAAGAGGGCACGCTGCTCGACGCTCGCCGTGCGGCCGATCGCCTCCGTGGTCACTTCATATTGCCGGACGAGGGCATTTCGTACTTTGGTGGATGCTGTGAGCGTGCCAACAGCAAAACCCAAAGAGTTAGTTCTTTCTCAAAGGAAGCACACGGCAAGGATTGTGACTCGGGAACTCACACGTCCAAGGGTCTGGAATGGTCGTAAGATGCTCATGGAGATGAAAGAACTCGTCCAAATCCTCGCGGCATTTCAGTGCGCTGGTGAGGATGATCTGCAGCAGACGAGAGACGGGAGTGTCAATCGCTCGTTCCTATGCATTGTCAACTGTGTGGAGACGGATCGGAACTTACTTCAAACATGCTGTTGACAATGTTGACCGTCTCTAAACGCTGGCGCGCCTCGGACTGACCCACCGCCAGATGTGACAAGAATCCATCGGCCTGCTCTTGCTCGACAAGTGCAGCCAGAATGTCATCGAGATGGTCCAGCTGCTCGGAACGACCAGCGACATCGAAAGTCAGTCGCAAGAGAAATCTGTTGCAAGTGTGTCGCTCAGGGCGCTCACCTCGTAGTAGAACAAATCCTGCATGCCCATGCCCAGCACTTGACTGCGCTCTTGCAAGTTTAGTCGCGCAAGGGTTTGCTGCATCCTGTGCATCATCAAAAAAACGGATCAGCATCAGATCAGCTCGACTTGCAAAAACACACAACCAGAAACTAAACGCTGTTTGTTTTGCTCACAATGCAGTCACAGCCTCGGATGTCGCGCCAGTCTGCGCGTTCTGGTACTCTCGCAACGCGATGGCTGCTTCAATCTTCTCCGAATGGCCGCAGAGCGTCCAGCGATCCGCGGTATTGAGCGATGCCTGTCAAGGGTGTGGATTGTGAGCGTTTTGCTCAAACACCCGCGCAATGGTACACAAAAGCACCTCGTGTATTGTCTTGTTTGATCGATCCCCTTACCTGGCACGCTGGAACTACCGCCTCGAGGAAGACGCCGTGAAGGGCTCGCTTCTCGACGAGCTGCTGCAGGATGATTGCAGGTGCGGACGCAGATTCTACCAACGATTGCAAATCGGAACACACATAAGCCAGACAAGTCAGAAATTGATTCTCAGATACTGACTGCAGTTGAATTTCTGAGATTTTTCTGAGATTGTTCAGAGATTCCAACTCTCCGTCTCCCGTTTGCGCTCGCAAGTCCTCGTCGCTCCATGGCTACGTGCAAAGCCTGTCTCTGAACGCAAATCTTTTTTTGTTTTTTTGCAGAAATCCGCTCTTCTCCATGGATGAATAGAGTAGCGGTGTAGCGGGAGGACGAGGAGCAGGAAATCGGAGATCTCTCTCTACCGACCTGCGCGGTTCTCCTCGGCCCAGCGCGGGTCGTCGGCGGGGAATGCGTTGAGGAGTGCGAGTGACTGGATGCCAGCCGAAGCAGCGACGGCGAGCGACTGAGCGATGGCTGCGTTGGCGACGTCGCGAGTGAGCAGCACATGTTGACCAGCTGAAGCGGGGCGCCGTCCACCACCACCACCACCACCACTCCTCGCAAGGGCAGCACTGCTCGAGGACGACAACGACGACGGGAGGGTGCTGCGATGGTGCAGCGACGAGGACGAGGAAGACGAGGACGATCGCAGCGGAGTGGCAGCGAGCATTGAGAATAAGAAGGAGCCTGAATGAAAAGTGAATGAAAGAGACTGAGACTGAGACTGAGACTGAGACTGAGACTGAAGAGTTCTATTTAGTTGTTAAAGTATATTGTCAATGTGTGTGAATGAGTGTCGAGAGATAGAGGCAAGGAACTGAGTGACGATGAGCAATATGAGCAAAAGGATCACTCTTCCCTTGAATTGCCATTGTGATTGTGATACTGTAGTAGAGTACGACAATGTTGGCTGCTGCTGCTCGTGCATTGACTGCGCGGCAATGCCTGCTTCATCATCATCATCATCATCATCATCATCATCAGCAGCAGTATCAACTTCATCATCATCAGTATGAGCAGCATGGCCGAGTGCGCAGGTGGATTGCTTCACACTCGTCCTCATCATCATCATCGGCCAACACTCCATCCAACACTCTATCATCATCATCATCATCATCATCATCATCAGCAGCAGCAGCAGAACATGCGCTCAGTGCGACTGCTGCTGCTGCTGCTGCTGCTTCAGCCGCTGCCGCCGACGCCAATGCAAACCCAATGCACGCGTTCAAGGCGTCGCTCCTGCTGCCGCGCGCCGACGGATTCCCGCTCTGGCCAAAGAACATCAACGAGCACGAGGCCTCCGTGTTGAAGCGCACTGGCGGCGCATCGCAGGCGCTGTACGACTGGCAGCTCTCGGGCGATCGCTCTGCTGCCACACTGCCAAGACAACAGCCGCCCGAGCAGCCGAGACACCGAGACCCTGCGACCCCCAGCCAAAGCCCAGCGGATGAAATCATGGACCAGAAACAGGAATCCGTCGAGCGCGGCTCAATCACACCGGAAGCAGGACTACCTGCCGAGAGCTCATCATTCAAGCTCAGCCAAGCGAACGATGCCAAGCACCCGTTGTTCATCCTTCACGATGGCCCGCCGTACGCGAATGGACAGCTCCATCTGGGCCATGCCATGAACAAGGTAAACGAAAACAGAAAGGCGCAATTCCGCAATATGATTGCTTTGCTGGTTACAAACCAAACGACACACTCAATTTCTATAATCGTGTCGTCCTTCTGTGTCTCAGATTCTCAAAGACATCGTCGTCCGGCATAAGGTCCTGCGAGGGAATCGCGTGCACTTTGTACCGGGCTGGGACTGCCATGGCTTGCCGATCGAGCTCAAGGCGCTTGGAGACTCACTCACGAAACACGTCGAGTTCACGCCCGCTCAGCTGCGAACCAAGGCCGCGCAGTTTGCTCGCGAAGCCATGGAGATGCAGCGAAAGGAATTCATGTCGTGGGGTGTGCTCGGCGACTGGCAGCATCCATACCTGACCATGACGCCGAGCTACGAGGCGCGACAACTGCAAGTGTTTTACCAGCTGTACACCAAGAAGCTCATCTACCGCGGCCTGAAGCCGGTGCACTGGTCGCCGTCCACGCAAACAGCGCTGGCAGAGGCCGAGCTCGAGTACCAGGACAACCATGTGAGCGTGGCGGCGCACGTTCGCTTTGAGCTGCCTGCCAACCACAAGGCAGCCTTGTTGCAAGCAGCCAACTGGCAGGATGCCGGCGCCGTCGACAGAGCTGCGCTTTCCGACAATCTTGCCGTCAGCATGGTGGTCTGGACCACAACCCCTTGGACCATTCCTTCAAACCAAGCGATCGCCATCAACACCAGCCTCGACTACTCGCTGCTCCACGTCACAGAAGCAGTCCAGCCGGCCAGCCCGGGCCGCAAATGGCTCACACAGACAATCATGCCGTCTCGAAGCCGGGACCAGGTGATTCTAGTTGCGACACCCTTGGTCCCATCCATTGTGCAGGATTTCGCCACAGCTCAATCACAAGTCAAGCAAGTCGCCTCGATTTCTGGTGCAAGCCTTCTGGCATTGGGCCTTCAGGCAACCCATCCCCTCGAAGCTCATCGCACCGTGCCAATTATTCATGGCTCGCATGTCACAGCCGACGCAGGCACGGGTTTGGTTCACACTGCTCCTGCGCACGGCGTGGATGACTTTATCGTCTGCAAAACAAACAACATTCCGCTTCTCAACCTGGTCGACGAGCGTGGCTGCTACAAGGCGGACGTCGCACACGGTCTCGCCGGCCTGCAAGTCCTCACAGTCGGCAACGCCAAGGTGCTCGAGCTGCTTGAGCAGGCAGACCGTCTGCTGCTCGCCAAACCTCTCAAGCATCGCTACCCCTACGACTGGCGGTCGAAAAAGCCCGTCATCACGCTGGCCACCAAGCAATGGTTTGCAAGCCTGACCAATGTCAAGCACGACGCCCTGCAGGCGATTCTCGGCGTCGAGCTCGTGCCCGCCGTGTCTCGCAACCGACTGGCCGCCATGCTGGGGGGCAGAAACGACTGGTGCATTTCGCGGCAGCGCTCGTGGGGTGTGCCAATCCCCGTCTTTTACAACAAGGAGACTGGCGAGCCGCTGCTCGACGACGACATGTTTGCCCACATCCACCAACTCGTCTTGCAGCAAGGCACGGATTGCTGGTTCACCAAGAGTGTCGCAGAGCTGTTGCCGGCGTCGAAGGCGTCGATGGCCGAGCAATTGGTCAAAGGCACCGACACGATGGATGTCTGGTTTGATAGCGGCACCTCGTGGATGCTTGTGCAGCAGCTGGCGGCTCAGCAGCAGCAGCAGCAGCAGAAACAAGCCGACAAGCCTGCCCCAGCGCCGGTTGTCGCAGACCTTGTTCTCGAGGGCTCGGACCAGCATCGTGGCTGGTTCCAGTCTTCGCTGCTGACCTCGGTGATTGCACGAGGTGTGGCTCCCTTCAAAACCATTGTGACGCACGGCTTTTTGCTGGACGAGCGTGGTCGCAAAATGTCAAAGTCCCTTGGAAACGTGGTCGAGCCTGCACGCATCACGCACGGCGGGAGCGCTGGAGCCAAAGGCGGCGAGCCCTGGACGGCTGCTGGCACGGACGTTCTCCGCGCCTGGGCAGCGTCTGCTGACTACTCGGCAGACGTGGTCATCAGTAAAGACGCCATCAAGGCACAGACACAGATTGTCAAAAAGATCCGCAACACCTTCCGGTACTTGCTCGGCAACCTGCACGACTTTGACCCGGCGAAACACTTGGTTCCGCTTGCCAGCCTTCGCTTGGTGGATCGCGTCGTGTTACAGCGGACCAGTGCGCTGTGGGATTCTGTCCAACAAGGGTACGAATCGTATGCGTTTGCTCGAGCATCCCTGGCCATCACGACATTCTGCAATGTCGAGCTGTCTGGCTTTTACTTTGAGTTGTCCAAAGACCGCCTGTATGCCGCTGGCGCCGAGTCGCCCGAGCGTCGTGCTGCACAGACTGTGTTGTACCACGCTGTGGTCACCATCTGCAAGGCAGTGGCGCCCGTGCTGTGCCATCTCGCCGATGAAGTCTGGTCGCATCTGCAAGGCAATCCCGAGCAAAGCGTCCTTCTTGGCCACCAAGCCGCCGCGTCGTCTCTGGGTGACGTCGAGCCATCGCTTGCTGCCGCTTGGCCAGCGCTTCTCAACCTCCGTGCTGTGGTCAATCGCGCACTCCAAGTCCCGCGCTTTGCCCAGCAGATTGGCTCTCCCTTGGACGCGGATGTGACGCTTGAGCTCTCCCCAGGCAGCATTGAAGCACTGCAGACTCTGTTTTCCAACTCCAGCGCCTCCCTCGAGGAGCAGTTAGCCGAGCTCTTCATTACTTCGCAAGTTCGACTGGTCGATCGTCCCGAGCCTGCCTCAGCCCGCCTTCTGCACACTCAGCGAGAGGAGTTGGAGGGATTAGGTGAGCGGTTTTTGTTTGTTTGAGAGGAGCAAAAGGGATACTTGCGATTTTTGATTGACTTGCTCTCGTCTCGATTGTTTTGTGCACAAACAGGACCCAGTGTAACCCCAATTGCGGTGCACGTCTCACGCGCGGCCCTGCACAAGTGCCCCCGCTGTTGGCGATTTACTGCGCAAGAGCCCGCTCATCTTTGTCAGCGCTGTGCAAAACTGAATGTTTAAAAGACATGCAACGTAATACAACAAATTGCAACCGTTGCAGATCAAATTCAATGCGTTTTATTGGCGTTTGGCAACGTCAGAGAATAGCAACAACAAAACAAACAAACAAACTCCAATCATTCCATAAACACATTCAGCTTGCGCGCCATCGACTCGGACAGCGGCGGCGTCTTGGAGCGCGGAATCAGGTAGGTGGAGATGTTGAACAGATCGATAAAGATGCGGTACTTGTCGCTAATCGTCGATCGCAAGTACTGGTAGCCAGACGAGCCGCCGGTGCCAAGCTTGTTACCAATCATGCGGTGCACCATCATGACGTGCTGATATCGCCACTTGGAGAAGAAGGCGTCCACGTCCATCAGCAAGTTGAGCATCTTGAAGGGGAGGTGGAAGCGGGGCTCATCGCTGAAGGAATCACGGAATCAAAAAAAAAAAAAAAAAAAAAAAAAGGAACAGGTTTGTAAGCAACACAAAAAAAAAAAAAACAAAGCAATCCAAGGAGCATTGTTGCTGCAACCAAACACTCCAACATACCGGTACAAGAAAATCATGATGGCGCCTTGCATCGCTTTGTGCGAGAGTCGTCGCTCGCCCTTCTCGCGCAGCTCGGCATGCTTGGCGGGATCGAAGACAGACTGGAAGCTGAGTTCGTTCTTGTCGCACTCGGCCAGCACAGCCTGGCGGGTCTCGGGCGTCAGTTCGGCGTGATCGACCTGCGCTCGATTGGCCGCAAGAATGTCGTTGACGGCGGCCTTGTACTTGCTCCAAAAGTCGAATTCGTCGGGGTGAAGGCCAGGCGTGCGCTCGAGCCATCGCTGGAAAAAAAAAGAGGAGAAAATATGTTGTTGCCGATGTGAGTGAAGCGTTCATAAACAAACAAACGGGGGTTGACGTCAAAATGCAATGCACAAACCTCCATCAGCTCGAGGAAGGATCGCTTGCCCTCGGCCTCGCGCAGCTTGCCAGCATCATCGTCCGAGAAGGCATTCCAGTATGTCTCTTGGGAGTACCGGGTGCGGTTTTCTGGGCGGAGGCCGAGCAGGGTTTCGAGGACGCGGAATTGGCTCGACTGGAAACCCGAAGCCGGAACCAAGTAATCGCTATAGCACGTTCAACGTCAACAAAAGGACACAACGAGAGATGAGAACCGGCAGTAAAGTGGGAAGAGAGTGACCATTTTTTGGGTTCTACTTACCGGAACTCCATAAAGTCAAGGGCAGTCATGGTTTCGAGAATGTTGATTTGGTCGACCATGATCTTTTCAATCTCGACGACACGGCCCAGACGGTTGACGATGGTGAGCATGTCGCGCTCCTTGATGTGGTCGGTGGAGAAGATTTCGCGGATGGACTCGAGTTCGTGCAGAATTTGCTTAAACCAGAGCTCGTACACTGCAGAATAGGCAGAAATAAGCATGCAAGGGAACAAAATCGTTAGGTTTTTTGTTTCTGACAAGTTGTGTACAAACAGTCTGAAAACCGACGCTTGGTCTGAGATTTTCAATGCGATTTGAGAACTTTTTGCCTAACTCCGCCCCATCCCACTCCGTCCATTCAGCTTTTTTTTTTTTCGTATTCAGATGGTTTTCTAGTTTCTTCGCACATCCACTTGTGCAACCAACTTCAAAAGTGCGAGAAAAAAAAAATCCAAAACTCCCAATTCTGAGCAAAATCGTCAATCGCGGCAAAATTGATCATTTTCGAAGCTGACAAAAAGCCATTACTGCGGAATCGATCTAGTTGAGTTGAGTTGCATTGAATTGCATTGAATCGGATGAAGAACTGCAGGTGGGATGAGGAGGGGCGAAGGGGAGAGGGGGACTCACTCACGCACGAGGCTCAAAAGTCACACTCACTCCAATCACCATCACCACCACTCGACAACGGAAGGCTCAACCGACAGTCAACTTGCGCTACATCGACATTGAACGTTATTGAACACTGGCTTGTCAAAAGCGAGGATGAGGACGAGGACGAGGACGAGAGTCACTTTGCTCACTCACCCTGGTGGATGACAATGAAGAGGTGCTCGTCGTGGGCCGCCTTGCGTGTGCCGCCGTGGGTCGACTCGGGCTGCTGCAGCGACAGGAGCGTCCCCAGTCGCAGGTAGTCGCCATAGTACACTGGCTGGCGCTCGCCCGACGACGCAGCGTCACTGGTGCTGGTGCCGGCAGACTCACTCGCGGCGCCGCTGGAAGTCGTGACCGCGATCGCTGCAGCAAGCGGCATTCGCGTCGCAGGCACGCTGCCATGTTGGAAGGGACACGCCATTTTTTGTTTTGTTTGTTGCTTGTTGTTGGTGTTTTTGCTTGGAAATGGGGGGGGGGCGTTGAAAAGCGGGGAGGGAAAGCCGCAGTTGATTTGGCTTGGAAAAGGTCGAATTGGGAAAGAAAAAAAAAAAAAAAAGACGAGTGAGAGGAAACGGGGGAATAAAGAATAAAAAAGCTTTGCTTCGACATTAGCCTGATCATCAACATTAGCATCAGCATCAGCATCAGCATCAGCATGTTGTGAGATTCGACAGCTAAATCAGCATCAAAGCAGTGTCAGTTTGCACAAAAAATGAATATGCGAAAGAGCAACCTCTCATTCTTGCTGCATCGATTCTGTGTGCTGCAGTTGCATCGACACAATTCTTTTATCACTGTGAAAACGTCTCGCCGAGGACTACGCTCCAAGACATGCCAGACAAAACAGCGCACACACAATTCGAAAACAAAAAGACAAACAAAAAACAAACAAACACAAAAAAACCGACTTTGACACGAAAAGTCAACATTAAGCATTGGGAAGAACTTCGTAGGTGTCGTTCGAACCGTGGTCATTCAAAGACGGCGAGACAGAAGCAATAGTCGAGTAATTGGTGCCAGCAGCAGCGGCGGCGCTGCCTGCAGAAGGCACCGGCGGAGCGCTCGCTCGAGCTGCAACCGCGGCCTCGGTATAGGTCACAGAGGTGTCTGCATTCTCATATGCAGGAGCGGTCGAAACGTCGGCATACGCGTTTGCGGAAACGTCAGCATACAGAGGGGCGCCAGCGACTTCGGCGTACGTATCACGAGGAGCATCCTCAGCAACATAGACGGGATTCACAGCAACGTGGGCGTACGTGGAGCCAGAAGCATTGTGGACTGCATACGCAGGCTCTTCGGCGGTCGAGACTCTCTCGGGGGCCGAAGACGTAGTGTCGTAGAGTTGGTCATGCTTGAAGACGGTGGACGACTTTCTGCGATGGCGCAGAATAAGCACGACAATCAAAATCAAAAGCACAAGGCCTCCAATGGCGACACCAATTGCAATCGGCAACACGTCCGAGGAGTCGTTGCCGCCGTGGATGATAATCATCGAGGCGGAAACAGCAGAAATGGACGCGGCCGACTGAGCCGAAATGGCCGACTCGACGGACGCGGATGAAGCCCAAGACTGGACCGACTGTGCCGAAACAACTGAAGTTGCGGATGCAATGGCGGCCGACTCGGCGGATACAGAGGCAGCCGACTCGGCGGATGCTGCTGATTGCACAGAAGCGGAGGTAGCGGACTCGGCGGATTGGATCGAGACCGACACGGCGATTGCAGAAGCAGCGGATTGGCCAGACATGGACTCGATCGACGACGCAGATTGAGCAGAGATGGACTCGATCGACGACGCGGATTGAGCAGATGCAGCGGATTGGAAAGACGCAGAGGCGGCAGAACTCGCCGACCGAACGGACTGGACCGAGCCAACAGAAGCTAGCACCACGGAGGTCGCAGAAGCAGCGGACTGGGCGGAGATGGATTGCACTGATTGAGCAGAAATCGCAGACTTGGCCGAGGCGGCAGAGGTGACAGCCTGGGCGGAAGTTACCGACTGAACCGAAAGGAGAGAATCAATCGATTGTTGAGAGTACAGCGTGGAAGTCTGGGATGGGGAATAGCAAGCGCCCAGAATGTTGATAAAGCCATCGTAGCATTGAGTGCACGTCGAGGTGGATGAGCAAATTGCGCAGTTTGGCGAGCAGCATCGGCCGGAGCCGATGCCAAAGCAGGTGGCGCACTGGGAGTTGCAAGCTAAAAGTATAAATACGGTTGAATGAGCTGCAAGATCAAAGTCTCATTCCAAGAAAAATGGCACGCGAAGAAGGACGTACGAGTTGGTGCTGTGGCACTGCCGTAAGTGCTCAGCGGTACGGATGCAAAGTTGTTGTTGGTCAGAAAAACCTGTGCAGAGGTCAACGCACTCAAGCCCTGGAATAAACCTGGCGGAAGCGCGCTCAGCTGATTGGATGATAGACTCAATTGCACGAGACTGCGCAAAGCCTGCAAAGCGCCGGGCGGAATTTGTGTGATCGCGTTTGCACCGAGTTGACTGGAGGGGGAAAACGCAAGGTGCACTGTGAGCTGTCTCGTCTCGCATTCACGCATTCGTTGCCGTGGGCACTTACAGAGATATCAATGGAAAGGTTCCTGTCGTCGGAATTGCGTTGCTTGGGAAGGCGCTAAACGCGCAGCTTGAGAGAGTCCTGCACAAGTTCGATTTGTGAAATCGTCAATGTCCGAAAGCCCATTCAACAAGAACGAGCCGACATGGTTTTTGTTTTCGTGTCTTACAGGTACTGCAACGCAGGAACGGATGACAGAAAGTTGTCTGGAAGCGATGACAGCAGCGGGTTCAACTGTAGCTGACTGATTGATGCAAGGAATTCGAATTAATGATGGTTATGACGAGAAAAAACTTGTCGTCGATGCACATACAGAATCTGGATCGATGGATGACTGAAGGTAGTCCCAAGGGTGGTGATCAGGTTTCCTGCCAGTCTCCTGTTCCAAAATGTTGTAAGCTCCATGCACGTACGACTGCTATCGGGCCACTTACAAATCGAGGAGAGAGGGAACGGTCGAAACAGGCGGAACAGTCGTGAGCTGATTAGAATCGAAGTAACTGTTTGGTCTCAAGATGAGTCATAGATTTCAGAATCACTGATTGGTAGAGCGCTTAATCTCACAGTTCTCGAAGCTGCGGCAGATTGGAAAAGGCATTGGGATCGACGGTTGAGATTGAGCAGGTCGAGAATAGGCTGCCAACAGAATACGTGTCAGTCATTCACCATGGCCTGGTTGAGATATGAACTTGCAGTCACTTACAGCCGGCTGAGTTGAGTTAGGCCGGTAAAGGAATTCGCTGGCAACGCGGTGAAACCATTCGAGTTGAGAATGCTGCGACAAAGAAGTGAGCGTTGCCATCCATCCCCAGCAAGAAAATAAATCTCAATGCATACAGTTCTGTTAGATTGATCAGAGCCGCAAATGCGTTGGGGGGCAGAGTAGTGAACGTTTTGATCCCAGAGATGGCCTGAGCATTCAGCGAGAGCGATGTCAACGATGTCAGCTGAAGCACTTCCGGCGGGACCGCCGTAAATTGGTTGGTATTCAATACCCTGAAGTGGCACATGTGAGTGTGATTGGCTCGAACGCTTGACGCCAATTGCTCGCTACGGGTGAAAAATGCGATTCTTACAGTGTTTGCAAATTCGGCAGATTGGCGAGCAAGCCAGTTAAATTCGTGAGCTGAGCATTCTCCAACATTCTGATGGAACAATTTTGCAGAGTTCGTAAGCAGAGGTCGTAAGCGCACGGACGAGTATTGGCAAATGGCAGCACTGCAATTCCAGCAGCAGCTCGCTTACAAGTATTTTAGATTCGGCAAATTCGAGAGGCTTTGTGGTTGGAGGTTCAGGGGGCAGCCGAAAAACGTACTGAACCAGATGGCGGGGGTGCAATTCGAGTCAGTGCAGAATTCCGGGCATTGGGTTGAACGTTGTCGACAAATCCGCTTACATATGAGTCAGCAAACTCAGACCGTCGAAGGCCGTTGCAGAAACGGTCAAAGTAGTAACACCTGAGGAGCCGACACAAGCACTGATTTGCCAAGCGTGTGAGAGTTTCGGTACCGACCCCATGCATGTCAGGGGCGCGTTGTTTTGTGTTTTGTGGCACTTACTCTTGAAACACACTGATGTTGGAGGGGAAATCCTGAATCATGTAGGCTAACTTGTTGCACGACATGGTCGTCGTATCCACTCCAGAACACGTGCATACGTTGGTATTGCCCTGAGTGTCGGTGCCGCAGGGCCAATCAGCGCGCGCTGAAGGAAGCAGCCAAGAGGCGAGAACGGCGACGGCGACGAGCGCGATGGCGACCAGCCGACTCGCACGCAAGACCATTTTTGTATGCCTTTTGGTGAGAGCTCTTTCTGTATGATATTCACAAGTCACAAGTGGAGGAGTGTGAGGCGTGAGTTTGTGCGTCATATACTTTAGGTCTGTGAGAGCGAGCGAGCAAGCGGCATTTTTCACCCCGACCGGCATCTGCGGCTTCCCTTCTCGCGCTCAACTGCTCAAACTGTGTGTTTGAAGCGATTTCATCAAAGTGTACATATCAGCGATGATGAAAACGAGCAGAAGTGGGGAAGAAAGGGGGAAAAAAGAAGAAAAAAAAAAGAAAAGGAAAAAGGGGGAAAAAAAAAAAACCACAAAACGTGCGTTTTTGAAGGGGTTTTTTGTCGCCACACTCAAAAACAAAACAACAACGAACACAAAGACAAGAGCGCGGCTGTGATTTGAAGTGCAGATCACAGAGAGAGAGAGAGAGAGAGAGAGAGACAAGGAGATTTTGAGACTGAGAGAGAGAGAGAGAACGGAGAGACAAAGAGCGACAAAGAGAGAGAACATAGAAAGAGCTCGAAAAAGCAAAAATCAAACAACAACAACACTTGAAAGACTCAATCAAGAATGTCGGCTGAGCCCCAACAACGGCACCAAAAACGACTCTCGAAGGGGCGAGCGAACTGATGCGTGGGCGAGTGTGCATTGTTTTAGACCAGAGATGCAAACACTACTCGACACGGAATGAGCGAGAGTGAAAGAGAGCGAGAGAGAGAGAGAGAGAGAGAGAGAAAAGAGCGTGAATGCATCGTGAGAAATCTGCAGCCACGCGCCCAATTTCTGCCACGCGCCCGCACCTCCCCTTCGACGCTCGACGCTCAACGCTCAACGCCCGCACGCCCGCACGCGAATTCTTGCAGTATAGTGCGGTCTCTCTTTCCCAAAAACACCCCACCAACAAGCACACGCAACATGGCAAACGTTTCAACATCAACGCCAAACCGCCTAACCCAAAGACAAAACCCCAAACAAAGCAGCTTGTCGTGCCACTCAAACAACCGCTGTTTTTGAACACCCGCCCTGGTTGTTAGTCACCCCACAAATCCATCACCACACTCCCCTGGCGATGGAAGGACAGAGCAAGCAACTGGCAGTCATCGCAATGCTTGATCTCACAACAGCCAGTCAAACCAGAAGAAGGAAAAGGAAGAGCTGTGACAATGTGAGTGGATTGCTTTACCGCAAAAAAAAAAAAAAAAAAAAAAAAAAAAAGGAAAAAAAGAAAAACAAAAGACTGAAAACGGCGATGTTCCCGCTGCTGGCTGTTTTTGGGGTTCTGCGACACTTGTTTTTGAGCAATTCGTCATCGCGCTTCACATGACGACAAGGGAAAGAAAAATACCACGTTGCACACTTTACATGACGACAAGAAAAAAAACGAGAAGCCGGAGAACAGGCAAATTCTTTCAACGGCAAAGGATAACGTGACAGCTCATCCTCAAAGGCACTGTATTCTCAAACTCAACAAAAAAAAAACACTCACATACACAATTCTGTTCAAGGGTGGGGCGACAGAGAAGCATGCCAGTCTCGGTTACCACCACCAACCACTTCATCAAACAGGGACAGGGACGCATTCGCTCAAAGGAAGATCTTCTTCAGCGAGCGGAACTTTGGCTTGCGGAAACGGTCGGCTGCGTTTTTCCAAGCACAAGCAAAACACAAGACAACCGAGAGGGAAGGTGAGAGAAACTATCAATGCCTCCAACATCCATCAAAACAAAGGAACCAAACCTTGACTGAGTCCTGTCTCGATCGACGCAACGGGCATATCCTGCGGTCCTCCTTGGTTGAGGCGTGTCGTGAGGAGTAGCTCCTGACGGCGATTTGCTTCTTCGACAGCGCGAGTGACCATCGAGTCCATCAGTTGGGCCTGCGACCGAGAGGTGAGGATGTGTGAGTGCTCAGAAACAATTCCGACAATCAACTCCCAAACCCAGAAAACACAATCCACAGAAGAGTAAAATACCATGGGAGACACAATGACAATCGTTTCCGGATCTTTGTCGGGCCCAAACTCGATCAAAAAGTAATTCCTGCCATCCTTGGCCACGGAATCCCACGAGATTTCGTGAAATTCAAACTTGTGCTCGATTTCCTACAAAGAAAGCGTAGTCCTGGAAGTGAGTTCCGAGCCGCGCGCAATCCCTTGCCCAAGAGTCGCTTTGTTTGTTGCTCTTTACATTGGTGTTGTCGTTGATGATGACCAGTGATTCCGCGTTGACACCAACACGAACTTGCGTGAGGTTGGCATCCCCGACAACCACACCTTGGGTAAGGGGGCGGTACTCGCCGCCGAAGAAGGTGGCGCCATAGAAGGGCCACTGCCACACGTACTGCAGATATAACAAGTACAGGATGTTCTTGGGGTTTTTGCCATGCGGCTGGTGTGCCTTGAGGATGCGAGTGCGCCATTCGTCTTCCTTCAGGCTGTTAATCTGTTCCTCTGGCACCAAGCGAGCGAGCTTGGTGCTGAATGTGCGGTGGCGCCGCGCGTCACACAGAAGTGCATGCGAATGTCGTGAGTTTCTGCTCTGAGCCAAAAACGAGACGACAGGACCATCAAAACAAAAACGACCCACCGAATAATCTCTTCGCCAGTCGAAGCAGGCGACTCGAGCACGAACAGCTGAAGGAGAATTCCAGCAAGATAGCAGCAATCGTCAACCGATGCAGGGTACTTGGAGTAGATGACATTGTATCGAGCCTGCGTTAGTGGGAAAAACACAAGGACGGACGAAAAATGAGGGACGAGCCACAACTACAGTGGCCGCAGAGACGCAACTCGGCTCTGTACCTCGTCAAACAGCAACTCGAGCGTCATTTCGTCGCGAACTTTGCGCTCCATGGCCTTGAGCACAAATGCATCACGCTTGAGCACAAGCTTTGGGGATTCGGTGGGTGCTGCAGCGCAGAATCGCTCCAGCATTTTGGTCCACTGTTCGCGCAGGACGACTGGTTCGTGGTTGGCCTTGAGTTGCAGCTCTGTATGATGGTTGTCAATTCAGTGAGTGTCACGCTTTCCTTCCGATGCTGACAATGAGCAAACTCAGAATCACAAAACTCAGAATCTTCTTCTCTCTTCTTCCAAATCTCGCTTCTCGTTGCGAATTTTTCATCCGTCACAGCTCCCATTGCTACCACGTCTTAGATGCCATGATCTTTTCGATTCCATCGCTGAATGACTCATGATTCCTATGATTCATCGTTCAAGACGTTGAAATAGCGGCAATGCAGGGTTTTTGCGGTAAAACTCCAACATCGTCAAGCCGGTCTTCCCCGCCATGTCTTCGTCCAAATGTCACCACTAGCTCGCCCTAGTCAAGCGGCTGTTGTTTCTAGTGTTTGAGCAGAGTGTTGGTTGGCTGGCGAGCGAGCGGAGAGAGAGAGAGAGAGAAGCTCGCTTCAATGGCCCTTTCGCAAGTACACACTCACGCAGGTCGTCGCCAACCATCCAGAGGGCAAACAGCGGCGCCGACTTGTCGTCGACCTTGAGGATTCTGAGAATGTTGGAGAGAATGTCGCTTGCTCGGGTTGTGCGGCCGCTGCCAAACTTGAGCTGGCGAACGGACTCGTCCATCAGGTAGATGCGGAAGATGGTGTCGTCGCCGCCGGGCTCCTGGAAGGCCAGCGTCAGCGACCCAGTCCCAGACCCGCTGCTGATGGTCGACGGGCTCGCCAGGCGCTGACGCTGGGCGCTGTCGGGGATGGAGGTCAGGTCGCTCAGGCTCATTTGCTCAGATTGTGGCAAAGTGAAAAGAGAGATTTGGACTGAAGCATTCTATCTATTTGAATGTGAATGTGGATATCAATGGAGAGAGAGATAGAGAGCGAGAGAGGATCAAAACGGAGGTTGTATGAAGTGGAAGAGAACCAAAGATCAAAGGGAAAACAGATGAACTCTCCGTAGCAAGCTGAGGCGCTTTAACTCATCATTTTTTATACTGTTCTCGCATTTGTTTGTGTTGAGCTTTGTTGCTTCTCAGATGTTCATTTTGATCTGAAATTGTTTCATTGTTGATGGTTTTTATCTTATTTTGTCCAAATCTCAGTCTTTGATTTTTTTCTTCTTCTTCTGCTTCCTTTCAAATCATGATGAATCGCACGCTGCTGCCACCGCCATCGACGCCAGCATTCGGTGAGTATTATGTATTCAACGACATTGTATATTGCACAACATCCAAGCAACAACAGACAGTCGAGGATTGCAATGCACACGAAAGCGGCGATCTCGGGATTTGCCTTCAATGCTCAGCGCTTCAATCGCTCTGCGCTTCAATGCAATCCAACCAATGTCAAAACATCAAAGAAAACAAAAAAAGGGCTCCACACTTGCACTATAGTAACGAATAACAACCGCGGTGAAGCACTGTTAAGCACTCACCTGTCGTTTCGTTTGTATTGCGTTACCATTGCATTGCCTGCCTGCAGTGTCGCGCGCGCCAGTCCTCCACGGCGCACCCACCGCAGGAGGCCAGCAGCAGCAGCAGCAGCAGCAGCCAGGATCGATCTCTGCACCGCCCGCCATCTACGCTGCAGGTGCACAGCCGCCATCGCAGAGCAGCGGCGCACTCATGGGCGGGCTCATGCCGCCGCCTCCACATCCAATGCACTACGATGGACACATGCACCCGGGACACCCTGGTGGACACCCCGGCGGACACCCCGGTGGACACATGCCGATGCGCAGGAGAGGACCCAACTTCCGCGAGCAGCAGCGCAAGTCAACCAAGGTCTTTGTGGGCAACATTGCCGACTCGGTCTCGGACGAGCTGCTCGGTGAGATTCTCGCCCAGTGCGGCACCGTCGTCAGCTGGAAGAGACTCAAGGGCAAGGACGCCACATCGTTTGGGTTTTGCGAGTTTGATTCCCCGGATGGCACGCTCCACGCGCTCAAGTTTCTCGAAAAGCGCTTCCTCTACGGCAAGGAGCTCACCCTGAAGGTCGACGACTCCACGCGCGTCTTCCTGGACCAGTACCAGGTCGGCAAGGCCATGTACGAGGAAGGCATGCGCCAAAAGCAAGAAAAGGCGGCAGCAGCAGCTCAGGCCGCCGGCGGAACTCCGGGCGATGCCGCGGCAGTCGCGCCGCCTCCGCTTCTCCCTCTCCCTCTCGACCGACCGGCCGCGACAGCAGGGGCTGCTGGCAGCGAAAGCACTCAACCCGCAAACGCTGAGGACGGAGGTGCACAGTCTTCGGCTGCAGGCGCAGACGATCAGGATGACGAGGAGCCAGACGCATCCGAAGCCAATCAGCCCACCCCCGAGCAGCGTGGCGAGCGCATCGATGCCATCATTGCTGCTGCTTACGAGCGCAATCCACCACCTCCACCGCCCATGGCGGGAGGCGAGCGAGCCAAACCGGCTTCCGAAACATCATCCTCGGATGCCTCCAAACAACAGCCGTCCACGCAATCTACAGTCAGCACGTCCGACACAAAAGAGCGCGCCCGAAGGCCTGGTGACGCGGATCGCGCGTTTTTCGATGTAAAGCGCTGCTGGATTTGTGTATTGAAGCCAGGTGGAGCGGCTGGTTGTTTTGTCGACACAATGCTGACACGAGCTTGCTGTGTATGGTGGAACGGTTGTTTTTCACTCTGTGCTTCATAGGTACTGCGAAGATGGGAGCATCACGAGCGTGAAAAGATGCGCTTGTACCAGATGGAACAAAAGTCGGATCAGGAACGTCAAAAAGACGCCGACAACTTCCTCAAGCACAACCTCGAGAAGCTTGCCACCTACGATGACGACAAGGACGATTCAAAGTATTACAAGTACGTCGAGTTCCGGTGGGGGGGGGAGATTTGAAACAACTTGTGAAGCTGAATGTCTCGACTAATTTTGTTTGATGTGGTTGTTTCGCAGTGAAAAGAAAATGGCATCACTCATGCGCGATCGCCAGCGCGAGGCGGAGCTTGACGCAAAGGATCGTGCTCTCGAGAAAGACGAGGAAGATCGCCAGCGAAAGCTGGTTTTGCAACAGCAGCAACAAGAGTTTTTGAAGCACAAGCGCGAAAACGAAGAGCTGCAGCGACAAAAGCAACAGGCCGAAGCCGATGCAGCTGAGCGTGCTGCCTCGAGTCACAAGCGTACCGCTTCGGAAGCACTGGATGCGTCCGACCCCGAGAAGCGCGCTCGCTTGCAAGAGCCGACCAACCGCAACCACTCAACCGAACAGCGGCGCGCCCAGATTGAGCAATCGATTCCCAAAGAGTCGTCGGCACTGTTTGCTTTCCGCGTGGATTGGAATGGGCTGGATCATGTGAGTGTGACTGGACTGGGTTGCTTTTGTTTGTTTCCCAGCAGCTTGGCTCGTTGGATTGACGCAACATACCGTTGGGGGGGGTTTTTTTGTTTGTTTTTGCACCTGCAGAAGCTCTTGTCTACCATCCGAACGTGGGTCAACCAACAAATGCTCGAGTATATTGGCGTCGAAGAGCCAGCTTTGGTGGACTTTATCACCGCGCGGATATCCGAGCATTGCAATGCGCAAGTCATTCGCGAAGAGGTGGCCAAGGTATGAGGATTGCGTTTTGTGGGTGTGCTTTGCGTCGAGCGTGTTATTTTCTGACCGCCCAACGCGCTGTTTGACAGATTCTGGACGACGAGGCCGTCAAATTTACAGTTGATCTTTGGAGGTTGCTGGTGACCGAGCTGGAGCTCCGGCGCCAAGGACAGTAGATGCAGTTGCAAATCTTGTTCTTGTCGTATGTGCCTCAGACAAGCATTTAATGCTATCATTGAGCTGTTTCATTTGAACCTTTGAAGCTATATTCCTGATCACTTTGCATAACTACCGGAATTTGTTTATTTACTGCGTTCGATGCATGGAATCACCAATCGAATCCAACACTTCTGTTACGCATCTTTGCGTGGCTTTTTGGCGGCAAGGGATGCCCGGAGACGAGCCAGCTGGTCCTGGAACGCGGGCGTGCCAATGAAACTCCACGAGCTCTTCATGTCTTCGTCCTCGGTGGCACGCATGTGAGCTGCAAACGAACTGCGAATGTTCTTGTAGGTGAAGCTCTGCGCAAAGAAGCTGACCGAGTTGAAGGCGAGAACTTGCTTGAGCGCGGCCTCCCGCAGCTGCTCGGGCGAGTCCACGGCAGAGTCTACCAGCCCAGACGCCAAGCCAGTGTCGGCGTTGACCATGCTGCCGAATGGAAGCATGCGCTCGGCAGTCCGGACCGATGTGGTGTTAGCCATAACGGTGCAGAGCCACTCTGGCACCGGCATGCCGACCGCCACCTCGTTCAGGCCAAAGCCGTACTTGCCGCGCAGCATGATGCGATGATGGCACGCGAGCGAGAACACGGCGCCTGCGCCAGGTGCGTGGCCGTTGATTGCAGCGACGGTCGGCATCGGGGCCGTGTAAATGTCCAAAAATGTCTCGCGGAGGGTCTTCCAGTAGTGCAGCCAGTGGTCCTTGCCCTTGGTGAACTCACCGAGATCGATTCCGGCCGAGAAGAAGGACGGCACGGCGGACGTGAGCACAACGGCGCGAACGGGGCCGGTTGGTGCGTTGGTGTCCGCAGCAGCAGCAGCAGCAGAGCCAGTGGTGGCGGTAGCAGACTTGTCTGACGATGGCGATGCAGGCTTGCTCGCGACTCGGCGGTTGAGATCGGCGTAGGTCCGCTTGAGCTCCTCGAGGACTTCGAGCGAGAGTGCATTTGCCGGGTGGCGATTGAGCTGTACGACCGCGTAGCTGCTCGCATCATTGAGTGCGTACTATTACAAACAAAAAGCACAAGACAGATCCGACGCAACGGTCAGATGAGATGCAGACTGGAGGTGAGTGCCAAGAAGTGCAAGATTGCTTGATTGCTGGAAGGTCGGAAGTTCAAGTTTGCCTTCGCACATAATCCACGAGAACGAGCGGCTTGGTCGCAGCAGCAGCGCCAGAGGCAGGAGCTGAAGCAGTGGTGGTGGTCGACGCGGCGGAGGCGGAGGTGGACAAGGCGCGCAGGCCGCGCTGAATGGCAAGATGCTGCATTGCAAGAGAACAACAATAAGGACTGAACTGACTTGCTCAGACGTCAAATTTGGTAAGATGACAATTTTGATAGCAAAGACGATTTGATAGCAAAACAACGACGGCGGGGTCGCCTATTGAGATTGCAGAGTGAGAGACGAGAGAGTGAGAGAGAGAGAGAGAGGGAGAGAGAGAGAGCGTCTCTATCGTATCCGTCCGCCCCCCCCCTCCTTTCCTCTGCAGGTGAGTTGATTCCTTTGTACTTTGACTACAATAATCCTTCGTTCTGAGCTTCTGAAACTTCTCAACAACGCTCAATTCAGCCAAACAAAGCTTTCTCTCGTCTTTTTTTTTTTTTTTCTTTGCTTTTTTTTTTTTTCCTTCTCACTTTCGCTGTTTTTCCATTGACAACGTTCGTTCGCCCAGCACAACTGCCGCAGCAACAACAACAACAACAACAACCCACACACACATAGTTCAAGGCGTCGACGAGCAACCCGCCGCCTGAAAGCGAGAAAGCGAGAGAGAGAGAGAGAGAGAGAGAGAGAGAGAGCCGAAAGCGAGAAGGAAAGCGAGAAGCAAGGTAAACCTCGTCCCGCATTGCTGCCAGCAGGGCAACCCGCCTTCGAGAAACAGAACCCCAGAGCAAGCAAGCTCAGTAATAACAGCAGCCAGTCAGACAGACAGACGGACGACTGTCACGCTGAACAGACAGCCAACAAACGACCACAATGCAAAAAAAAGCATAGATCTTTTTCTTTTTTTTTCCTTCTGTTTCTTACTCGGGTCGCGTCGGTGCTGCTCCCGTGTCCTGAGATGGGGTGTGGGTGTGGCGGGGTGTCTTGCGCGTGTGTGTCTGTGGTGGCTGCGCATCCGCAGTGCCAGCCCCGCTCGTCGCCATCTTTTTTTTTTTTTCGTTTTTCTCGTTGGTCGTCCCCTTCACCCTTGTCACCCCTGTCAGCCCTGTCGCCCCATGCCAATGCAACCGTGGCACTCGCCTTGCTAGAGTTGCTGAGGGTTGCATGGCAGGCGCTCGCAGTGGACTGGAAAAGGAGCTTTTTTCGCTGTGCACAGTCAGCGATTGTGTCATCGCTTCTCTCCAATGCAACGT